GTGCCTGTAATCCTAGCACTTTGGGAGGGGATCACTTGAGGTCAGGAGTTCAAGACCCGCTTGGCCAGCATGGTGAAACCCTGTCTCTGCTAAAAAATATTTAAAAAGTAGCCAGGTGTGGTGGTGCACAGCTGTAATCCCAGCAACTCAGAAGGCTGAAGCAGGAGAATCCCTTGAACTCGGGAGGTGGAGGCTGCAGTGAGCAGAGATCCACCATTGCCCTCCAGCCTGGGCAATGGAGCGAGATTCCGTCTCAAAGAAAAAAAAAAAAAAAGAATATTGCCTTTGTGATGTTCGTTTTTCATCTCCTTTGGTTTGGGCAGAATTATGAGAAGTGCCTGATGGGGAGGTGTAGGAGCAAGAAAGGTGCTTCTTTTCTGGAGAGGGGGTACATGTGCCACACGTAGCTGCATAGCTGCACACACACATGCAGCACGGTTCAGCCCTGAGGACCTCCCTGGGCCCTGGGAACAGCGGTTTATCCTCAGAGAGGAGGGCTGAGGACTCAGAACGGACTCCTGGATATTTAGTTTATACTTTGGGTTGTTATCCAATGCTGTCTTTCTTGTTCAGATGGCTGTGGCTTGAGGTCTCTTTCAGATGGCTGCCATGTCCCTGCCACATATTTCCACTGGGGTTTTATTTGAGCACTTCCTTACTCTCTAGTACTACAAGATGCTCCCGTCTCATCATCTGTATTTCCTGCCCCAGTCCCGGAATCAGCCATTTCCCCAAGGAGCCTCAGTTCCTTTTACTGGAGAACAGTGTTAGAAACCAAGATCTGGGGCCAGGGGTGCTCACTGCTACAGGGCACTCACTGCTACAGGGGTGCTCACTGCTACGGGGGTGCTGGCTGCTACAGGGGTGCTGGCTGCTACTGGGGACTCCCTGCTACTGGGGTGCTCACTGTTATGGGAGTGCTCGCTGCTACTGGGGCACTCACTGCTACAGGGGCCCTCGCTGCTACAGGGGTGCTCACTGCTACTGGGGTGCTCACTGCTACAGAGGTGCTCACTACTACAGGGCCCTCACCTCTACGGGACGGGACACTGGCTGCTACGGGGGCGCTGGCTGCTATGGTGTGCTTGCTGCTACTGAGGTGCTTGCTGCTATGGGGGCACTGGCTGCTACAGGGGCGCTCACTGCTACTGGGGTGTTCGATGCTACAGGGGCACTCACTGCTTCAGGGGCACTCACTGCTGCAGGGGTGCTAGCTACTACGGGGGCGCCGGCTGCTATGGGGGCCCTGGCTGCTACAGGGTGCTTGCTGCTACTGGGGTGCTCCCTGCTACTGGGGGCTGCTTCTCTTAGGCCCTCTCAGCTGACAGAGCAAAGAAATATGTGTGTGTGTACTAACCTCTACATACACATACACCTATAGACATTTGTTTATGTGATTATAGGTGTCTATAATAGGTTAAACCTGAGTTCCTACTAATATCTCTGACTCTAACCATTGTGTCATTACTCCCTTAGCTGTAAATTCTCCTCCAACAATGAAAACATGACTCCCACCATTGGCTATCCCTTAGTTATTTTTATTTTTTGAGACGGAGTCTCGCTCTGTCGTCCTGGCTGAAGTGCAGTGTCAGGATCTCTGCTCGTTGCAACCTCCACCTCCCAGGTTCAAGTGACTCTCCTGCCTCAGCCTCCCAAGTAGCTGAGATTACAGGTGCATACCATCACACCTGGCTACTTTTTGTATTTTTAGTAGAGACAGGGTTTCACCATGTTGGCCAGGCTGGTCTCAAATTCCCGACCTCAGGTGATTTGCTACCTCAGCTTCCCAAAGTGCTGGGATTACAGGTGTGAGCCACTGCGCCCAGCTGATGGTTCGATTTTAGCGTGAATGTAGTGTCGGTCCTGTTTACCAGTACTCCTTCAAGAAACAACTTTATCCACTAGAGCACAGTGCTGTGTGCAGTTCTCTGTGCCTTTTCATTTCCAAAGTTACTTACATGATTAACAGTACCTTTCCCTACTGGCTTCAGTGAGCTTCTGAAACTTCTGTTTTTTCTTTTCAAATAAGTGGATGGCCCTTTTCCAGGAAGGCAGCCTCAGGGAAAAGCCATCTCCAGGTGTAACCAGAAGCACTGAGTGTTTCTCAGGGGAGAAGAACAGCCTTGCATTTTATTGTCTGAGCTGAACTTACGCTGTGTGAATACAAATAGCTCATAGATATTTGCAGTGTGGTGCCTTCCCGGGTCTGCAAGTGAGGCTGTCACCGCACCACGTGTGGGAGGTGAGGATGCTGTTTCCTTGGTGCTGTCCAGACACCTGCTTGGGTTCGGTGTGTCCCCGTAAGCTCCTCCTGGTAGCCCAGTGCTGCCCTCCCCTTCCGTGTCTAGCATGTCCCGGAATTTACTTTCAAAGTCATTCCACTCCCTCCTCTGCACTGTGCATTTCAAAGCCTAGTCCTCAACCTCAGCACATCAGAACTCCCAAGTCGCAGCTTTTCTCAACCTCCTTCCTCTTAGGTCCTGGACACAAGACGTGGTGACTGATTTGATTCTCCTGACCTCACTGGTACACAGGTACCTGGGTTCATTTTACCAGAGGCCCAGCCCACTGAAGCAACCTGCCTGGGCCTCCAGGCCAACTTGCCCTTCTCTGGTGGTTTCAAAGCCAGTGTGCTCGCCAGGGCTCCTGAGTCTTCCTGGGTGTCCCCACTCAGCCAGGACGGCTGCAGACGCATCTTCACGCGCATCCCAGCAGCATCTCTGCCGGGGATGCTGAAAGTCACCGTATGAAGCAGCTGGGAGGCAGAAGTGATTGTGAGTTTGGGGTACCCACCCTCTGGAAAATGTGGCACACCATTAGTGGGTCGTTCAAGCACACTCAGCTCTCAGGGTGGCAGTTATTCCTGGCACCAAGAAACTAGACCGGAAAAATCTCTCTTAGGCAACATACAGGGTCCATAAAGGACAGAGCTTCGATTTTCAAGGTGCAGGAGGTCTAATGGTTGGATTACAGATGAGGCACCTCCACTCCCTATACTTTAGTGGGACTGTGGGCTCCTTGGCACAGATGTTGAGCTTATGAATTGTGATTGGTTTATATATTAGGATCCACATTTTGGGATCCAGTTATGTGTTGAGAATCTTCGTCTTCTCATTTATTTTAGGTTTAGGGTCAAACATTCCATTCGTGTTTAACACCGGGCACTGACTCTGCCGTGTGACCCACACACAGGTGTCAAGCTGACCCCGAGTCAAGCAGGGGTCTTCAGGACCGCAGCACGCTCTGTGGTTGCCTCCTTGGCAGGGGCGTGGCGTCTAGAATGAATTGCTGCTGCCCAGCTTCCAGAGCTGCTGCGCCTGCAAACTCTGGTCGCTCCAGTCCCGTGCCACACAGTCTGGGCCCACCACTTTGCTGCAGCTGTTGCTGTGGTGGCCGGCCTGACACACCGTGTCTCAGCTTCACCTGGTCATCTACCTGGGGCTGGCATCTGGCAGGGGCCCGCTCAGCCCTGCTGGTGTGGCTCACCTGGAAGCATCAGGGAATTAACAGCCTTAGGCAACCCCTGAGCAGTCGGGACAGCGGCCGATGAGCACTTCCTTTCCAAGCCACGGCTGGGCCATCTGAGGCTCCTTCCATGGTGGGTCCCAGCAGGATCAAGCCTAAACCACCCACAGTGGTAACCCCCTTCGTCCCACGCCCTGGACTTGGCTTTCCTTCTTCCTGGTTTCACCCCCGCCCCCGCAGGTCCCACTCGGCTTTCTGAAATTGCCCTGCTGTGTAGAGGCCCTGGCCTCAGCCAGCTTCTGTGGGAACATGAGCCAGGGCCCCTGCTTATCCATTTAAAATCACATTCTAAGGCAGCATATTTATTTCATAATGTGAACATTTTTCTTAGGAAAACTTCAATTTGAGATTGTATTTTAGAGGGTAAAAATAAACTCTGTAAGTTGAACCTTGGGTCCCACTATATGACTGAGGCTGGTCTCAAACTCCTGGGCTCAAGTGATCCTCCCACCTCAGCCTCCCAAAGCGCTGGGATTACAGGTGTGAGACATTGCACCCAGCCTGTGGTGGAATGAACTGAATGTGAATGCCTTTGGAAATACGTTTGTGGTACTCTTTCTCCAAATTCCCACGAATGGTGCTTCGGGTGTTTTCTTTCCTTTTTTTTTTGAGACACAGTTTCATGATTTTTACTCAGGCTGGAGTGCAATGGCGTGATCTCGGCTCTCTGCAATCTCCGCCTCCCGAGTTCAAGTGATTCTTCTGCCTCAGCCTCCCAAGTAGCTGAAATTATAGGTGCCTACCACCACGTCAGCCTAATTTTGTATTTTTAGTAGAGATGGGGTTTCACCATGTTGGTCAGGGTGGTCTTGAACTCCTGACCTCAGGTGATCTGTCTGCCTTGGCCTCCCAAAGTGTGGATTACAGGCGTGAGCCATTGTGCACAACAGGGGTGTTTTCTTCCCTCCCTCCCTCCCTTTCTTTCTTTCTTTCTCCTTCCTTCCTTCCTCCCTCCCTCCCTCCCTTCCTTCTCTTTCTCTCTCTTTCTTTGAGCCGGAGTTTCACTTTTGTTGCCCAGGTTGGACTATAGTGGTGTGATCTTGGCTTTCTGCAACCTCTGCCTCCCGGGTTCAAGAGATTTTCCTGTCTTAGCCTCCCAAGTAGCTGGAATTACAGCTGTCTACTACCAGGCCTGGCTAATTTTGTATTTTTAGTAGAGATGGCGTTTCACCACATTGGCCAGGGTGGTCTCGAGCTCCTGACCTCAGGTGATCCACCTGCCTCGGCCTCCCAAAGTGCTGGGATTACAGGTGTGAGCCACCGCGCCTGGCCTGGTTGGGGTGTTTTCTGTAAGCGTTGGCGAGTTGTAAACATAAACACATTCCACAAGAAATGGCCACAGTACCGTAAATGGCTTCAACTCTACTGACATGTGTAAACACAGCGGCGTGGGCAGACGCAGTGCCTTGCGTTCACTTGAGCAAACGTTTTGCTCTATGGACATGAGAAAATTAAGGCAGTCAACAACTTGGGGCTTAAAAATATTCAAGACCAAGTTTTATTTTGTGGTTGTTACAGAGGAAGGAATAGTTAGAAGAGCACAGCTCACCTTCAGCAGTGGAGGGGTTAATCTCAGGGACAAGATGGGGCAGTGGGGACATCACTTCCGACCTATGGTGTGTACCTTCCAGTAGCAGGGCTGACAATGACGCCTAGAAAGGTCTCCACTTCCTCCTGTTCTGCCAACCCCAGTGGTCTACAGGGCTGTGGAAAAGGCTGACCGGCTGCAGTGTGATCATCGTGTTTTTTAAAATAAAGAGCAGTTTTGCCTCTAAGGTAATTCATATCAACCGTATTTGGGAGAACACAGAGCTGGCATAACGTTGGCGTAGCAAGCAGGGCCAGGCCCACCCGCAGGACCCTCACGTGGGGCCGGGCGCCTGAGGCCCTCGGGCCTGGGGCCACACTGGCCGCCTGTGTGCTACTGTCTTGTCCACACCACCCCGGGAGGTGAGCTGAACAATGTGAGTTGTCTGTGGCGTTTGAAAGTGCAGTGGCTACATGAGTGTGCACGAAGTGGTTAGCTGTGCCTCCAGGGACATCTAGCAGGGGTGATGGGGCCAGGGCTGCCCCGGGGTTTCTATGGGCAGAGATCCCGAGTGCCTGCACCTGCTGGATGACAGTGGCTGGCAGCTGTAAGTGCTGGTGCTGGGTGCAAATTCCTTTGGTAGACTTTTTTTTTAAAGAAAAAAAAAATAAAATCAATTTTTGGGTAGGCACCTGAGGTAATGAGTTAAGAATAAGCACCAATACGGCCCGTGCTGGCACGCCGGCTCACAGGTTCTTCATGCACACCTGGCAGCGGCTGATGTGCGTGCGGATGAGGCCGGCCTTGAGTGTGTCGGCCGAGGGCGAGCCCTGGAAGCTCTGCTCAGGGATGGTGGTCAGCCAGAAGCTGTACTTGTTGGCGTAGTAGTGGCAGGTGCCGCGGCCTCCATTGCACTCGATGAATGGCGTGGCGCGGAAGTCCTCCAGACAGCTGCCCGGTGACACCAGTGACTGGCCACCGCCTTCATCTCCCGCTGCTGTGTGCTGCACAGAGAGGGGGCGGGACAGGGTTAGGAATCACAGGCTGGAGGTGGCCCGGGGTCAGGGCATAGCCCTCTTCTGTGTCGTTTGTTTTTACTGAGCAGCAAACCATCACCATCCATCTGTGTCAATACGGACATGCAGTATCCTCTCGAAGGCACCTTCAGCAAGAGGGGGCTAGTGAAATGCACCTGGGTCCCCCGCAGGAGGCAGCCCCAGGCACTGGGACGTGCTGCAGAGGCAGGTACATGAGGTCAGTTCACAGCCAGGCTGGCTGTTCCATAAGAACTAGAGCCGTGACTGCAGATGTGAGCGGTAGATGTCATTGACTACATTTTGGTAACAAAATGAACCATCTACCTAACCATTCAAAGAAAAATACCCGGTAGAAGAGATAACACAATGTTTACTCTTTTTAAAAGAAAAAAATAAATTAAGATGTAGGCTACCATCTGAGGTTGATAAGTTAAAAATATCAGAAGCCCCTTCTCTGAAAATGCTGATGATCAGGGAGGAAAGATGACTCATTTTAGTTATTATCATTATTATTTTCTTTGAGATGGAGTTTCGCTCTTAGTTACCCAGGCTGGAGTGCAATGGCGCGATCTCAGCTCACCGAATCCTCTGTCTCCTGGATTCAAGCAATTCTCCTGCCTCAGTCTCCTGAGTAGCTGGGATTACAGGTGCGCACCACCATACCCAGCTAATTTTTTGTATTTTTAGTAGAGACGGGGTTTCACCATGTTGACCAGGATGGTCTTGATCTCTTGACCTTGTGATCCACCCGCCTCGGCCTCCCAAAGTGCTGGGATTACGGGTGTGAGCCACCACACCTGGCCTCATTTTAGTTATTTTAAAAAATATCTGCACTTCCTGATTTTTTGCAATAAATATGCATTATTTGTGTAATTAAATACTGTATATATATATTTCAGTCAGAGGTTGTTAAGTGATTAGTTGATTCTGAGGCTGCTGGCTGTGGCTGGGAGACGGGTGACATTTTCAAGGGAGCCTTTTTTTTTTTTTTTTTTTTTCCATTTTAAAGTTCTACTTTCATTACACCAACATGTTTAGCCTTTACGGGAGCGCATGGCAGGCCTCCTGGACCCCAGAGTTTAAGTGCCATTTGGCTTGGCCAAGCAGGCGCTGAGTGGGTTTCTGTGGGCAGGGATCCCGAGTGCCGGCACCTGCTGGATGACAGTGGCTGGCAGGTGTGAGTGCTGGTGGTGGGTGCAAATTCCTTTGGGAGACTTTTTTTGGGCTTCGGAATCTGTTTACTTAGAACAGAAATATCTCAGTTCAGTTTGCAGGGAAAAAAGGGGCTGCCCTCTGACGTATTTGGGCAGTTTAAGCTTTCCTTTGAATACAAAAAAACCAAAAAACCTTTAAAAAGTGTTCTGCTCACAGAAGGCAGAAGCCTGTCCAGCCCCGTGCTGCCCTGCTCCTGTCTGCTAATGAGCAGGTAGTAAGAAGTGGATCCATCCTTCAGGGCATCTCTGGCTTCATTTTGGTCAGAAGGAGCTGAGGCCATGCTGGGAGCTGCCCCAGGGAGATGCCTGGAACTCCCAGACTGAGGTCAGAAGTGAAATGTGAGAAGTCTTAGTGGCTGGCACCAGCCAGGTAAGAGCTGAGTTTGCTGCACACACACACATGCACACAAGCATACATGCACACACGGTGTACACTCATGTACACACAGATGCATGCATATACACAGTGTGTAAGGGCACACAGTGCAGGCACACACACACCCTATCCAATGCGCTCCTTTCAGTGGACAAGCCTCTGGTCTTGGTACTCACAGCAGCTCATATATCTTAAAGAGAACTGCCTGGATGAGAGGCTGACCCAGAGAAGGGGCCTCGAGGGCTGCATATTGTAGCCAGAATTAACAAAAGAGGAACTAAAATAATGGCCGGCTAGATATTTGCAGCCTCCACCAGACCAGTTTTGAGAGGACACTGAGGGGTGGGGAGGCAAATGGCTTTTGCTGCTGCGGTCACATCCGGGGCTCTGCCCAGTCCTCCCTCCCACGTGGTGCTTGCTTGCGGGAAATGCAGAAAATGCATCCTCTGGAGTCACCCATTCTCAGGGACAAAGGAAGGGTGAGCCAGGTGCTAGCCTCAGCGCTGCTCCTGCCTCTGTGTACCCACTGGAGATGGTAGGGCAGCTGCTCTCTGCCAAGCTGTCCTCTCAGTATGCTGAGATGCCAGCAGTCCTAGTAGTACCATACGCTCATCACTTCACAGAAGGGATCAAAGAGCATTTAAAGCACAGACGAGGCACACAGCTGTCTTGGTTTGAGTCCTGTCTCCTAGATAGCAGTTGGGGCACATCTGGGAAGTACACAGATGTGTCTGCTCACTTATCCATCATCAGGGCCAACAGGGACTTTCTGTTGTTCTCAGAAGTCACGGTACTTCTGGCCAGTCTGTCCTGACCCCTGCCTCTGTTGGCAGGGTGACAGGATCTGTCTCAACCTGTGCCTTTTGGGGATGTCAAGTTCCAGGCTTGCTGGGGCTGTCAGCCATTTATTTAAGCAGAGAGTTATGTGTGTGGAGGAAAATGTCCGCTTAGCTTGTGACATTAATTTGCAACTTGATTGCTAATGAAACAGGAAATGCCTGGCCTTTTGGAATTCTGTGTCATCATGCCCTTCGCAAGAGAGAGGCTCATTTACTTTGAACTTAACAATGGGGGTTCAAAAAATTGGACCAACCAAAGCTTACTTCCTCCATGGCACAGGAGCACCCTGAAGGTCACTGTGACACAAAAGAAGGTTGCTGCAAAGTATGAAAAGCTTCTGGAAAAGTAGAAATTGTGCCTGTCCCTGCCCAGGATTTGGTATCCTGTTGCTCCACCTTACCCCAGCAACAATACCTATTAAAATGGCAATGCTGGTCTTTCCCTTCCGTTCCTAGAATCTGGATGTTTTTCCTGATGTTTTGAAAGGTTAGTAATCATTATGCAATTTATGTATTATGTGATATATATAATTTATGAAATATTTAATCGGATGCCATGCTGGGCATCTGATCAATATAGCTGGAGTTATGACAGTTATGATGCATATAAATAAACTTGACGGAAGACCCACTGTTCTCAGCGAGACTTTCTCTTCTTACTACTATAATATATAGATGGTCCCTGATTTACCATGGTTAGACTTAACGATTTTTGAACTGTTTGATGGTGCAAAAGAAGCATGTATTCAATTCACTATTTGATTTCTGGTGGGGCTACAGCCAGATAAACCCATCGTACATTGAAAATGCACTTTCAACTTATGATACCTTCATCTTACCACGAATTTAGTGGGAGGGGACCCCATTCCAAGTTGAGGAGCCTCTGCTTCAAGAGGTAACATTGCAAAAGACACTCTGGTGCTGTGGTCTCTCCCCTTGAGGTTAGGCTAAACCTGAAGCTGGCCAAAGCTGAGGGTTCTCTATTTTATGCCCAGAGGCCATCTGGCAGGGTGGGCGGCACCATCCCAGGTCCTGGTTGTATACCTTCTCCTGGCTTTCAAAGTATCCGCAGCCTCTCTATTTTATACCCAAAGCTATTCCATAAATTTCCCCAGGAATGTATATCCATTTTAAGGCAGCCAGTTACTAGGTATTTCTTGAGGGTATTCTAGGTTTCAGATAGATTCTAAATCAGATCAGGATTCTGGAGAAAAGTCTTCCCTCTATTTAGACTTCTGGTAAACCCAAAGCAGCTGTACCTCTGGTGTTGGTGTTGTGCCTAGTAAGACGGATGGCAGGCAAATTCTTCCTGGTTACACTCACTCCTTACAAGGCCTGATGGCAAATTAATGTGCCCTTTCTCTGTGGGGGCAGCCCTGTGCCCAGCACATGGCTCAGTTAGCAAAGTGTAAGCTGTACTCCAGCTCTCACTCCCTGGGCCAAGTGCCCTTGTGCAGTGCACACCCTAAACAACGGCCCTGATCACTTTTACAAAGGCAGCCAGCTGTTCTGGCTGTGTCCCCTGCCAGGCTGCGGTTGGGGAGGGGAGCTGGGCAAATACCACATACCATGAGGAAGGAATATCCGATCCACAAACTCCGCCACCCAGCTGGGCAGTGGGGGATGGAGACATCTTGGCTGTGGACAGCAATGGCGACGGCCGGGGCCTCGCACACAGAGCAGCGGCTGATGTAGGGCTTGATCTCGTCTTCGGCCACGGGCATCATGGGCAGCGGGGCGGTGGTGGAGAGCCAGTAGGACTTGTCGTTCCGGCTGGCATAGTAGCAGACGTCCCCAGGGTTGCAGTAGAGAAAGGGCATGGTGCTGAACCTCGCCAGGCAGGAGCCCGCCAGCCCTGAGGAAGGAGGGGCCGTGAGATCACAGCGCAGTGCAGCCAGAAGACGCACCTGCCATCTCCAGCCTGGCCCAGGAGGCTCCGACTTGCCCCAGGCCACCTGGTGGAGTTCAGCCACCTATGGGAGGGCCAGGCTGAGGCTTCTCAGTTTCTTTCTTTTTGTCTTTTGGATCAAACAGACTACACTGGCATTTTGGAACAGCTCTGTTCTACAGGTTATCACAGATACTGGGCCAAGCTGGATCAGCCGGGAGTAGCATCTTCATGGAACAGCATTTTGGGTGAGCCCTACCTTAGTGGGGTCTTATAGCACTGGCCCCAAGAAACCTCTGATGGCCTCCTAGGGGTCACTCTTTGACCACAAGGAGCCACCCAAGAAGGGGCCCTGGCTCCTCTCCCGTCCATGTAGCCTTATTGCTTCTGGAAACAAAGACAGCCTTTCTCTCCTGGCCCTGGTGACTGCTGCGGCTAAGTGGGCTTCCCTCTTCACATGGATTGCTGAAAAGCTCAGAGCCAGAGGTGCACCTTTAGCAAACACCCACTGCTGGGCCTGCCTCCTTGGCCCTGTTCCCAGATCTATTTTAGGCCCTTATCCTTGGCGGCCCTTGCTCAGCTGTTCTCAAGAAACCGACTGTGGAAGTGGAGTACAGAGTGTGCAGGTGCCATGAGGCCAGCTTCAGGTGCCCAGGGGCAGAATGCCTGCTGTCACCTGTGCCAAGGAGGTAGAATGTGTCCTGTGTCCTGGAGACCCTTCCTGTCACCCACTCATGGGGGATCTGATACTAAGCCACCTCCACTTGTAACTTGTGTGTGTTGCATTTTCTGCATTCGAAGTCACTTTCATGACTTTTAAAGGCTTCCTTGAATAAGACCATGTACACGTGTCCATCTGTCCATTTTCCAGGGGGGATTGTGTGCGAGGAGTATGATACGAACCCCAGCCCCTCAGGGCCCCTGCCTGACTCCAAGTCTACAGAACTTGTGTCAAAAGGCAAGAAGGAGGTGAAGCCATCGGTGGCCTCCGCTGGAGAGGGGCCAGGGTCAGAGGGGTCACATGGAGCCTGTGGAAGCTGATACCAAGTTAAAAGGCAGGTCCCGGTGTTAATGCCCTGAGGTTTCTGGGCTTTGTAAGGTTCTGCTACAAAGGCCGTTTTATCTTTCTGTACCACCAGGAATGCGGGTGGACCCTTCCATCAGGGGAACTCATCAGCTGTGGAGGGTTCGGGAGTCTCGCTGTGGCCCTCTGACTGTGGCTGCTTCCGGGCCAGCCCTGAGCAGGCTGCAGGAACCGGGCGGGTGGTACCTACCCAGGTCCTGGTTGTGCGCTTTCTCCTGGCCCTCAAAGTACAGCAGGCTGTACCCGCTCCAGAGCTTGTTCATGCCCACAGGGCACATGGGCTCCTGGTCCGTCTGGCTGTGCTTCACCAGGAGGTAGCCGATGCTGACGCTGCGGCCTGGCATGCCGGGCAGGCCTGGGCTCCCTGGACGGCCTGGCACTCCTGTGGCCCGAGAAAGAGAGAGACACAGCAGCCCCCTTGACAGCCGCCCACGGAAACCTAGGGACCCAGGCGTGCAGGGCAGTTTATAGGCACACCCAGACCTCAGGGCTCAGTCTGTGGAGATCAAGAGACTCTTGGGAAGGATTTGACCAAGACTTTGTGCTCAGCAGCAGGAAATGATGGCCGGGAGGGCACTGGGCACAGAGGAGGGGGCCTTTCCATAAAGGACTCAGTCAGCCACAGGTAGGCGTGTGCCCCTCAGGGTGCACGCAACGTGCCTGGAGTTGGAAGTGCCCGGAGAGTATCACAGGGCAGCCCCACCCCCAGCAGTGATCCCCCGCTGCTGGACACTTCCAGGAGAGGCGGCTCATCGCAGGCTCTGCTGACTGTGCACTTGACCAGATCCTGGGTTAGAATGTTCTTTCTGCGCTTCCTTAACTCCCACCCTGGAACACACTGGGGCGGCTCATCCGCCTAAAGCACGGCAGCCCTGTGAATGTTTCTCAGTCCCCTCCCCTTCCAAGGGACACTCACGGTCATGCCCCTTTCTCCCGGGACACCTCTCCTGCGCCGCGTGGGCTCTGACTTGCCAGCATTTGTTTCTGGGTGCACCACACGGGCCCATAACTTGCTGGTTGTGGGTCTGTCTCCAGGGCCAGGGGACTGCTATTTCTTTGACTTGGACACCGATAATGCTACCTCTGTTTAATTTATTTTTTTTTTTTTTGAGACAGAGTTTCGCTCTTGTTACCCAGGCTGGAGTGCAATGGCGCGATCTCGGCTCACCGCAACCTCCGCCTCCTGGGTTCAGGCAATTCTCCTGCCTCAGCCTCCTGAGTAGCTGGGATTACAGGCATGCACCACCACGCCCAGCTAGTTTTTTGTATTTTTAGTAGAGACGGGGTTTCACCATGTTGACCAGGATGGTCTCGATCTCTTGACCTCGTGATCCACCCGCCTCGGCCTCCCAAAGTGCTGGGATTACAGGCTTGAGCCACCGCGCCTGGCCATCTGTTTAATTTTAATTTCAGTGCTCCGACCATTGGCTCAAACTAGGCTCAGGTTGATTAAGACAAATTTTGAGAATTCTTTTTGCATGAATAGCTGTTATTCCTGGCTTATCTCATTCTGCATGTGTGCAAATAATTAAAAAAAAATAAGTAAGATGGCTGGGCATGGTAGCTAACTCCTGTAATCCCAGCACTCTGGGAGCCCAAGGCGGTCGGATCACTTGAGGTCAGGAGTTTGAGATCAGCCTGACCAACATGGTGAAATCTGGTCGCTACTAAAATAAAAAAAAAATTAGCTGGATGTGGTGGCACATGCCAAGTAGTCCCAGCTACTTGGGAGGCTGAGACAGGAGAATTGTGTGAACCTGGAAGATGGAGCCTGCAGTGAACAGAGATCGCGCCACTGTACTCCAGCTTGGGCAAGACAGAGCAAGACTGCCTCAAAAAAAAAAAAAAAAAAAGACGGCTTTGTAGTGTGGCTCTTGTAAATGTAAATAGTTGGTTTCTTTTTGGATTCGGTTTGAATCCTGACCCTTGAAGTCTGCTCATCCCCACTCCCTTCGCAGCACCGGCAGGTGGCCCAGGAAAGGGAGGGAGGCTGTCCCCGGACTTGGTGCCAGGTGCTCTGCTGGGCATGGGAGCGGCGCGGCCTGTGCAGAGTAGGAGCAGGAGGATGGGGCAACACCTCATTTCTGGCTTTTCTGGGCACTCGTGTCCTCCTCCTGCAGACCACAGCGTGTGAGTCAGACTCAGCACGGGGACCTGGGAGGTTCCCTCCCTACCGCTCACTCACCTTCTTGGCCAACCGGCCCCTGGTGGCCTATGGGCCCTTCCTCTCCCCGGAAGCCGGGAACAGCAGACACGCCGCCTCTTCCCTGGGGCCCGGCTTTCCCTGGAGCCCCACGGAAACCTGCAAGCCACCAAAGAAGTGTGAGTATGGCTGGAAACTGTGACCACGCTGGCACAGCTGGCGATCTGCAGGGAACACAAGAGGATGCAACGCCAGCAGTCCCCGGCATCGCCCAGGCGGCCCCGTGGGGATCCAGGCCCCAGCTCAGCACCCTACCTGGTTCTCCGGGGGGGCCCTGGGGCCCCATCTCCCCGGGTGCCCCAGGAGGGCCTCGCCTCCCCTGGGGACCTACTGTCCCTGGTTGGGTAGCAATCCTCTGGGGGATTCCTGCAATCCCGGGGGCTCCCACGATGCCGGGGGCACCTAGAAGGGAAACAGAGAGGCCCCAGTAAACACGCAAGGTCATTCCACTCTCTTGCTCTGAGTGCTACTGTGTTTCTTACCCCTGGAGGCTCCTTTTGGAGCTTCCTGGACAGTCGTGCTTTCTAGAGATGAGCCAGACACTAAGGGGCCCGAGCCGTGACTCAGCGCCTGACGTTTGAATATTAAACTTTCCATTCCCCAAAGCCCTCCCTGCTCTTTACAGCATGTGACCCACGCCAGAGAGGACCTTCTGGCTGTTTGACCTTCAGGATGTCCCCAGGCCTAGAGAGGCTGGCCTGAGCTGCTATCTCTGCAGGCACGCAGACGGTCACTTACCAGGGAATCCTGGGTCTCCCTTGGGTCCCTTGGGGCCTCTGTCACCCACAGGTCCGGGGGGTCCAGGGTTCCCCATGAAGCCTTGTTCACCCCTGGGCCCTACAACACAAACAAGACATTAGGGACATGGAGGTCTGTGGGGAGGGGCTCCTCGCACCGCGGCCAGGGTTGCTGGCGCACCGCCATGAGCACCATTACCTTTTTCTCCCGGGAGACCGAGCACGCCGGGCCTGCCCTGGGGCCCAGGGTCCCCGACCCATCCTTTGGTCCCTGGGGTTCCCGGAGCTCCTGGGTTCCCTGTGTCACCTTTGCTTCCAGGAAGAGCAGCAGATCCCGGTGGCCCGGGTGGGCCCCGATAACCTGTTGGCATTAGGGACAAGAAGGGAGGGTTTAAACTGTGCAGCCAGGTGCACAGTCACGCATTTGGGGGACAGCCTCTGGCAAGTTTGCGACATGGCATGACTTTGTCTTTCTTTTTAAAAAGTTGTCATAAAATATGTATAACATAAAATTTACCATTTTAACCATTTTTAGGTGCACGGTTCAGTGGCATTAAACTATATTTGCATTGCTGGGCAACTTTCACCACCGGCAATCTCCAGAACTTTCTCATCATCCGAAACTGAAATCTGTCCCTGTGAAGCACTCACTTTCCGTGTACCCCTCCCCTGACCCTTAGCAACAGCTGTTCTGCCTTCTGTTTCTATGAAGTTGATGACTTCAGGGCCTCACGTGTGTGGAATCACAGAGTCGGTCGTTTTGTGACTGGGTTCTTTCACTCAGCAGAATGTCCTCAAGGGCCATCTAGGTGGTAGCAGTCTTTTTAAGACATGGTGGTTCACACCTGTAATCTCAGCACTTTGGGAGTCTGAGGCAGGTAGATTACTTGAGCCCAGGAGTTCAAGACAAGCCTGGGCAACATAGCGAGACTTCATCTCTACAAAAACTACAAAAAATTAGCTGGGCATGGTGGGGCATGCCTGTAGTCCCAGCTACTTCGGAGGCTGAGGAGGGAGGATCACACAGCCTGGAAGGTTGAGCCTTCAGTAAGCTGTGATCACACCACTGGACTCCAGCCTGGGTGACAGAACCAGACTCTGTCTCAAAAAAAACCAAACAGGCTGGGTGCGGTGGCTCATACTTGTAATCTTAGCACTTTGGGAGGCCAAGGTGGGCTGATTGCTTGAGGTCAAGAGATTGAGACCAGCCTGGAAGACATGGTGAAAACCCATCTCTACTAAATATATAAAAATTAGCTTGGCATGGTGGCAGGTGCCTGTAATCTCAGCTACTAGGTGGGGCTGAGGCACGAGAATTCCTTGAACGCGGGAAGGCAGAAGTTGCAGTGAGCCAAGATTGCACCATTGCACTCCAGCCTGGACGACGGAGCAAGACTGTCTCAAAAAACAAAACAAAACAAAACCCAAACAAAAAAGACAACCTCCTCTTCCATGGTGCGTACAATGACTGCATTTTGCTTCTTAATTCCTCTGTCGATGGACCCTTGGGTGGCTTTCAGCTCCTGGTGCTTGTGAATAGCACTGCTGTGAACCTTGACGCACAAATACTTGTTTGAGGAGTGACTTCATGTTTACATCCTCTCTTTCCAATATTCAGGTCATTTGTGATTAGGGAATGCAAATTAAATTTAATATGTGTCTAAGCACAATACATTGAGGAAGAAGAAAGCCATTCATGGTGTACATTTCCGAGTCCTGCTGCAGTTTGACTGTCTGCTACTACAGCAAGTAAACGACAGGGCCCATGTCTCGGCTTCCCGGGGGCCAGATCGTGCAGGTGATGGAAATGACACAGGATGAAGCGGTGATGGCCCCTGGCCCTTTGACTGGAGTCTGGCCACAGTGTGGAAATGAACATGCAATTCTCCCCCTAGATGAAGTGGGCCATTGCCAGCTCCTGCCCCACAGATGCTGAAGCACAGATGCATAGTCCTGCTTACCTTTCAGGCCAAATATCCCTGGCGCCCCTTTGTCACCAGGTGCCCCAGAGATGTTGGAAGGGGGCGTGATGCCAGGGAACCCCTGAAGTCCTGGATTCCCAGGTGGGCCTCGTTGCCCTTAGGATGAAAACAGAAGACATTATTTTCAGCATTAGCACCTGACTTTTCAAATCCACTGTTTTCCTTCCACACCATCACCTGTGGTGGACCAGTCTAGTGGGCGATACGGCGATGGGAGGTGCCCTCAGGTCAAGGAGCATCTCATGGCGAGGCTCTCAGGGTGGGGCTGGGGAGGCAGGGGCTGTGTGAGTCCTCTCTGACCCCGACTTTCTCCTATGGGGACCTCTCCAGTGGGTCCTGCCTGCCTGTGCTCCACTTCCCCAAGGCACTGCCCAGTCGTGCTTAGATGGAGCCTCAGCCCCAGGCATGGCACAGTCAGACTCTGATCCTGGTACATGTGGACAGTGGTCAGCACATGCGATGCACGGAAGGCGGGAGAACTGCAAAGGAGACTTCAGTTGACATTAGTGTCGTCAGCCCTCCGCGTGGCTGCCACCGGGGCCTCGGATCCCAGCTTGGGTAGAGTTGGTCCTCATTATTCACAGATTCTGTACTTCCCAATTCGCCTGCTCACTAAAACTCACTTGGAATCCCCCCAAATCAACACTGGCATTCACGGATGTACACAGAGGCAAAAATGAGTCCCAGCTGAGGTCCAGCAAGGCGACACTCCTGCCTTCTCACGGCAGCTCACCCTGTAAGCACAGTGTCCTTGTCTTGGTCTCTGTAGTGCCCTGTTTTCTACATTTTTGTGCTTTATGCTGGTGATCTTGCTGTTTCAAATGTCCCCCATATATTACGTTGAAGTGCAGCCTGGTGTTTCTAAATGCAAGAAGGCTGTAAAGTCCCTTATGGAGAACCAAGTATGTTGGAGGAGCCACATTCCGGCATGAGTGAGGGTGCATGTTGAGTGTTCATGAATCAACAACCCACACCAAATGAGGTGCTGTTACACAGAAGACCAGGATATATATTGATCATCGAGAAAAATGTTGTGAGCAGAGGCTTGCAGGAATCTAGCCTTGTATTTCCACTAGGAAAATGGTCAGTACTCACTAAGTCAGTGTTCTTGATGACTTCAGAATATAGCTACTGTGGATAATGAGAACCAACAGTTTTTGGGTCAAAGGCTGGAGCCCTTTGGCACAAGTAGGAGAGTAAGAGGGAAGTGCCACGTAAGAAAATTTGTGGAAATTCAAGTCCTCTCTGTGCTGTCAGCCAACAAGTCATTAATGGAGCTTTATGTGCCGTAGGGCAGGGGTGGGCAGAAATGAGCGTGGACCTGAGTCTGGGTGGATGAAGTCTACTTTCCCTCCTAACCACCTGCAGCCTTCTGTTTCTCCTGAAGGGCTGGGGACCAAGATTAGTATTAGAACCCTACAAAACGTTAGAATGTCCAAGTGAGCAAGGAGGGCGTCATTTCTGCTCTGCAGGGAAGAGTGAGCTGGGTGAAACATGCAGATCTATAAAAATGAGAAAAGGCAGCAGCAGTGGTTTCCTGCTTCCCCCTGGCTTTGTGACTCGTCTATACTCATCAGCAGCAGGAAGAGGTTTTCCCTTTGGAAGATCGTGGTATCCATTATCCATCTCAGGGGAAAGGATTCCATGCATGTTTCCCAGTAGGACAAAAGAAACAGCAGGAGAAATAATCTAGAGAAGTGACACTTGTTTCACAAATCACAGACAACACGAAAGTGGGTTCATTAGCCCTGAGGGCATCAGTGAGCCACCATCTGTGGTTTGATATAAAATGACATCAATTGAACTGCTTCTAGCTATTGTCACAAAGTACCCGAAACAGATGGTGAGTGTCAGTAAATAATGGCAAAGATTCCTGAGTTAGATGATCCGCAATCCCCAGACTGGCAGATTTTCAGGAAAACATAATTAACTTAGCTGCAGTGATGAGGACTCTGTTAATGAGAACAATTAGCAAACATGAGTCAGTTTGTTGGAATCTGGATGAAAACAGCGACGATTTCTCAGCAGCCCCCGCAGATTGTCCTAAGTACTGACAAAAAGTCCCACGTCCTACTAACAGGGGTTCCATGAAGGGCCATGTTGCATGACTCAAGGCCTAATCAGGAGCTGATGCTTGAATGCCAGCTGTGGAAATAGGTAAGATTGCAAATTCTAGCTTCAGTGAGCTGTGAGATGGTTTGGCTGTGTCCCCACCCAATTTTCATCTTTTAGTGAATTGTAGTTCCACCAATCCCCACAACGTGATAGGAGGGACCTGGTGGGAAATGACTGAATCAGGGGCTGGTTATCCGCACGGTGTTCTCGTGATAATGAGTTCCCATGAGATCTGATGGGTTTATGAGGGGCTGTCCCTGCTTGACTCAGCACTTCTGTCTCCTGCCTCCAGTGAAGAAGGATGGGTTTGTTTCCCCCTCCGCCATAACTGTAAGTTTCCTGAGGCCTCCCCAGCCATGCAGAACTGTGAGTCAATTAAACCTCTTTCCTTTAGAAATTACCCAGTCTCCGGTATTTCTTCATAGTAGCATGAGGATGCACTAATACAAATGAGATGCAACTCATGTAAAGGAAGATGACAGATTGAAATTATTTCCATATTTTTAGAGAAGAGTATGTGTCCTGAATGACATTATGATCAGTGTGTGAATGTCATCATGGAAAGTCGTCTTTCCCTCATCACAAGCCAGAGGCAGTGGCCTCAGAGGCCAAGCCCCAGTGGCACTGGGCAGTGTCTGCTCTGGCCTCCAGAGCAGGAGTCATCAGCTCATGGGGCCACAGTGATGTTCATGCAGAATGAGGGTGGGGGGCGTGGCTTACAAAAGGCAGCATGCCTCATGGTGGCTTGGAAGCAGGGGTCATGGTCCAGGTCCCTGGGATGGGAACACCACAGTAGGTCATGAAGAGTTTTGGTAAACGGGTGGCACACAGATCAAATGTGTAATAAGGCCATCAATGTTAACGTAGGGGTATTCTGAGCTGCACATAACTCTCCATTGATGTCAGACAATTATCCTACAATTTCACAATATTCTTCTCCCACAAATATTTGTTGAGCACTCACTCAGCAACAAGCATTTTGCCAAGGTATGAGCAGAAAATAAATGAGGTAAATTTCTGCCCTTGTGGATGGAAATCTTAATCTGTGTTTTGTGGTCAAGTTCGGGATCTGAACATCATGCTGTGTGAATCAAATGTTAAAAATGCATGGTCACACAAATGCTAGCAGCTTTGTTCTGTGACCCACCCCACCAAGGGCCACTGCGTGCACCCTGTCGATATCCCAGCTTGGCTCCCCCCGCCCCTCCCTGTACCAGATCTCCTCTGCAGAACTCCTGGCCAAGTCTCCCCTATTGCTGTGCTCCCAGATGCCTTTCAGGTGACAGACTGGCAAACTGATCATCATGACACTCCAAAAACAATGCTATGTTTCGAGGCCTTTAACAATAGCCAACATTTACTGCTGGCCTGTGTGCAAGAGCCTTACCTGTAGTATCTCATTGCATCCTCCCCATACTCACAAGTGCATTTGTGTTCTCGTTTTACAGACAAAGCCTAGAGACATTCAATTCCATGGCCAGCGTCACATGGTGAAAACCTGGCCCATGTGAGACTCAGAACAAGAACCCAACAGGGATCTGATTTAAAGTTCATGGCCATGGTCAACTCTATTCCTGAGCTTCTGGGAAGCTTATGCTGATGGACTGACCCTAGATCCTCACCTGGACTGAGGCTGTGCTAGTGGACTAACCCTAGATTCTCACCCCTGACTGAGGCTATGCTGCTAGACTGACCCTAGATCCTCACCCCTGACAGGCTGTGCTGCTGGACTGACCCTAGATCCTCACCCTGACTGAGGCTGTGCTGCTGGACTGACCCTAGATCCTCACCCCTGACTGAGGCTGTGCTGGTGTATTGACCCTAGATCCTCACCCAGACTGAGGCTGTGCTGCTGGACTGACCCTAGATCCTCATCCCTGACTGAGGCTGTGCTGGTGTATTGACCCTAGATCCTCACCCCTGACTGAGGCTGTGCTGCTGGACTGACCCTAGATCCTCACCCCTGACTGAGGCTGTGCTGGTGTATTGACCCTAGATCCTCACCCAGACTGAGGCTGTGCTGCTGGACTGACCCTAGATCCTCATCCCTGACTGAGGCTGTGCTGGTGTATTGACCCTAGATCCTCACCCCTGACTGAGGCTGTGCTGCTGGACTGACCCTAGATCCTCACTCCTGACTGAGGCTGTGCTGCTGGACTGACCCTAGATCCTCACTCCTGACTGAGGCTGTGCTGGTGGACTGTCCTGGATCTTCACCCTGACTGGGACTCTGGCAGCACCGTGCAGCCTCCCAGGATAGTCTGGCTGCTGTTGGCAGAGCTCCTCCTCTTTCTCCTGTCTTCAGATTAGTGCTGTGGAGCTCAGTGGCTAGGGGATTCTGGAATTTCCAGTCGCTGGTGAGGGGAGAGGGCAGGCAGCAGATCCTGGAGGGTCAGATTGATCTGCGAGCCTTGAGACATCCCTGCACCCCAGCAGAAGCCAGAGTTGCTGGCCTCCTTGGATCTGACTTCCTCTCTTGTGGGGTGTCTGGTTCTAGCTTCATAGGGAATTGGCACCAGAAAAGCTCAGACCTTTGTGCACGGAAGCCAGAGAGTTTCTGTTGCCACTGTGAAGCCCAGGGTGCTCAGGACCTCCATCCAGGTGCGCTTCCCACCTTCCATACCTGAGCCAGGAGATGCCCGTGGTCAAGCTGGTGGGGTGGGCAGGCTGTGGGAGGGGCCCATGGATCTCAGGAGCAGACTCTGGAGCTGTGCGCTCACGCACAATGAGACCACAACACCCTTAGTAGACTGGCTCCCAGAAAAGTCCTGGTTTCTATTTTTATCTAGGAATGTTTCTCACTGCCATGAAAACCTTGAGCCGACCTTGGCTGGTGACCAGGGAGGCTGTGGGGTGGGAAGATAGGTTTCTGGTTATTTCCTACCCACGTATGGGTCAGTGTGGCTCTGCTAGGAGGTTTAATGCATTTATTTCTTCACGCATTCACTACTCAGAGTGGTTGTCATGGCAAGCCCTGCGCCAGTGCCCTGGGTGCACAGAGGGTCTGAAGGGGTCCTAGGCCAGGGAGCTTATCAGCTACTCCTCGGGATGGGTGGTCAGTGCCTCACTAACACTGATGGGACAAAATAAAGTACCTAACAAACTGAAGACCAGCTGAGAGGTTGTGCAACAGGAAGTCCTGCCGCCCGAACCGCTCTTCCCTGTCCTTCTGCGCAGCCTCTCCCACCCCACAGACGCTCCAGGGCCCCACCTCTGGGTGTGATCTGGTTATGGGGATGGCAGTGTTTGCTTGGGAGTGTGTGGCCTCACCTGGAGCTCCCTGTTCTCCTTTCTGTCCTGGGACTCCCACAGGGCCTGGCAGGATGTTAGCCTCTCCTCGGTCACCTCTCTCCCCAGGAGGACCTGGGAAGCCTGGGTCTCCGTGGATGTCAGCACCTGCGGAAGAGTGACCAGAGCGGCTGATGCCAGTGTTTCCGATGACACAGCTGACTTTCCCAAGTGAAAGAGCAGTTCGGGGTGCCTCTAAGGCAGAGAAACAGAGGAAGCCCCGGGGATTTCAGCTTGGAAAACACTATATGGCCTCCGAGTCACAGGAGCTGGGATTTGGAAGGGATCTTACAGAGATTACAGTAGAAGCCCTTGGCTTTATGGATAAGAAAATCAAGGCCCATCGGAGGGTCCAAATTCACAGAAACAGTGGGTCAAAGAGTTGGGGCCCTTTCCAGGCCTTGGCTCCTGAGGGCTGCTCTTTGGGCTATGCCTTAATTAGGTTTTCAAAGCAAACACTATCTAAAGTCTTCCCTGTTCTCACATCGGGCTCTCAATGCCACTGTGGCAGGAAACAGCAAAACACCGTTACAAGGATTTCCTGCCACGTGCCCACTGGAACTGGAATTTATATGTAAAACACACCCACACAAATTACCTGTAGAGAGTGCGCTATTCGGTGATGTAAAGTATCTACAAAGAGCACATTCTAAAAGCAGCTTTAGGATTAGGGGTGCTTTTTTCCCGCTTAAATGTGTTGATTTTTTACATGAGTTTAAATGTGCTCATTTTTTTTTCTTCCACTTAATATAAATTTGTATACACTGAAAAGAAAACAAGGTTATCTTTTGAAACCTGCTGAAAAAGCAAGGCCTCTATTTCTCTGTCCGTCTAAAAGCCTGATAGGTCCATTCAACACAGCAACTGGCTTGAGAAACGGATTCTTAGGGAGCACATCTCAGCAGCGTAGAGGATCTCAGGACCTGGACCCTTCCCTAGGGATGATCAGTGCTTCGGGAAGCCCGTCCTGCTCCCTAAGACCCTTCCTTCCCTGAAGTCTGCGAGGGCCGACCCAGCACAGAGTCCCCACCCGCCACGCCTCTGTGTGGGACTCGGGCTGAGCTGGCGCAGAGTACCTGGGGATCCCGGAAAGCCTTTGGTGCCTGGCAAGCCGTGTAAGCCGCTGATCCCGCGGGGTCCAGGGAAACCTGTGGGGTGTCACTCACAGTTATTTCATGTGTAGGACGGCACAGGGGGTCTGGGTGGGAGAAACTCTCAAGGTAATTCACATGTGTTTCCTTGGCTCTGAAACTGTCACCTGATACTGTCACCCATGCAATCCTGTTAAAGCGTCACAAACAGGAAGCAGCTAAGCCACAGGTTCGACTTACACAACATGTAACTAACCATGCTTATGCCATCTAGGAAAACCACTGAATTTGAACACCTTTTGTGGAAGCTGTTTTGCAGACTGGCTAGGCCAGAAGGGGCCTGGGGAGTGACGTGTGCCATGCCTTTTCCTGACGCTTGGCCACTGCTGTACGTTCGCTTTGTAAAAGCTGCTTGGGACAAATAACCCGTGTCATTTCCATTCCCTCTGGATTTCTGAGGGGAAGTATTTCTGAAGCAGGACATGGCAAACAGGTGGCAACTCCTTCTGTGATGTGGGCAGTAAGCATGGTAGGGCGGCCTGTCTCGGGCTGCAGGGGGCTGTGAGGGGCCCCGGGAAGGCCTGTGCAGCACCGTGGGACATGGGCTGCTCCTGCACCCCGATCTCGTGGGGGATCCCTGTGTGGCAGTGACAGGTGGACCCTGAAGCCTCTCTGGGAGGCTGTCGTTCATCCTTCTGGGAGGTGAAGCCTGGGCAGATGTGTGCATCTGGCTTGATTCCCAGTGGCCTGGGGCACCAGCATCCCTGTGCTGCTGTGTTGGTGAAGGCCACCGTACGCCACAGCAACCCTTTGCTTTCAAACCTGAGCCTTTGCTCTGAGATGGGCCTTACAACTTGCCCCGAGAGAGGCTGGCCTCCTCAGCGGTGCCTCCTGCACAGCCCACGACCCTGGCTCTGGGTGACAGCGTGCTTTGCATGGCCTTACCTGGTAAGCCTGGAGCTCCCGGCCAGCCATCATCCCCTTTGCCACCAGGCAGTCCAATCCGCCCCGGCTCTCCCTGAGGCCCTGGTGGCCCCGTCAGCCCTGGAAAGCCTAGGGGTGAACACAGCATTAAGTCTGAGCACACAGGACACCCTGGGAACTGTCTGGTGAGGTCCTGGCGGGAGGGTCAGCCGCTCTGGGAGGGGCTGAGGGCCGGAGGAGCTGCAGTGCCACTTGGATGAGAGCTCAGAACTGTCCCTCAAGCTGGAGATGCAGGAGGTCTTGGACCCCACATGCAATTTCAATAGGGTTTGCTCAGCCTTGCCAGAGAGCAAACAGCGTGCAGTTTTAATTCTCGCCCTATTATCTAAATGGATGTCTGGAGGGACCTGGAGGTTGCGCCTGGATAGATGAGCCTCTCGGCATTCCCCAGTGCTGGGTAAAGAGGTGGAAGCCGCAGCAGCCCCGCGGGAAGCCAGCCCACTGTCCACTGTCCTTCTCTAACCTGGGGTGTTCACAGGGGCTGCTTCGCATTCAACTCACGCAGGGATCCCTTACAAACTGCTGGCTTCTATACGAGAGACAGAGGCTCGGCCGGAGAGGCACTTCTCGTCCATCCTCCTGCTTCTCCCCAGTCCTCAGGTCTCCCCCCAGCCCACGTGGCTGTTTCTCTCCACGCCATCGGCCCTGAGGAAGACTCCTGAGCGAGCAGCAGGCACGAGTGAGCTTCCAGGGTTGGGTGTGCTTGGAGGAATCTGACAACACTGGCTGCCTTTGTCCTGGGTCTCAGGAGGGCTTGCCGAAGGAAGGTGCTGTGGCTGCAGATTTTACCTGCTTGTCCTTTAAGTCCCGGAGGGCCTTGGACTCCAGTCACGCCTGTTATCCCAGGGAAGCCAATGTCACCTTCTGTTCCCTTTTCTCCGAAGAATCCCTTCAGACCTGGAACCACAGACACACTGCTTGGAACAGACAGACACTGGGCCCCTGTTTGCGGGCTCCAGGACGGGCAGTCACACTGCTGCTCCTCCCGGCATGGAGAGAGGCGCCGTGTCCCGCCCTCAGCTGATTCTGAACCCGCTTGTCCCTCTGAGCACTAGCCAGTCTCCGAGGCAGCACCAATGCGCCCCTCACTGTCTTAGGGAAAACAGGACACCCCCAAGAACGCTGGGCACGGCCAGCCCCACCCTTCTGCTGTGGGACCACAGCTCTGAGATACTGTCTCCTGGTGACGGACCCCGGGGAGGCCCACTCCAAGGCCTCTCTGGGCCCAGAGTTTAACAAAAAACAAAATGTTCAAAGGGTAACAGCAAAAAGAATTCTTAGGGGGAGGGGTAGCATCCCTTCCCTGACACATTGTCAGTTGAACAAGTGAAGGCCTCATCAGAGACACAGGGCTAGTGATGGTCTAGGGTGGGAGACACAGTCAGCCAAGTGCCCGATGGCTCAGCATGCAGAGCTCCCTGGCACCTGGGAGGAAGCCACCAGGAGCCCAGGGCACAGATAACAAAGGAGCCTGGGAGAGTTGGTAAATGCGAGATGTTTCCCAGCGGCAGGGCTCCAATGCTGTGCTCAACTGAACACGTCTTTCCACTCTAGAGCAATTTCTAGACCAAGAACTAGCCCAGCAGTCCCCGACTAGCCAACCCCAGACAACCCCTTCCCTCCCACCAAGGCCAGTCCTACAAGCAGTTGGGGCTCCAGCAACTTGAGCAGTATGGGGTCTCCCGTAAAGAAAATCTCCAGAGAGAAGAAAACTATCACAGGCCCCTTGAGATGTCACTGCAGCAGGAGTTCAGGAACGGAACCGCAGTGTGTAGAAGGGAAGGGAGGCGCTGTGCCACCCCAGGACCCACCCCTCCATTTCGCTCGGGCTGGGCAGCTGCCTAGGCGTCTCTCCCAAGAGATAACCTGACTCCCACGCCCCGTTTCCTGGACCCTTGGCTGTTTCTGAGAAGCTCCGGTCGGTGACCAGCTGCTGCATGGCCTCAGGTGTCCCGGGAGCCGGGACGCTGGCTAGCTTTCCAACAGTTGCACTTTATGAACTGCAGTGACTCTCATCTACCGAGTGTCCATTCTGGCTATTTTCAGTACCAAAGAGAGAGACAGAGAGAGAGGAAGACGTCCTGACTTTGCCTTCACTTTAACTTAATTAAAAATGATGGTCTTTCTTACACACTAGGCTTGAAGACCTCATTCCCTATCAAACGCTTTCTGGTTGTTACCAAATTTGATCTGTTTGGCAAGTCGGGCTCCTGGACAAAGGCTCAGGGCTGTTGTTGAAGATGAAGAAATGGAGAATAACTTGCATACCTGGTATTCCAGCCGTGCCCTGCTCCCCCTTCAGGCCTGGTCTTCCTGGCAAATTTATAGTGTCCCCGATATCACCTGTTATGTGAAAAAAGATGGCTAAGAACAGGGCTTCCCGTTGGGAGGTCACGAGTTTTGCAACTTCTATTTTGTTATATTCATAACAATAATAATTTGCTTTAAAATAACTAACAGCACTTGCAGGTCTGACATTGCCTCACATGCTCAGAGGGCTCGGAATTGTGGACTCCCGGTTTTCACTGGACGGGCAACACTCACCGAAATCGCCGGTCCGGCCAACCTCACCGTACAGGCCTGTTCTCCCTGGGGCACCTTTGTCACCCTAAAGACAGACGTGAACCATCTCAGAAGGCTGTGAAGTCAGTTGTAACTCTGAAGTCAGCACACCTATTTAACTATCCAGTATGCTAACAATAATACTAAGTTTGTGATTTTGTCATTTTGCAGAAAACTAGAGCTTTTCAGTCTGTATCACAGGCGGTCTGTGGAGCTGCTCTTTTTTTTTTTTTTTTTCTGAGACAGGATCTTGCTCTGTCACCCAGGTTGGAGTACAGAAGCGTGATCATAGCTCAATGCTGCCTTGATTTCTTGCTCAAGGCATCCCTCCGTCTCAGCCTCCTGAGTAGCTGGGATTACAGGTGTAAGCCACCATGCCTGGCTAATAGTTTTTAAATTTTTAGTAGAGATGGGGTCTTGCTATGTTGTCCCACTGGTCTTGAACTCCTGGGTTCAAGTGATTCTCCCTCCTTCGCCTCCCTCTGTGCCTGGCCTTGCTGTTCGTATGGAACTGCTAAGTGCTGAAATGAAAGAAGCGTGGCACATGCATCATCATTAAGAACATCAGCGGCCCAGGTCTCCATCACCGCGGCATGTGACGTCAGTGGCGGCGGTGACTCTGACCACATCCTTGCTCTCTCACGTTTTCCCAGGCACTCATGGTGGACCCTGTCTTGAGAGCTTATTCACATCTCATGAAAACCCTGCGAGGTGGCCAGGCGCAGTGGCTCACGCCTGTAATCCCAGCACTTTGGGAGGCCGAGGCGGGGGGACCACTTGATGTCAAGAGTTCAAGACCAGACTGGCCAAGATGGTGAAATCTCATCTCTATTAAAAATACAAAAATTAGCCGGGCATGGCGGCAGGCTCCTGTAATCCCAGCTACTTGGGAGGCTGAGGCAGAGAATTGCTTGAATCTGGGAGGTAGAGTTTGCAGTGAGCCAAGACTGGGCCACTGCACTCCAGCCTGGGCAACAGAGCAAGACTCCGTCTCAGAAAAAAAAAAAAAAACCAAAACAAACAAACAAAAAAAAAAACATTGCCAGGTAGGCAACATTACTTCCCATTCAAAAGACAAGGGAACTGAGGCACAGAGAAGTTTTGCTTAAGATCACTCAGCCAGCAAGTTGCAGAACTGGGATTTCGATTTGGGTAGCCAGATTGTAGAACCTACCCTCTAGATTATAACACAGATATGAAGCTGTGCATTTCCATCTGTGCACAGTGGGAAACTTCTCCAGAGCGACACAGGTGGTTGGTGAGGAGATTGGGAAGATGCCTGGGTTGATCTGTGGCTTCCTGGAAACCCTAGTTTTCCTCTCTAGAGTGCTTTTCTTCCCAGAGGGAGCATGAGCGTTCTGGTTTACCTTGGTGCCACTGAGACTTCAGTGCTACAGCACGATGCCCAAGCATGGCCTAACATAAGCCATTGCAATATTAATACAGCTAGGCCGGGCACGGTGGCTCGTGCCTGTAATCCCAGTACTTTGGGAGGCCAAGGCAGGTGGATCGCCTGAGGTCAGGAGTTTGAGACCAGCCTGCCCAGCATGGTGCAACCCTGTCTCTACTGAAAATACAAAAATAGGCTGGGCATGGTGGTGGGTGCCTGTAATCTCAGCTACTTGGGAGGCTGAGGCAGGAGAATTGCTTGAACCTGGGAGGTGGAGGTTACAGTGAGCTGAGATCATGCCACTGCACTCCAGCCTGGGCAACAGAGCCAGACTCTGTCTCCAAAAAAAAAAAGCTCCTTTGTATGAGGAAGGGGAGGGTATCCACAGGCTGCTTCTTTGTTTAGATGATGCTCTATTTTCCTTTTTCAAAGTTTACTTTTCTGAGGCATAACTTAAATACAGCCATGTGCACTCATCTGAAATGCACAGCTTAGTGAATTTTAACTTGCATGCTACTCACAGACACAGAGGACAGGCAGCACTCTATCATGGCTACCTGTGTGTGGAGGTAAAATGCACAGGCAATGCTGGGCCTGGTCTGAATCTACCACGCACATTTATTCTAAAGCAGCCGAGCTCCTGACCCCTGTCAAACAGCCTCATCTGTTCTGTAGCTTCACATATATGAAACAATCATGTGCGCTTTTCTGTTTCTGGTTTATTTTGTTCCATGTAAAGTTTGAAAATGTAGTTAGGTTGCTGGATTTTACCAAGAATTCTCATTGTATTCCTGTGTGTGGAGATAAAAGGCACAGGTAATACTGTGTCTGGTCTGAATGTATGATGTTCATTCATTCTTTTCCCTGTTGATGGACATCTGGGCTGTTTTCTAGTTTCGAGCTGTTGTGAATAAAGGTCCACTGGATGTTGCTGTAGGTGCCTTTGGCAGACACAGCTATCTTGCTTTTTTCTTTTTGAGATGGAGTCTTGCTTTGTCACCCAGACTGGAGTGCAGTGGCGTGATCCCAGCTCCCTGCAACCTCTTCCTCCTGGGTTCAAGTGATTCTCCTGTCTCACCCTCATGAGTAGCTGGGATTATGGGCGTGCACCACCAAACCCAGCTAATTTTTTATATTTTTGGTAGAGACGGGGTTTCACCATTTTGGCCAGGCTCGTCTTGAACTCCTGACCTCAAGTGATCTGCCTGCCTCAGCCTCCCAAAGTGCTGAGATTATAGGCATAAGCCACTGCACCTGGTTGGCATCTTTCTCTTTTAAAGTGAGCTGAATAGTGCACACAAGATTGGCCAGAAGATCCTGTCAGCCGCAGGTTTTGGGAGTGAGGGGAGGAAGACCCCTGAAGAATTCAATACATCGAGGTGGGCCAGACACACAGGGCAGATCTGGGCCTGCCACTAAGGGATCACACCAAGGGACCCAGACCTCTGATCTGCTCTCAATGTGCCCCTCCCCAAGGGAAGGCCAGCCGTGTGCTGCGGACTGCGAGAATACACTATCTTTACATGAAAGGGGATAGAAATGGAATTCTAGGAGATGCAGTCTATGGGGAGCCACGCTACGTACACTGTCTATACAGCACTCAAGAAAACGGCCAGGTCGCTCCTACCCTCATCCTGCAGCAGAGGGAGGTGTGGAGAAGTGAGAGCCCTGCCCAGGGTCGGGGGTCAGCGTTGTTACCATCACAGCAGCCTGTCTGGTCCACAGCAAGTGTTCAACAGACATCTGCAGAACAAAGGCTGAGCGAATGGCAGCCGGACGGGAGGCCAGGCTGCCCGGCCCCAGGTCCACGCTTTGATTCAGCCATGGGCTCTCAGGCCTGGTATCACCGATGTGCTCAATTTTAGAGCTCCGAGTCCTGGAGATTTGAGTTTCATTCTCTCAAGGCCCCCATGGAAAATGCAGACAGCATGCTTCACCCAGCACAAGCCCACAGAAGGGCCACGGCAGCTGAGTGGACTCACATCACATTCCCACGGTGTCCACGTGCAGCAGCACCTTACGGGGCTGTGTGGACCCCGCCAAGCCCTAGGCTGCCCCGAACCTGCTGCTGAGACACTCGCCCTAGCCAACGCCAGACCAAAGCATGTTCATCAACAAGCAAGCCGGAGAGGGGCTCACAGAACAAGGGGAGCAAAGACACTCACTCACCCGGATTCCTGTGAATCCTGGGAATCCTATAATTCCAGGGGGGCCGGCCACTCCAGGGAATCCTGGCAAACCAGGGATGCCGGGGGCTCCAATGTCTCCCTTGACTCCTTTGATGTGGCCGGGCCTCCCAGGCAGTCCAGGGATTCCCGACAGCCCCGGGATGCCTGGCATTCCTTGGATGCCTGCAAGAAGACCCCGCCTGTAACACTCTGGTGAAGACGCAGCGCCCGCCCTCCCGCAGTTTTCAATTTTGCAGCCCGGATGCATTTTGCTGTCTTAAGTGCTGAGAATCTGAAGACGGGAAGGTGGGGTTACTCTGGCATCAGAGAACAACCCTGCACCGGCTGTGAACACGCAGGGCACCCAGAGACAGAAAGCACAGGGAAACCGGCATGGGCGTCCTGGAGACGGAGGGCGTAGGAGCAGGGGCCCGGGGCGGGTCGGAAGCCTCACCTTTTGCGCCCAGGTAACCTTTCAGTCCCATAGGCCCAACGTCTCCTTTGTCTCCTTTGAGGTCTTTCATTCCCGGCAAGATGACGGGAGGTGGTCCTGGGGGCCCAGGGTCCCCTCGGCTGCCTGGAAGGGAATAGAGTGCTGTCATTCCTGGGGACTACAGCTCACACAGGACACAGGTGAATGCCTGGGCCCTGGGCCACGGGGCTGCACGTCTCCCCTAAGCGGGGAAGCCTCAGAGAAAAGGGCGGTGAACGCCTCTCTTCTCCATCGGAGTAGTCAGATTGGGTGGTGGCTCCAGGGTCTTGGGCCCGAGGCCGGTGTCGCTGAAAACAGGGCACCTCCCTAGTGGCAGGCGTGCCCGCCAGCAGATGCAGAGGGAGCGGTCACAGCCAGCTGGCTTCCATAGGATGTTTTGTGAGAGGGTCATTTTGTCATGTGTGCTCTGATGAGACTGTGATGTGCCTAGGTCCAAGCAGGAAGGCCTGTGAGGAAGGCGCCAGCTCTGTGCCTCCTGTAGGCGCCTTCACAGGGAGGAGAAGCGTGGAAGGGAGGTCTTGCGGGGTTCAGAGGAGCTGAGGAATTGCAGGAGGTGAGGGGCCTGGAGCTGCCGACCGGGCAGGAAACCCTGCTAGGTCAGGCTGCGGATGCCCCCGAATCCATCCTCAATGGAGAAGTGAGTGAAATTTGGCTGAGTGAAAACAATTGAGTTTCATTCTCTAAGCATTTACTGTGTGTTCAGTACTAGGCTAGAGACTGATGGGATCAAAATCATAAATTGGTCCTGACCCCAGAGTGTGCCCACCAGTGGAGGGATGGACACCCGCATGGACAGAGCTTGCCCACCAGTGCAGCGATGAATACCCCAGAGACAGAGCGTGCCCACCAGTGCAGGGACGGATACCCTCAGGGACAGAGCGTACCCACCAGTGCAGGGACGGACACCCCATGGACAGAGCGTGCCCACCAGTGGAGGGATGGACACCCTCATGGTTAACTCCTCCTCAAGGAGGCTTCAGGAAAAAGTTACTGTGGAGCTGAAAATTACCTAATTTTAAAATGACATTTTTTTCCTGAAATAGTCTGAAATCTGTTAACATGAAGACTATCTGAAAATGCAGGTGTAAGTAAAAATCTTAAAAAGAAAATGAGCACCCTAATTGCAATTTCCATTTTGCTGAAAACTTGTAAAAGCTATAGCTCTGGACAGTAGTAAGGTTTCCAGAACCAGCTGATTGATATATAATCACAGTGGCATATGTTCTGACATATTTGGTTCTCAGTCATGCCAGCATTTTGGTTCTCAAGAGGTTCCTTTGGTTAGGATTATTCCCTGATCACATGGTCAGTGTGTTGAAGCAGGGAGAAAGCCTTTGAGTTTTTGTTAGTTCATTTTGTTTGGTTTATCAGCTTCTAGCTTTAGGGTTCCTGGATGTGTGGGTTTTCAAAAATTCATTCTGGGCAATGTTACGCCATCATACAAGGGTCTTGACCAGGTAAGGAGGATGTTTACAGAGGAGCATACCTTTAAAACCTGGCTCACCAGCCAGACCCTTCAGACCGGGTATTCCGAAAAATCCAGCCTCGCCTTTGCTCCCTGGAAACCCGGGTCTCCCTTTGAGTCCAGGCATGCCTTGGAAACCATCCATGCCAGGTGAGCCTCTTTCTCCTTCAGAGGAAAGAAGAAAAGTGCTGGATTAGACACGAATAAAATGCACGGGACATTTCAATCTCACGTCTCCACAACATTTCGGCAGTGCAACTCAAGTGAGAAGTTCTGAGCCTAAAAGAGGGATTTCCAGGGACACCACCTTCTAAACAACTCTCTCTGTTGACCCCTGTTGTTAACAGACAGCGTTCCGGAGTCAGCCTGTCTTCAGACCGGACATTGGCAACAGGGAAACAGAAAGGTCAGGAAGGAAGACGAGGAGGGAAATCTGAAGGTGATGCCCGCCCGCCGGCATCAAGGCAAAGGCAGAAGGGAGCACCTGGCATGAAAAGGTGACAGAGGACCGCAGAAAGACGGATCAGTGTCTCCAGCAACGGAAGGACAGGCCAAGGTGTCTCAGCAACAGAAAGACAGGCCTATGTGTCTCCAGTAAGAAAAGACCAACCCATGTGTCTCCAGCAATGTTCACGGGCTGGAGGGCTCTGCTTCCAGACTGGCCTGCTTGTGCTGAAATAAACCTATCCCTGTAACCAACCACTTTGCTTTGCTTTGGTTTCAAGTTCACCAAATAACCTCTGGATCTGAATCCAGGCTCCTGAGTGGACCTCTCCACAAACCTCCCTGTGCAGAGGGTAATTTTTTTTTTTTTTTTTTGAGATGGAGTTCCGCTCTTGTTACCCAGGCTGGAGTGCAATGGCGTGATCTCAGCTCACCGCAACCTCCGCCTCCTGGGTTCAGGCAATTCTCCTGCCTCAGCCTCCTAGAGGGTAATATTTACACGAAGATGATGTTTCCCAGGGAGGAGCCGTCTGTCTTGGTAAATTCATAAACTGGCTTTGTGAGGCACATTGGCCCCACCTGCATCTAAGCAGCATGAAACAGCTGTCCTGGGGCTTCCGTCTCCTGGGTCAGGGGAGTCCCCAGGCCTTCAGCCTGCAGAATTGTGAGGCCAGCCCCACGGTCCATAGAGGTGCCCAGTGGAGCTGTCCTAGGTCGGAGTTCATCAGACCCAACCTCCCCACAAAGTGATCCAGTGGCTACAGTCACAATTACCTTTTAGCCCAGGGGCCCCAGGCATTCCATCAATTCCTTTAAACCCAGGGCTTCCTGGATGGCCTCGCTCTCCCGCCAAGCCAGCATCTCCTCTGTCACCAGAGACACCTTTCATGCCCACAGGGCCAGGAGCGCCTATGTCGCCGGGCTCCCCTCTATCTCCAGGCAGACCTGTCAGGAAGAGGAGCAAATTAAAGAGGGTGGACACACACACGGGGAAACCTCTCTTCTGCTTTTACCGCGTCGAGTGTTCGGTAAGAAAAGCTTCTTGGAGGAAAGTGGAAAATCTCCATGTTGGGGTGACTTTCCAAAGTGTGACAGGAGTGGGACCCTGGGGCTGGCCTTTCCGGAGAGGTCTTTGTCTGGAGGTTGAGGCTGTGCTGGTGGCACCAGCCAACATGGCTTTCCCGCTGCCGCCTTCAGAAGCCAAGGGACAAAGCTGTGTGGGTGCTGATGCGGCTGGGGGGCCTTACCAGCTCTGGCTGGGGCACCGCCACTGGGGTCAGCCAAGAGCTGGTCTACTCCTTGAGAACATCCCTAGCTCGGGGCTGGTCTGGAGGGACCCTCCAGCTGCCCATTCGCTGCCGCTGCCCTCTCTGGTCTCCACGTTCCCGCCTCATCATTGCTACTGTCGTGAGCTTGGCAGCTCCCAGCCCACGGTGGTCCTCCCGCCTCCCTCGACTCCAAGGCCTCCAATGGCTGCCTGCTAGGTCCCTAAAATGCCTTCTGAATGCATTTCTCTGCTAAAAACTGAAAAAGGCCCCCCGGGCCTCGAGGCTCTAACTCCTTACCTCATTATTCACTCCTCTTAACCTTTGGCCCAATCTTCCTATCCAAACTCCCAGCCCCTCACATCAGGCTCTCTTTCCCAGCTGGTTTGGGGGTTCGCAGGCTCCAAGTGTTCCCTGGGCAATCCTGCCTGTGCTGAGGTGATCCCTATTTCCTAGAGAGCACCCCACATCCCAGTCCCAGCCTTCTCCCTGGCTGGCGCCAGGTACTTCCTCCCTTAGGCTTGCTCTGACCTGCCTGTCCTGCCTTCTCTGGGTCGCTGGAGGCTGCATGGCCTAGTTCTGCTGGCTTGCCTGGGCTGAGTGGGAGCCTTTTAATGTGTGTGTCTCTCTCCCCACCTGAAGCTCCTTCAGGACAAGCTTTCCTATGGGTCTCGTACACGCCATGCAAGGCTGTGTTTAGCTGGTGCTTAGCAGCTGAGAACCAGCATGGCCCTGTTGGTACTGAGACGGGAGCCTGAACCACCGGCCCAGGTTTGCTACCCCGGGAAGCCAGTGTGTGTCTTCGAGGGGCATAGAGGTTCCCTAGCAAGACCTGCTAAGGTCCTGGACAAAGTTGTCGCCTGACTGTGGCAAACCAGAGAACTCTGGCAAGATCAGGCGTTTCTGAAAGGTGAACGTGGCCCATGAGACCATCCTCATCAGGCGATCGAGTCTTTCCTAGTCAGTGACAGTGTCCTTTGGTGACACACAACACTTCTTAAAAAGTTGTTTTTCTGGACAAAACAAAAATGTGAGAAACTTTACTGATTTCTCCAACCGGCGCTGACAGTTTCACTGGATGGTGGCGTGCAGGAGCCCAGGAAATGGCCGTGTGGAGTGCCAGGTGAGTGGCCCAGGCAGCAGCGGCCCCTTCACGTGGGTGACGCCATGGACGCTGTGCCCCTGCCTGCCTTCCGGGCCGCCTGTGCTGCCTGCCTTGGCCTCTGTGCGGTGGGCATGCAGGCCAGGCTCCCCTCCCTGCTCCTTTGCTCCAGCCCCCACCCCAGGCTTCCCTGACGGAGCCTCCTGTCTTTCCAACCTGCACTTTCAGGAAACAGTTTCTCCTCTCCACATCAGAGCGGGGATCCTGAACTTTTGCAGTGGGAATTTCTTTCTTTTTTTTCCTGATGAAACTTTCCCTAGACCTTTAATATATATATCAGGTACAGAGGAAGAGCCGATGTCTCAGGCTGTTTATGTCTCCTTGTTAGGTGAAATCCATGTTCTGGTTTGGGAATCCCTGCAGCTCTTAAGGGGTTCCATGGAATAGAGTTGGAGGGCGCCGCAGGGAAGGCAGTGCAGATTCTCTTGGCAGGCCCAGTGAGGACCCCACCCGTTTGTGGGAGAGCTGGAGCCTTACCTTCAAGGCCCAGGGTTCCTGGCAGCCCCAAAGGCCCCTCTGGGCCAGGAGCTCCTGGGAATCCATGCTGTCCTGGAGGCCCAGACAGGCCTGGCGGGCCGGAAGGTCCCGGGAAGCCCAGCTGGCCCTTCAGCCCCGGCATCCCAGGCATCCCTTGGCTTCCTGCAGGAATCAGAGACAAGAGCTGTGGAGGCCGACTCTGGACTGTTCATCACAGACAGCATCTCCCTCCACACACTCATTTCGTAAAAATAGGACTTCGTGTTTTTCTGGGCTTTGGAGAATCAGGAAAATACAAAGACGTATAAAGGGTAAAATCAAAGTAACGCACACTGTCACCCAGAGGTAGTGACCACCACTGACTATACTTCCTTCCTGCTCTCTTCTATTCCTATCAATAACTAGACATTTGCAGAGCTGACACCGCACTGTAAGTACAGTTTTAACCTAGTTTTTTTCACTTGACATTATATTTTGAACATTTTGCCACATTCAAAAATAGTCTTTGCAAACATTTAAAATAACTGCATGAATAAAACTATCATATGGACACAGTGAATGCATTCCATCACATCCTCCCCACTTTTTTTGCTTTTGCAAAAGGCACTGTCAGGAATAGTTCGAGAGTTTTCTCTTCTTGGTATGTTTATCCATGTCCATGTTGTAGGTAATTTCTTTAGGAAACTGTCCGAGAAACTGACATCATGTATCAAAGCAAACACTAACTTAATGTTTTCTGAAAGATACATCATGCTGATTTCAGAAAGTCTGAACCCAACCCATTTATTCCACCAGTGTGTTTCCAGCACTGATGCCAGCGTCGAAGCATCACGGAACCCAGGCAGTCGTGACGCCGTGAAACATGGTGCCGGTGGGATCCGCCTGCTCGTTCTGCGGTATGATCCACGTTTCTTTCTCTTGGTTATTATTTTTTGTTGAAGTTTTAGGTCTTTGCTCATATCTTCTCTCTCCCTTGCTTTCTTTCTTTTTAAAATAGAGACAGGGTTTTGCCAAGTTGCCCAGGCTGGTCTCAAACTCCTGAGCTCACCTGATCTGCCCGCCTGAGCCTCCCAAAGTGCTGAGATTACAGGCACGAGCCACCACACCCGCCTCTCTGCTCCGATTGTCCTTTGGGGGTTTTGATATTTTTCTGATAGATTTTACTATTCCTCATACACACTGATGAATTTTTCTTCATTATCTATTGTAAAGCTTATTCTGCTGCTGAAACTTGAATTTTGCTTTTGATGTGTAGGATATTGACATTTGTATCCGAATTTCATATATTGTGTGTGTGCACATGTGTGATTTCTTCTCTTCATTTTTAGGTTTGAAATACCCTGTCCTGCCCAGTGGTCAGATACCAGGAGCATCTATTTTCTTCTAGTTTTTTTTTTTTAACACTAGCTCCCTGGACCTGCTTGTATCCAGGCGTCTTCCCCTCTCTTCTCAGAGCTTAACGCCTGTTGCAGGCACTGTCTGATTCTAACGGTGGAGGTGCACACTCCTGCGTGACTTTCCAGTCCACACTCACGCAGCCTCATAGCCGTCCTGCAGGTGTGCAGGGCTGGTCCAGGACAGGGAGGCAGACGAGTGCGGGGATGTACAGGAGGGGGCAGCGACAAAAGGGACCCAGTCAGTCTTGGACCGACCCAGGACCGAGAGGCAGGCTGCTGACTCTGCGCTGTCTGACTGCGGCAACCTGCAGCGAGGGAGAAGGCTGACTGGGCAGGAGGCGCACTCGAAGCCACGTCTGAAATGAGATGCTCGGAGATGCGCGGACACATCGATTCTCACCCCCTCCCGTAGTACTGTGGGAAGTGAGGACACTGTTATTTTCTGGATTTCTATCTTTAGGGTGAAGAGCTCCGGGGGGAATGGATGGTGAGTGTGTGCAAATGGTTGTGAAGAGTAGGCAGCAGCACTGCAGGCGGTAAAGGTTTGGCAGTGATGGCAGATCCACTCCACTCCTGTTCAGTGACAAGAACAATGGGGTGGGGACCTGACGGACACAAGGTAACATCCGTAACCCAGGGACAGGGACTGTGAGGGAACCCAGGAGCTGAGCAGGAGAGATGGCCTCGGCTGGGGCCAGCAGGGCTGGCGGCGGTCTGCTTGTGCTTCCGAGCGCTGCCCCTCCCGGAAGTGGACAGCCAGGCTGTGGGTGAACATGCATGAATCCCCGCTGCCCCTGCAGGGACTGCCTTGCAAAAATCAGGCACTGGGCGCTTTGTGATTATTTCTTTGGAGCTGTTTCGGGTTATTTTCCATTTATAGACTATCTGTTAAAAAAGGAACAACTGCTAAAAATCAGCCTCCCTCAGCAAAATCACATCTCATCTGTGGATGTGGCATGACTTTATTCCCAGAGTTCTGCTCAGAAGTGCAGGGCGCACCTGTGTGTGTTTGTGGCGGCCCCACACAGCCAGTCGAATGGAAGCAGGACCTGTCTGCACGCTGCTCCTGTCGCTGGTGGGCAGAACTGAAACTGAAATAGTGACCTGGAATTTTGATGCTCTGGGAGTCAGGATTTTTACCATCCAAAATATTCTGCCTAACAAGGTATATGAGGCTTAACGTCATAAAGGTGATGCTGATCGTGGTGAGGACCTTAATAAGACATTGAAAGCAAGCCTGCTGCCGTTTGTTTTCATGCTCAAACATTCTGAAGCCTGCAGGAAGTAATTAAGTTACAAAAACTCTACCAGAAGTACCCTTATGTCAAAGACCTTGGGGCAGGAGTTTTACAGCTGGGTTGCAGGTGGACACTCGAGCCACCTGTGTGTGTCCTTCACTTTGCCTTCTGTGAGCTCATTTAAGTGCCTACCAGAAGGCTGCCACATGGAGCCCATCTCTCAGCGCCCAGTCCTCGGCTTCTGCAGACGGCACTGATTGGTATCTTATCTTCCATAAATGACACAGAGAGTCAGGAGCACTGAAAAGGGGAGACCTGGATGGCCCAGCACAAGGTCTTTCCGACCTGTCATTTCACCCAGCGACCTGCTCTAGCTGGCTTGGTTCAGGGTTGGATGTGTATTAAGTGTGATTATGTGTGAGTGGGCATAGGCATGTGTATGGGTATGTGTGGTGTGTGAGTGTATGATCATGTGTGAGCATGTATAGGCACGTGTGTGGGTATGTGTGGTATGTGAGTGTGTGATGTGTGTGTACAGGCACACGTGTGGGTATGTATGGTGTGAGTGTGTGATCATGTGTGAGTATGTATAGGCACGTATGTGGGTATGTGTGGTGTGTATGTGTGATCATGTGTGAGTGTGCATAGGTATGTGTGGGTATGGTGTGTGTGTGATCATGCGTGTGTGTGCACAGGCACGGTGTGGGTATGTGTGTGATCATGTGTGTGTGCATAGGCACGTGTGGGTATGTGTGATCATGTGTGAGTGTGCACAGGCATGTGTGTGGGTATATGTGGTGGGTGTGTGATCATGTGTGAGTGTGCACAGGCATGTGTGTGGATATGTGTGGTGGGTATGTGTGTGATCATGTGTGAGTGTGCACAGGCATGTGTGTGGGTAAGTGTGATGGGTGTGTGATCATGTGTGAGTGTGCACAGGCGTGTGTGGGTATGTAGTGTGTATGTGTGATCATGTGTGAGTGTGCATAGGCACATGTGTGGGGATGTGTGGTGTGTGATATGAGTGTGCATAGGCATGTGTGTATGTGCAGTATGTGTGTGATCATGTTAAGTGTGCATAGGCATGTGTGTTGGTATGTGTGGTGTGTATGTGTGTGATCATGCATAGGCACGTGTGTGGGTATGTGGCATGTATGTGTGTGATCATGTGTGAGCATGTATGTGCATAAGTGACTGTGTGTGTGTACATGCATGTACTCTGGCCACCATAGGCTCTTCCTTGCTCTCTCTGTGAACTGTGGCACCCATGGGCTCTCCCTAGTATCAACAGCTAGGGGTGCTGATCAGTCTCATCATCATCAAAACTTTCCTCTTCCGGGTCTCACTCCCTTGAGCCCTTGCTAGGAATCTGACACACATCCAAAAACCAATTCAGGCTCCTGAGCTTCATGTGTTCACCGGCCAGTCAAGGCCTAGCCTCTGCCTCGCCCAGGATGCCTGATGTGGGCTGATGGCAGAATCAGGGGAGGGGCACCTGCTTCCCACACCACAGAGAAGCCTCTTCGGCCTGGGGTTGGCAGCCGGGACTAACGACACTGCCATCAACATATCAACAGTGAACATGTCAAGTCACATTTTCTTTTCTTCTTTTCTTTTTGAGACAGGGTCTCACTCTGTCACCCAGGCTGAGGTACAGTGGAATGATCATAGCTCACTGCAGCCTCCAACTCCTGGGCTCAAGGGATCCTTCCCCCTCAGCTTCCCATGTAGTTGGGACTGCAGGTGCACACCATGCCCTGCTAATAATTTGCCTGGGCTTCCCCCAACACGGACATTCCATTCACGGCATCACCTTCCGTTAAAGCTCGGGGCTGGCATTCCCAAAGCCAAGCTGGTATCAGTTGAACCCTTAAAGCCACTGGACGCCTTGCCACTGCCACTCATGAAACCATAGGTGCTCTGTCTACTCTGATAGAGATACCTCGATAACATTGTAAACAACATTAAGATATTTTTAAAAAGTATTACTTTTTACATCAATAAGATTGCATTCCAGATTATTGCTATTTTCCTTCTTCACCTCTGACCTAGCATGGCCAGGCCCATCTTTTCCTCATACCCACTGAACGGAGTCTGCGGAGAAAGCCAGTGAGCCTGTCATGGCCAGATGTATGCGACTTGAGAACTGATGACATCAGGCAATGTGTACCTGTCAAAGGCCTCAGATGGCCAGACCGCACTGGCTACCGGATGTAATCACAGCGTTGTCATAGAAACATTCTATAGGAGCGCTGGAACAATGTGGAGAAGGTATGCATCGCCAGCACCATGGGCGCCGCTGCTTCCTACCAAATCCCCTGGAAGGGACTGGGCTCCTCCTTGGAAGCCACTGGGATGGGGCCTCTGGCTCCCCCATGAGGCACTTACCTCTGAATCCAGGGGAGCCTCTGTCTCCAGGAAGGCCTTTCAGCCCAGGGTGTCCAGGCACGCCAGCATCTCCCCGTGGTCCAGGCTGGGCTCCCAGAACTTCTCCAGGAAGGCCCTTGTCCCCGGGGGGCCCGTCTGGACCTGGCAGGCCAACAGGACCTGGGAGTCCATCTGGGCCAGGGAGGCCCGCTGCACCTTTGGATCCTCGGGGTCCTATGAACCCTAAAAGGAAACACGGGTGGGCCCCAAACCACAAGTTACCATGATGGCATTCTAAGAGAAGTGTCAAAGAGAGGCTGGAAACAGCAAAAAATTGCCTACAGGGTCCTCAGAAGGCATTCCTTAGCTCGAGGCCCTGTCCCTGTCACCCATCTTGGAAGCTACAACCCTCGCCACATTGCTCTGTTGGTTACGCTGCTTCTGCTCACCCTGCCATGCAGCCCCCAGCCCTAAAACTGAGCAAAGGTGGGTAAGCCTGTTAAGAACGCCTCCTTGGACCTGGATTTGCGTAATTCATGGGTTCCCCTGCTTTGCACATAAGCCGCAAAGCGTAGCTTTTGTGGGACCTTCTAGGTTGTGGTGAGTGAGGAACAGCGCTTTGGGATGGAAAATCCCAGGGAGGCGGGAACAACCAGGGCCGTCAGAGCCAAAATGCTGCCCGCTGTAGAAACAGTCACATCTCCCTGGTAGAAACCTGTCCCTGTCCGTTTGGAAACACACCCTCTGTTGTACTGAAAACCACCAAGTCCCTTCTGTGGATAGAGGGAAGGTAGCTGTCCTGTGTCCTTCATGGGTGCCACTGGATAAAATGATCTCATCAGGTCACTTCCTTTTTCGGTGCAGTCAGCCCTCATGTGGCCTCAGAATGAACTCCCACAGCTGACAGTCACATTGCGCTCAGAAGGAAAGGTTTCTGAGGTCACCCACCCGCCTCGCCCCGCTGCGCAATGAGAAGCCTGGCATGTGGTTCCGTGGGACAGGATCAGGTACACGGCAGGCTCGGCACTCCCACATTTGGATATGGAAAAGGGAATGTTCTCTGTGTTCTCCGGGGTGTATCTCACCAAAAAGATCCAAAGAGCAGGGCCTTGGGTCCTCCTGGAGCTGTCCAGCCAGCCCTGCTCATGAGGAGCTGGGAGTGACTGGTGCACCCGTGCTTGGCACACAGAATAAAGGATTTGGATTCAGCTGACACTAATCAGTGGGACCGTACTCAGAGTTTTAACGGTGTGATTTACTCACACAATGAAGAGACATGACTTTCCCTGGCAATGTTAGCAACTGTACCAGGGAGCTGGGCACTTGGGTTTACATGCGTGGATCTTAGCTGTGGAATGGACGCTCTGTTTTTTGCATCCTTGATTTGGGTGTTTCATCCTCTTCCGCATGTGGGGACAGAAGTATATTTCAGCACCATAAAAAGCAACATGCGTTCCAGAAACTGACCCGTTCCTCAGTCACCACCCACCCCCGGCCTGCCCCAGCCTCCGTGTTCATGATGTAAGGGCTCACACTTCATGGTGGGACAGACTTCCAGCTCACGTGGGCAACTGCCCAGAACGCCTGATAAAGGGCACATCCCATCCATTCCCCCTACAGGGGGCCCTGTATGGAGTTCACGTGCACACGGCAATGCACGCCGATCATAATCGCTAGAACACCTTCACGCTCACAGCAGGACGCTGCTCAAGCATTATTATCCTGCTTTCAAAATCACGAATGCTTAAACTTAGCATATATGAAATCATGAGCGTGACAAAGCTGCACTTCTTAATATTTAGACACTTCCAGCAGGGCAACAAAACCAGAGACCCGCCCTCCGGGGCCGCAGAGTTGTTCTCAGCAGGGCCCTGATACAGACACAGGAAACCTGCTTCCCATCGCATCATAGGAAAGGAAACAGGGTCAGGGTTTGGAACAGTCCCTATGGGCTGCATGTGAAATTCAGAAAGATGCCAGCTATCAGGGACTGACACATAGCTCTGCACTGAGGCTTCAATGCAGCTGTCTGAGTGGAGGTCAGGGGAGAGGCAGGCTCGACTAGTGTTCACTGGGAATATTTGCAGGATGTTCAACCTAAGGACGCAATAGTGCTGACGTGCTGTGTGATGTTCCAGGTGTGGGGAGCGCTTTATTCAGCTTCTAGAGCCTGGCTGAAAAGGAACCCTGATAAGTTGGAGTCCTAGAAGGTTGATGGGAATTCCAGGGGCATGGAGATGCTGTCACTAGGAAAGTGTGTGTTCCTGGGGTCAGTTCTGTCTGTTCACAAGGCGTCTGCGAGAGATGTGGCCCCCTCTCTCCGGGTATGTGGTTATGAGGAAGTCGACTGTGTGGCTCAGGAACAGCCCAGTGAGAATGCCTGGGAGGCGGGCTGTATCCAGGGAGGAAATTTCTAGCAACAAGAGAGTTCCAGTGTGCCACAGGTTCTAGGTGACAAGTGTGGTTCCAGAAGAGGCTGGAAGAACCTGCCCAGGACCCTGTGGAAGGATGTTTCATCATGGATAGAAAGCTGTCCGCATGGCTTCCATGGTTTCACTAGACAAACTGTTGAAGATGTGCGTGGCTGGGCTCAGTGCCTCACGTGTAATCCCAGCACTTTGGAGGCTGAGGTGGGCAGATCACCTGAGGTCAGGAGTTCGAGACCAGCCTGGCCAACATGGTGAAACCCCATCTCTACTAAAAACACAAAAATCAGCCAGGTGTGGTGGCGCATGCCTGTAATCCCAGCTACTCAGGAGTCAGAGGAAGGAGAATTGCTTGAACCCAGGAGGTGGAGGTTGCAGTGAGCTGAGACTGTACTACTGCCCTCCAGCCTGGGTGAGAGAGTGAGACTCCATTTCATTAAAAAAAAAAAAGACTTGCATGCCCTCACAATCGAGGCACTGCCATCACACCGCCTGTGGCACAACCACAGGACACCTGTGTCTGCTGCTGCCGGACTGTGTTCCAGAGCACGTGACACACAGCGGGGGCTCCCCACCACAGCTGGTTAAAGGCAGCACACTCATGCTCCTCCACATACAGATTAATGCCCAAGCTTTTGCAGCCATGTCATGAGAGGGCTATTTATGCCGTGAATGATTGTCTCAGGAGAGAGTAGTTTTGTGTTGCCCTTAGAATCTTAACTAACGCTAAGAACAGTCAATCTTAACTAACGCTAAGAACATACCCAGGAGACAGGTGTTGTGGAGAATGGCCATTCCACAACACCTGTCTCCTTTTTCCTGCAAGATCTGTAGGTAGCTTCTGCAAAAACCCAGTATGTCAGTGATGGAAAAGCAAGAATTTCTAACATCCCATGGACAAGTGAAAGTTGTCAAGTATTTGTCAGAACAGTTTCTACACACTGGAAGAAAACAGAGCTGGATGCTGATGAACCACACATGGGCCGCCCCCACCCCCTGGAACCCAGGGGCTGAATGGGGGTCCGACCTGAACTCACCTGGGGGTCCTGGGAACCCTTCACGACCTGGGTCTCCTGGCAAGCCTTTGGGTCCTGGTCCTCCATCAGCTCCTGAGAAGCCTGGGGTTCCTCGGAGGCCTTTGGCACCTAAACACCCAAATAAACCACAAAGCACATCAGGTCCCACGAGGATGAATGGGCATGGCCATACTTGGCAACCAACTTAATGTGGATCTCATGAAACCGGGAACTAATGGGGCTGGGGGAATGGCAGCCGAAACAGCAGCTCCAGGCTTACAGAGTGATCTTCAGTGTTTAGTAATGGGGCTCCGGGCTTACAGAGTGATCTTCAGTGTTTAGTAATGGGGCTCCGGGCTTACAGAGTGATCTTCAGTGTTTAGCAATGGGGCTCCGGGCTTACAGAATGATCTTCAGTGTTTAGCAATGGGGCTCCGGGCTTACAGAATGATCTTCAGTGTTTAGTAATGGGGCTCCGGGCTTACAGAGTGATCTTCAGTGTTTAGTAATGGGGCTCCGGGCTTACAGAGTGATCTTCAGTGTTTAGTAATGGGGCTCCGGGCTTACAGAGTGATCTTCAGTGTTTAGTAATGAGGCTCCGGGCTTACAGAGTGATCTTCAGTGTTTAGCAATGGGGCTCCGGGCTTACAGAGTGATCTTCAGTGTTTAGCAATGGGGCTCCGGGCTTACAGAGTGATCTTCAGTGTTTAGTAATGAGGCTCCGGGCTTACAGAGTGATCTTCAGTGTTTAGTAATGAGGCTCCGGGCTTACAGAGTGATCTTCAGTGTTTAGTAATGGGGCTCCGGGCTTACAGAGTGATCTTCAGTGTTTAGCAATGGGGCTCCGGGCTTACAGAGTGATCTTCAGTGTTTAGTAATGGGGCTCCGGGCTTACAGAGTGATCTTCAGTGTTTAGTAATGGGGCTCCGGGCTTACAGAGTGATCTTCAGTGTTTAGCAATGGGGCTCCGGGCTTACAGAGTGATCTTCAGTGTTTAGCAATGGGGCTCCGGGCTTACAGAGTGATCTTCAGTGTTTAGTAATGGGGCTCCGGGCTTACAGAGTGATCTTCAGTGTTTAGTAATGGGGCTCCGGGCTTACAGAGTGATCTTCAGTGTTTAGCAATGGGGCTCCGGGCTTACAGAATGATCTTCAGTGTTTAGCAATGGGGCTCCGGGCTTACAGAATGATCTTCAGTGTTTAGTAATGGGGCTCCGGGCTTACAGAGTGATCTTCAGTGTTTAGTAATGGGGCTCCGGGCTTACAGAGTGATCTTCAGTGTTTAGTAATGGGGCTCCGGGCTTACAGAGTGATCTTCAGTGTTTAGTAATGAGGCTCCAGGCTTACAGAGTGATCTTCAGTGTTTAGTAATGGGGCTCCGGGCTTACAGAATGATCTTCAGTGTTTAAAATCCTGCTTATGGATGAAGCCTTAAGAACAGTAATATCCAATATTGAGATTCAACAGTGCACTAAATGACTGCTTTGGACATGGGGTCAGAGGCCTGGCTGGGAATTTTGGCCCTACCTATTCTGTCTGTGTGACCGTGGACAACTTTCTGAGCCTCTCTGTGCCTCATCTGCAAAGTGGGGAGAGTGACTGGCTGCCTCATAAGGATGCTGTGAGGACCATGAGGTGACTCTTTTCAAACACTTGAACCCTGCTTGGCCCAGTGTGTGGGCTCCAGAGGTGTTTTCTGATAATGGAAGGGTTGACGTTCCTCACCAACGTCACAAAATCCACCGGCCATGCTTTGTCATCCACGTTCCTGGCATCTCTAGGTGTGTGATGCAAGCCCACCCTCCACTCTTGGAAAGTGGTGTTCGGACGCAGGTGTGAGAGGGAGGAGTGGACAGGAGGCCAGCCAGGGGCGCCCAGCAACGAGGCCTGGGTGTGAAACAGAAACAACCCGCCATAGCTCGGGGAGTCCCAGAGCCCCAGAAACCCACACCCGGGCCTCGGAGCTTTCCCAGCGACTGGCCTTGGGACACAGCTGTGGTCTGGGTGTGTGCTGAGCACACTGGCCTCTGACCCTCCCTGAGCATCTGAGACATGCGGAGCTGTGCCACTCTGGGGGTTGCTGTATGAGTGACAGTGTTGGAAGCCACAGATGGAATTAGACGGTGGGTAGGTACCGGCGAGGACGATGCAGGGTGGAAGATACAAGCTCAGTTCTTGGAGGACAACACAAGGAGCCTTTACCTCGGCTCACAGTGCACATGAGACCTCTGCGCCTGGCCTGTGGTCCCCAGACCCCGTGATCACGGTGCAATCTGAAGATGCCCTGAAGCTCCAGGGCGCGCAGAACGCGTCTGTCCACTTTCCTAACTGGCAGTGCTGTGTGCCACACCACTGTTGCTCTCCACAGCCTATCGCGGGAAGTAGTGAGGGCATCATTTGTGCAGCAGAGGCATCGGGAACACCTGTCTGCACTACTCATCCTGCACACGAGGGACTCAGTTCCCGAAGGAACAATTGAGAACAGCTCTGGCAACGCGGAGTTATCCAAGTGGTGCGCCTTCCCAGCCCGTCACGGGCCCAGTGGGAGCGACAGCCAAAGGGGAACTCCTACCGCCCAGAGAACTCGCTTTTCCCGGGCTGATGGACACAGACACAGGGCCCCCTCTCAGGGTCCAGCCTTCCCTCTGATCTAGCGGAAGCCGTGGCTCTGTGTTCCCCGCTGCTCACGGGCCACAGAGACCCTGGAGCACAGTGCAGAGGAGTCTGGGTGCAGGTAGAGGATCTCAAGAGTCATGGTGAATGGTCAGGCCCCCACTGCCAACACCAGACGTGCCAGCCTCGTGAGCAGCACGGTTGGCCCTGGCACGGGCTCTGTGAAGAGCGCCCGGACTCTTTCTCACATGGGCTCTTCTGCTGGGAGATGCCCAGGCCAGCAGACAGAAGCCCAGGCCCTCCCAGGTGCTAGAGACAAACACTCTAGCCTTGTTTATTTCTGTTTCCTGTCAATCAAAATCCTAAAGAAAGAATTCTGTCCTGTAGATTCTTCCCCTAGATCCTGGGATGGAAAAGCATAAATGAAAATCCCCAGAGGTGCGACCCCTTTCCAGTTCTAAACGCGAGGTTCCATCTCCGCCCCTGCGGGCGATCCCCTGTGGCCATGGCTGAATTTTCTCTCCCAGCCTGGCCCCAACTAAGTGTCAGCTACCAGACTCATTTTTCTATAGTGGCAAATGGCAGTGGGCTTCCCGTAGGAGTGAGATCAGTTTGTGCTGAGATGCTGGACACGGCCATGTCTGGGGTGGGGGATGCAGGACCAGAGGCAAGATGGGCGAGGGGGACACAGACCGGGAAGATGTGGGAGGAAGGCTGGGTGCACTCGGGGTTCGCGCCATGCATTACCTGTGGGGCCTGGGGGTCCTGGTAGGCCTGGCAATCCCTTGGGCCCTCCTGCGCAACCTGGGGACAGACAGGAGAAAAGATGAGCCCAAGCAATCCTAAACACTCAGCCCCAACGCCTTGAGGATCACCAAGGTCAAAAGCACGAGCCGTGCAAGCTGGCTACCATTTCATGATCAGAGTAACTTAATGATCTAATTCATCTTGGTTCTGATGTAAATAAAGTTTGATTTCCTTGTGTAATGAAATCTGAATATCAGTACAAAATGCACACGAAGCCAGTCTAGTCAAATAAAAACTGGCGCTGTGCTGGGAAACGATTCATTCCCTCCCAGGACAGGTGCCTCGGAGCAAACCGAGTGAGACCGGCTGCTCTCTGCCAGTCAGTGTGGACGCTTTGCTTTTGTCTGGAAGTGTCTGCCAGCGATGCAGACAGCCTCAATTTCAAAGCGAATTCTTTCACTTCTCCTTTGTGACTTTGCATACATTCAGAGAGAACCACAGCCACCCTGAACAATTAAACCACGGCTGCAGGCACTTCTGGCTGGTGTGGCCAGGAGCAGCGACACTCGGCAGGGGTACTGTGCCATCTGCCCTTTGTCTAAGAGGCCCTCTTGTAAGAACAGTCACTCTGGGAGCGTTCCTTTGTTTGCGTGCCTGGGAGTCTGGACCAGGCTCCCATCCCGGCCCCGCCTTCTCTGCCCGGTTCCTCCTGGCAGCACATGGGCCTGTGGAGCCGACTTGGTCTGCACTGGCTCTTTTCAATGGGAAAGGATTTCTGATGAGAGGGGATTGGTCAAATGTCTCTCCGCTTCTACCAGGTTGTTATTCATGTCATGTACAGTGTTCATGAGGCCACTCTGCTAGCTCTGTGGAAATCAAACGTGGCTTGCACATATTATTAACATTTCTTAGCCTATGCACACTGCAAGAGCTTAACCAGCAGACCAACAGAGTTCTCTAGCGTCCTAAAGCCACCTGCACTTCCCACTGTACCTGGCTGGATGGCCTCCTGTCTGTCACCTGCAATGGGCCTTCTCACATCTAGGTCACAATCTGGGGAAGACACAAGGACAGAGTGAGGCAATTTTGAAACGAGTAAAAGTTACTGGCTCGTCCTGGGCGTGCACGCGTGTGAAGGGGTGTGTGTCGGTGTGTTGCGTGTGCTGCTGGTGGGGACAGGGAACAGGAAAGCCATCTCTGAACTTCTGGGCATGGCCTCCGTCACTGCAGCCCTAGAGGAGAGGCTGCGTGTTTCAGGGGCTGAGGCGAGGCTGATGGGGGCCCAGAAACCCCACGGTTGGGTCATCCTTTGCACATACGAGAACAGATGAGGCAAAACAGCATCGTCATCTGACGCTACGGGGAAACATCTGTATGACAAAGAAAGTGCAGAATGTCTCAGGGCTGTGACAGGTAACTGGGAGGATTCCTTCATACCTGTTTGTCCTGGAGTCCCTGGGGGGCCGGGGGGGCCTCGGAAGCCGGGTGGTCCAGGTAAGCCGCTGTCTCCAGGGAAACCACGTTGGCCTTTGAGGCCGGGAAGGCCCAGTCCTGGGGGACCCATTTCTCCTGGAGAACCCTTCGTTCCAGGTATTCCTGGATAGCCCGGGTCCCCTGGAGGGCCTTTGATGCCATCGCCCTGTGTGAAAGTTCAGTTTACTATTCTTAAAATATAAACCAATGTTAAAGATCGCCTCGACTTCCCCGTTTCCTTTCCCACTTCCCGGAATTCTGAGCTATGGATCCAGAACAGAAAGATGACAGGGATGAACAGGAACCTGGTGCCATGGTCTGCCAGGTCACAGGCCGGTGATGGACTGAGCAGCAGCATGAGCAACGCCACGGAAGCCGGTGCTGGAAGCGCACGCACATGCTTTAGCGCTTCTCTCTCTCCACCCACCAGTTTGCCTGCATCAGCCTGTGCCTCCATCCCCAGAACGGCGAGGACAGAGACTTGTGTGTTGTATTGTGGGTGGAGGGAGAAACACATGAATTTGTTGATATAATTTAGCATCGGTGACACAGCTCCTATTCACAAGGGACACTACGTTGTTAAAGGAAAGGAAGTTCATTTAGACAAGGAAAGAGCCGTGTGCTGCTCAGAAGTCAGGCGAGATTACAGGATTGGGAAGGAAGAGGGCCACCCTGTGGATGAAAGCACCAGCTGGGGGGTGCAGGTGGGAGGTGCAGGGACGGGGTGGGGAGGCCGGCAGCAGTGCTGTCTGCATGTGCTGGTGAAATAGCCCTGCACGTAAGCCACCCATCTCCTGAGCCATGGGACGAGGCTGGGTGTTCTCATGACAATGAAGCAGAGGCTTATAAGAAACCAAACTCTGCTCTCCACCAGTGCCACAGCCCCATCCTTGGCACCTGCTCCTCGCCAATGCCATAGCCCAGTGTCACCTGCTCTCCACTGACAGCACAGCCCCTTCCTTGTCAAAGGCATGACAGAGCAAGGCAGGGACACCGGTGCAGCCCTCTGATTAAGGGATGCACCCCTGTGTGTTAGCTGTTTTTCACAGGGGAGGGGAACAGGCTGCCACAGAGATCACAGGGCAGACGCCCCAAACTCAGTGGACGGTGACGGGGATGCTGCTGCTGGAAGGTGGCATGGGCAGGATCACGAGCTTTCTAAAGGCAGAAGTTGAGATTCTCGGCTTAGAGATGCCACCGAGTACGGAAGGCACACGAGCACTGGGAGAAGCCCCCGCACCTGGAGAATAGGAAGCTGAGGCTACGGGGTTCTCCCTGACCCTAACCCTCACCCCCACCCCAACCCCTGCTCTGACCACCTGCCCACAGCTGGGCTGAGACTGGCTTGGGAGCTGCAGGGGTGGGTGGACTCCACGGTTGGACACTTCCTGTCACCGACTGCACAAAGGTACCAACTCCAGGAAAGGCCACCATGACCGTAACAAATCCAGAATCAAACAGACCACACACAGACACACAAGAGCACACCATGCACCCCACACACACTCACCGCCCCACCCCCACGTGACACACTGAACAGGCAAAAGACGGTCCCAACCACAGGAGTCATTAGTCATCCTCCTCTTCTGGCTGAAGTGACCAGTTACGGCTTTGCCTCTTATTAACCCTGTTGCCTCCCAGATGAGATTTTTAAGATACCCAATCATGGAATTATCTGTGTTCTCTGGCCTCAAAAAACTGCACTTAGATTGTAAGAATGTGGGCTGGGTGTGGTGGCTCCTGTCTGTAAAACCAGTGCTTTTGGAGGCCAAGGCAGGAGAGTCACATGAGCCCAGGAATTTGAGACCAGCATGGGCAACAGAGAGAGCTCTCGTCTCTACAAAAAATTGTAAAAACATTAGGTGGGTGTGCTGGTGCGCACCTGTGGTCCCAGCCACTTGGGAGGCTGAGGGAGAGGATGGCTTGAGCCCAGGAGTTCGAGGCTGCAGTGAGCTTAGATTGCACCACTGCCCTCCAGAGCGTTACTACAGACGTGACCCACATTAAAACTAGAGGAGGTGTGGGTTGTGGAATGAGGCAAATGAGCTGCAGATAGAATTCAGGTGTGAGGCTCTGAGAGGAGGAAGAGAATTGTGATTTTAACTGTCCCCCATGATGCTGAACTCTTAATTCCCGGACCTAGACCTGTGACCTGATTTGGAAATAAGGTCTTTGAGGACGCTCAAGGTAAGATGAGGTCTTTAGGATGGGACCATTCCCAGATGACTGCTCTCCCTATAAAAACCGGAAAGTTGGACCCAGAGACAGACACACAGAGAGGACAGATGGTGGGAAGACAGAGAGGAGACGGCTGTCTGTAAGTGAGGAATGCCGGAGCTCCCGGAAGCCGGGAGCGGGGCAGGCACAGCTCCTCCCGCACTGTCTCAGAAGGACCCAGGCCTGCAGACACCTCGATGTGAGGCTTCCAGCCTCCAGAGCTGTGAGACCATACATGTCTGATGTCTAAGCCGCCCAGTCTGTGGGACTTTGTGGCCTCAGCCCCAGGAAACTCATACAGAGAGCTTAAGGAGGCACAGGCGTGGTGACCAGAGGGAGGAAAATGGAATCTAGAAGAGAAAGGTGAGAACAAGGTTGCAGGGCCTGAGGAGAGGGAAAGCTCCGGAGCTGCGGTGGGAGGCGTGACGGTGACGGCAGGGAGGGGCTCAGAGGCCGGAGGGGGCGCAGGAGGGGTCTGGTCTCCCTCTGTGGTTGCCTCCCTCGCCTCTGACCCCAGCCTCCCCCGAGGAATCGATGCTGGGGTCGCTGCAGGTTACTAGATATCCCCTCCTTCAACACCAGTGTGTGTTGGTTGCAAAAATAAAATTGGATCTTTTAGGATTTACCTTAAAAAAATAGGGTTCCACCACCTATTTTAGAATATTCTATTTTTGTGGGGGGAGTATCTTATTCTCTTATACCAGGAGGAATATTATTTATTAGGTGGTTGACTTTTAAATGTTCAGTCAGGGCTTGGCTTCCAACTTAACTCACTGTTTCCTAAAAGACCTGATCTCTGCTCTTTAAGAACGGACCGAGCCGTACGAGCGACCTGTCCTATGCATGGGTGGTCTGCTGCTGAGGTCAACAGCGCTTGCTTTGTGGGCGTCAGGAGAACATGAAGGACGATGAAGAAAGGTCCGAGCGGCTGCGCAGTCGGTGGCTACTCACGGGAGGGCCTGGGAGGCCGGGGAATCCATCGAGCCCCTCGCGGCCTGGGATGCCATCGTCACCTTTCATCCCGGGGACACCTGGGACGCCGGGCTGTCCCCGCTCACCTGGGAAGGGATTTGCATGTGAAGCGGCTCAGCCTACACCCCCAGGAAGACTAAGTGCCCCAGGGGCTGCGTGGCCACGGCGGAACTGACCTTTGGCTGTGATTGTTCTGGAATCTCCTTTTGCTCCTTTGGGCCCGGGAGCACCAACATTGCCAGGGACTCCCTGTGGAAAACAGACAAAAAATATTTCTTCCTCCTTGCTACTGTGAGGGCATCTGGGAAGATGGCTGGCAAGCGTTTTCCTCTCACACAGCCTGCAGGCAGTCACCCGTCACCAAGCCGAGGGGCATCCAAGGAGCGCTTTCTGTGATGCTGGACATGCCCCCATCCAGCTGCCCAGGCTGGGGGCCACAGGCCGCAGCGGCTTCGAGCACTGGAGCTGCAGGTGGTGGGGCTGAGGAATGGGGTGGCACGTTGTCTTTAATTTTAAATAATTACAATGCAGCTGGTGCGGGGATTCACACCTGTAATCCCAGCACTTTGGGAGGCTCAGGTGAGCAGATCGCTTGCGGAGTTTGAGACCAGCCTGACCAACACGGTGAAACCTCATCTCTACTAAAAATACCAAATCTTAGCAGGGTGTGGTGGCACACACCTGCAGTCCTTGCTACTTGGGAGTCTGAGGCAGGAGGGGCAATTTCTTGAACCTGGGAGGCGGAGTTTGAAGTGAGCTGAGATCTCGCCACTGCACTTCAACCTGGGAGACAAAGTGAGACTCAGCCTCAATCAATCAATGAATACAACGCAGCGGAAGTGGCCACAGGTGGTTGGACAGGGAAATCCAGGTCTTAGGCCCATCCTCAGTGTCCCTGGGCCCTGCCAGAGGTGTGGACACACAGACCGCAGTCCGGGGCAGCTGAGTCACTGCCGTTTCTCCACAGAGCCCCAGGGGTCCACGGGGCTAGCGCCTTTTGAGAAGTACTGAACTCAGACTCAAGGTGGCTTCCTCTAAACCACAGTCACTTAGGAGCGAAGGAGGTTAATCCAGGAATGGAGGATACAATTTTCTGATAATTGAATATTGAGAACAATGAATGGTATTTAAGAGACCATCTGTTTCCTGCACTGAGGTTACAGCTGGGAGAAACACACTTTAGAAGGAAGCCGCCTGCAGGGACTCTCAAATCGCAGCCTGGAAAATCGTGTCCAGCTCTCCCCACGAGCAGAAGTGAGCAGGGTATCCATCTCAGGGTTGTGTTTTCAAATGTGGGCTGTGCTAGCTTTTGGCATATCTTGGTTGACGTTATTTCCAAGAATATGAGAATGTGTGGAGCTGCTTTAATTAAATGGGATGTTGCAAGTGTTTGGAGTTTCTCTTCTCCTAGAAAATTCCACAGTCTTCATTTATTTAGTTCTTTGCAACTATTTTAGAATGCAAATAAGTTTGCATTACTTTGGAATCTAGGAGAGTGCCTCACACACACACCAGGCCCATTAATCAATACACGTTGTGTACACAGATGGAGGGATGGGTTTAGTGACCCACTCCCACACTTTAAACTCTGCCAGATGCTACCAGTACAAATATTAAAAACAAAGCAAAACTAGCCAAAAAACTCCCAAATGGTCTCAGGTATTCCCACTGCCGTGGGATTTCCAGACACAATCATAGAATTCAGTGCAGGACACCAGGCACAGCCAGCAACGTTTGAACGGAAGTTCTGTGGGCGTGTGTGCTGAGAAGGTTTGAGACATTTCAGGGGTACAGAATGGGATCCACTGGGCTTCTAGGAAATACTGAATCACGTTTGAAACAACTGAAGATCCTCCTAGCTTTGCCATTAGTATATTTGCAATTCCTACCACATGCACTTTTTCTGAACACTTGAGCCACTTTTTCTGCTTAGACAGCCATGATTTGGAGATTGTATCCTTTCTAAACTGGGAAAAAAATACGGCACCTGGTATTCTTTGTTGCATTTCCCTATATTTTTTTTTGAGAAACCTAGGGCATGGATCAGCGAGTGCCCAGGTCTCATTTCGCCGGCACCGCTCCGGGCATGAAGCAGCTGGGAGCCATGAGCGTCAGTGCCGCAGCTCGGCGGGACCACTGTTCTCTTCCATGCTGTGGAGTCAGATGGTTCAGGCTTCCTTGGCCAAGTGTCATGAGCAATTATTTTTCCTCTATTGCTGAATATGTAAAATAATGAACTTTTTGCTTTCTAAATTTCCCAAACTTCTATTTTTAGGTTAAAAAGTCAACAGAAAGTATAATTTCTTTGTCTACATTTGAAATTCACTTTGAAATCTTAGGTCAGCTAAAATCCGCTGGGGAAAAAAAAGGTCTGCTGCCCGTGACCTTTTTATAAGGCAGAGAATAAAGGCCATGAGCTGATGTGTGTGGGGCCCACACTTCCACACAGGTACATGCACTCCTTAAAAATCAAAAGGTCTTGCTTTTTATCAGGTTATGGAAGCCTTCCAACAATGCTAAATCAGTTCTTGCTGAACTTGAGAAGGTGAATGTTCAATAAATAATTGCTTCACATTAAAAAGATAGCAGTTTTTTTTGATATACAATTCATATAGCAAAATAGTCACTGTTTAAAGGCATAACATTCCGTGATTTTCAGTGTTTTCACAAGGTTGTGCCACCATGACTATCATCTAATTCCAGAACAGCTTCATGATATCAGAAAGAAGCCGCATACCATTAAACAGCCACTCCCCACCCCCACCCCCACCTGCAGCAGCCGACAATGAACTTCCTGTTTCCAGGGTGCCTGTGTGGATATTTCATGTGAATAGAGCCCGACAGCACGTGATAGCATCTGTTGTTCTGTGTGGGTCTTAATCCACATGGCATACCATGTTCCATGTAAAGGGGGGTGCTATTCCATTGTACAGATGCTGCATAGAGTTAGCTGAAGCGTTCATCAGGGATGGATATTTGCATGGTTCCCATCTTCTGCCTATTTTGAACGATGCGCTCTGAACATTGGGGTGTGTGTGTGTGCGTGTGTGTGTGTATGTACATGGTTTCAAGTCTCTTGGGGATACACCTAGGAGTGGCATTTCTGGGTCATGTGGTCACCCCTGATTGAACTCTTTCAAGACCTGTCAGCCGCACCCCTTCTCAGTCTCACCAGTGGACCTGTAGAAAGTCCGTCTTGGAGTGTGTGGGTTTTTCGAATGGTTTAGCCATCCCGTGGGTCCATGAGTGTTGCTGGTATGAAGCTGATAAAAGGCAACAACAGGACACCTGGAGAGGCCTCAGAGTGTCTTGCCAGCTTCATGATGAAACTCACCTTGAGCCCTGGGAACCCAGGAAGGCCATGCTGGCCAGGGTCTCCTTTGTCCCCTTTCCTCCCTGGCTCCCCGTTGATGCCTGGGAAGCCCTTCGGTCCTGGCAGTCCCGGAAGACCTCTGACAGCTTCGTCGCCTTCTACACATCTGCAGTCCCCAGCATCACCTGCAGATGAGGGAGAGGAGGGCCTCCTTGTTCCTCTCAGTGTGGCAGGGAGAGGGTATCGGGTGTCAGGAGAGGGTGTCGGGTGTCGGGAGAGGGTGTCAGGTGTCGGGAGAGGGTATCAGGTGACAGGAGAGGGTACTGAGTGGTGGGGAGAGGGTATTGGGTGTCGGGAGAGGGTATCAGGTGTCGGGAGAGGGTATCAGGTGACAGGGGAGGGTACTGGGTGGTGGGGAGAGGGTGTCGGGGGACAGGAGAGGGTACTGGGTGTGGGGAGAGCTGGGCGCTGTGGTTGGTCCTCTATGGACACTACCTGTTCTGATAGGCACTGTGAGCCCCATTTCTTAGATGAGAAAACTAAGGCTCAGACTCAGTGACTCACATGTTCACTCACAGTCTCATGGGGTTCAGAATTGGACTCTGATGTTTACTAAAGATACTTAAAAACTGAGACCACATTCAGAGGCATAGGTAGAGTTGTGGGGAGTGTGAAGGAGTTTAAGGAACTCAGCACTCAGAGGTGAAGATTGCCACCACTGGGCCAGTGGGCTGAGGGGAAGAGCCGGCTCCAGGTAGTGGGCAGGGAGGGAAAGAGCCCTGGTCTCAGAGGCCAAGGTCATGGAGGGTCACCGGTGAGCAGGGAAAACGTGTCTGACCTCTCTTCCTCTGCCATGGCTGAACCAAGGGAGCTAAGCAGCAAGGGAGCACCATGCTGGTGGCAGGGATTGGCTCCCCCAAGGCAGAGAGGATGCCCAGTGGGGAGGCCCCACTTCCCCAGGCCCTGCAGTGCCTGCTCTCAGGTCGTGCCCATCCACAGTAGGGTGCTAAATGCACTGCCCATCCCACATACGCCAAAACAGCCAGGGCGTGGTGAATGCCAGGAAGTGCTCCCCACACTCAGGGAAAGGGGAGCTGAGCAGGAGCACACCCTGCACCACACCAGGGGCCTACAGAGTCTCACAGAGGATGGCCTCGAGCTAGAGGCAGCGCCTCTGAGGTGACTGGGAAGGGTCAGGTGCAAAGATCACCTGCTCCAAGTTCACCTCCTCCTCGACGGGGAGGGAGACTCAGGCAAGCCACGTCACTCCGCTGGGTCTCAGTGGGACCAGGGATGGTGACTATACCAGTACCTCGAATGGACAGAGGTCTCTACGCAGACTTCTGTTACACTGCCTTGGAGCTGAGCCATTGAGACCTCACCTGAGTGCAGCCTAAGAAGTAACTGTTTCCCTTTCAACCCAGCAGCGGGCTCAGCGCTGCTTGGGAAGGTCAGTGACGAGGAGAGCAGGGACGGTGAAGCCTGGGGGCCGCGTGCTCAGACGGCACCACCGGCTCCAGGCGCCTCGCTCTCAGCGTCACCGTCATGGGGACAGGAGGCTGGGAGAGACATGCAGGCTGATTTACATCTCCAAACACGTGAGTGGGGACCGGATTTCACCTTCTGCAAGGTAAGGGTACTCGGAAAGGCCAGGCTGTCCTCCTCATCCCACGTCTCCCACACCCCCTTACCTTTCCGTCCCTTCTGTCCGCGGGCTCCAGGGGAGCCAGAAAGCCCAGGGAAGCCCACTCTTCCTTCTGCTCCTTTCAGGCCAAACAGGAAGCCTGGAGAGACAACCACAGACACAAGGCGTCAGTCCCACGGACGCCTGGGGTCCCATTCACATGCAGGGCGTTGGCACCGTGGCTGCCCGGCGCCCCACCCAGATGAGGGGCACCAGAATCACGGACGCCCAGGGTCCCACCCAGACACGGGGCATGGGTCCCACCCAGACACGGCATGGGCACCAGAGACGCCCAGCATCCCACCCAGCTCAGGGCTCCCCAAATGACCCATAAACCCCAGTTCCATAAACAAAAGCACATTTTTTTCAAAAGAAAACTTAGTCTGTTTTGTGGCAACAGCCTTCAGGATTGGAAAGAAATCTGAGTCTGCAAATTTAGTTTTTCCATTAAAGTAGAGGGATAACAATCATTCCTTTTGAGACACACTGAGCACAAAGAAAGGTTTTGATTTTTTGATCACGTAACTTGGATTCCAAGGCTGCTACACACTTCTGGTTCCCCCCAAAAGATTAAAAAAAAGAGACGAAAGTGGTTTTCCCTTTTGATCTTTTTCTGACATGGGAATGGAGACACACGTGTGCCTCCCCCCAGCACTCGATTCCTGTTTCACGCCTTACACGCACATACAGAGTTAGCATAACTGTTATGCTAATTAAAGGTTGTGGTCAGTCTGGATTCAGCATGGTCAACCGTATTGGATGACGTCCCCCAGCACCTTCCCCTGCTGACCCTCTCCCCGCCAACTCCTGCAGGACTCAGTGATCCAAGCGGGGACATCCCTGGTGGTGACGTGCAAGAAACACACTCAACGCCGGCACAGTGTGCGCTGTCGCACTGGACAAGAAGAGTGCCATCTGGTGGCAGGAGGAGGGGCACGTCTGCAGGAAGCTGGGTGCACGCTCTGCAGGTGTGCCCGGCAGCAATCCGTCCTCACTGTTAAAACTCGTAAGGCCAGAGCTCCAACGGGTAAATGACACTCCCCCAACAAATGAAAAGGCATGTTGCCTCCACACTACATGGAACCTGAGAGGAGCAGGGAATGAGGCCATTACAAAAGGCAGGCGAGAAAACTCCAACTTTAAAGAACCTGGCTACCTGCTTAGAAACAGCAGGGGAGTGTGCATGTCAGAGAACTGCTGGTGAGTACAAATGTCCATGAAAACAAGGAAATGAGTACTGTCCCCGGCAGTTTGCTCACTGCACAGGTATCGCAGCTTATTCATTCATACGTTCATCAAAGACTCATCCAGTGGCTATACTCCGCCAGGCTGTGTGCCACGTGCTGTGTGCACACGACTAGAAATGAAACCGACAGACTCTCATGGAGCTTACAGCTTAGATGTGGAGACACACATGAAACACACCACGTGTGAACACACGAATGTGGATTTTAAATGATGGCCCGTGCTGTGAGAACAGAGGAAAAATGGCAGGGAGAGCCTGGAACATTGGAAAGTTCGGGGGTGGTCAGGAAAATCCTTTCTGAGAAAGTGATGCTTAAGTGAAAGCCCAAAGAATAAAAAGGAGCCCCCCAAGTAGGTAGCGGGAGGGAATGTTCCAGAGAGAGGACAAGGTTTCTAAAAGGCCCTGAAGTAGGGGGAAGGCCAGCGCCCGAGGGTCGGGAGGGAAGGGCAGAGTTGCACAGAGGGAGGGAAGAAACCGGACTCGGGTCTTAACAGGGCAGTAGGAAGCCATTAAGGGGCCTGGAGCGGGAAGAGGCTATGCATCTGCCATGAGGATGACAGGCTGTCGAGGGGAGGGAGAGTGGCTGTGTCCCAGCAGGCTGCATGGGAAGTGGTGGTGGAGAGCAAGGGCACACACAGCATTGGAGTGGGGGACCTGCCAGGATGTGCCAGGGACCCAGAGCAGCCCAGGGGCCTGCTGGAGCTTGTGGGTTTCTGCAGGGGGGAGGTGTGAGGACCAAGGGAGAGGCCTGCAGGTGGCAGAGGGTGGGGAGGGAGGAGGCCCAGAGCTCCATTTTGAACATGCACAGCTTGAGGTATTTGTGAGCAACATACATAGGGTCGACTCTGCGTCAAGTTAGCGGTTTCTGTGCATAGCTCAGAACACAGAATGGGGCTGCAGAGGAAATGAGAGGGTGCCTGGCACACAGTGCATTTTCTTTCATGTGGAGGACGGCTTCATCTAGGCAGGGATTGCAGGGAGTGCAGGAGCTTCAGGGGAGAGATGTCGGGGTCGGGGGGAAGTGGGATTTCCCGGGAGTGGAGGGGAGAAGACAGCATCTTCAGGAGGAGAGGCTGCTGCCATGCCCTGCGCTGCTGGGGACAAAGGGTGACCTGGGACCAGGTCAGCTGCTGCGTCCGGTCAGTTGTGGACGTTGTGAGCTTTTCTGTATGTCACCAAGCTCTCCCACTGTGTGATGAGACATGCAGTTTCACAGGTGGAGAAAGATAATCCCACACACTTCAGAGATATCAGTATTGCCAGCCTGAGACACGCCATTCACTCAGGACAAAGAGGCTGTGGGTGCTCCTTACAAGGTAAGCATCGGATGCTTTGCAAATCTAGTCCCAAAGGCACAGATGGGCCCTCTGAAGACGACAGCCTTCCTCGCTCCCTGCTGCTCTCCTTTTCTCTAATATATTAGGCATTTCAAATGAGTCCTATGGAATAGCAGTGTGCCTCTTAGATGCCTGCAACATGATTTCCACAAAGAGCCCCTGGCTGAACAAGCCAGGTCCATGTTGACTTACTCTCCAGTGGAACAGAACTTCCCAGAACTAAATCCAGTTAACTGAACTAGAAGGGGGGAAGTGAAATATTTCACCCGGAAAGAAAACTGTCTTCACGGTTTGATTTTACTGGAGCTGCAAAATACTAAAAATTCTGGTTTTCATCAGTAGCAACCTATAAAACAGGATGAAATGTAGTTAACAAGAGAGGAATCTAACAATTTCACTCCAGGGGAAAAGTCAGAGAACTCCATGGGAATCAAGGTCATTCCTATTAAACTACAACCACACACACGTTTTCCAAAGGCCATTGTGGTGGACTACTTTTGTATAAGAAGTTGCTTTCAAAATGTTGATTTGGAAACAATGTGTCTCACAGGTGTGATACATATAATCAGAGAAGTTAAGTTGTAAGCTTTTAAAATTTTTAGCTGGTAACATTGACCTGATACCATTCCATTCATTTTTTAAATTTCCTCATCAGCCTAAAATACAGATCAGGAATTAATTTGTTTGCAGTTGACTTATGCCAGTAAACCACTGGTTTACCAAGCTAGACTTGAAAAGCAAGAGAAATGCCAGATGTAGGTGACAGGGGATGGAGGCAGAAAACCACCTTGCCATGTGTGTACCTATGCAACAATCCTGCATGATCTGCACATGCACCCCAGAATCCAAGGTACAATGAAAAATAAAAAGGAAAAAAAAATCGAGATGGCATACGGTTGTGACTTTATCAAAATGGAATTTAGTTACAGGAATAACGGCAACGTTAGCCTTTGACCACAGTTCTTTAAAGTGGATTTTTTTTTTTTTTTTAGTTGAGATGGAGTTTTGCTCTTGTTGCCCAGGCTGGAGTGCAAAGGTGTGATCTTGGTTCACTGCAACCTCCACCTCCTGGGTCCAAGTGATTCTTCTGCCTCAGCCTCCCGAGTAACTGGGATTATAGGCATGTGCCATCATGCCTGGCTAACTTTGTGTTTTTAGTAGAGATGGGGTTTCACCACGTGGGTCAGTCTGGTCTCGAACTCCTGACCTTAGGTGACTGGCCTGCCTCAACCTTCCAGAGTGCTGGGATTACAGGCATGAGCCACCATGTCCGATGATTAAAGTGGAATATTTTTATGCTTTTGTTTTTAACATGTCATGTTCTGCTCCAGAAAAAGAAAACTCAAAACATACCATTTGCTAGGAACTATAATGCTCAAAGAAACTTAGCCATTAGCACAGCTGTCCAGGATAATAAAAAATAATTAAAGGCCAGGTGTGGTGACTCACACCTGTAATCCCAGCACTCTGGGAGGTTAAGGTAGGCGGATCACCTGAGCTCAGGAGTTTGAGACCAGCCTGGACAACATAGTGAAACCCCATCTCTATCAAAAATACAAAATTAGCTAAGTGTTGTGGTGAATGCTTGTAATTCCAGCTACTCGAGAGGCTGAGGTGGCAAGGTCACTTGATCCCACGAGGCGGAGGTTGCAGTGAGCAGAGATTGCACCACTGCACTCCAGCCTGGGTTACAGAGTGAGACCCTGTCTCAAAATAAAATAAAATAAAATAAAATAAAATAAAATAAAATAAAATAAAATAAAATAAAATAAAATAAAATAAAATAAAATAAAAGGTTCACACTGCTCAGACTGTTTGGTAGGTTCATGATTCTGGGAAATACTTACACCTAAACATTTTCAAAATAATGTGGGAATCTGTGGGTTTTCTAATTGAAGGAAAATTGTGAAAGTAGAAGCCTATGAAGTTAAAATTTTACTTTAAAATAACAGAAACAGAGAAGTGACTGCTAGTTTCTAAATAGAAGATATCGCTTCTAATACTTCAAATGATTTTCCTTCTAGAGATGTCAAAGAGAAGTAATCTTCCAAAGACAATTAAAACAGAGACTTTGAATATGACCTTTGACTGAAATCAAACACTGTCCATTAGCAAACGAGGCGTTTTTCCTCCCCGAAGGGAGATTATCAGGAGCAACGCCAGGGAATTTAAAGCAACTATTTTGGAAAGAAGAGGCTGTTAACTTTTGGTCACCGTCACACAGAAGGAGACTATGACGTCATATTTTCTCCCAGCGTCTCCTATATTCACTCTTGGGAGAGAATGAAATGTTCCTATTGGCCATTTCACAACATTGAAAGCAGGTGTGTCCAATCTTTTGGCTTCCCAGGGCCACGTTGGAAGAAGAATTGTCTTGGGTCACACATAAAGAACACTAACACTAACGTTAGCTGAGGATATGGTTAGGTTTTGTGTCCCCACTGAAATTCACCTTGAATTTTAGTTTCCACAATCCCCTCATGAGGGGGCCTGGTACAGGGGAGGTGACTGAATCACGGAGGTGGTTTCCACCAAGCTGTTCTCGTGACACTGAGTGTGTTCTCATGGTATCTGATAGTTCTATAAGGGGCTTTTTCCCTTTCCGCTCCTCACTTCTCCTTCCTGATACCATGTGAAGAAGGATGTCTGCTTTTCCTTCTGCCATGTTTGTAAATTTCCTGAGGCCTCCCCAGCCCTGCAGAACTGTGAGTCGATTAAACCTCTTTCCTTTAGAAGTTACCCATTTTGGGTATGTCCTTACAGCAGCATGACAACAAACGAATGCAGCTGATTAGCTAAAAAAAAATTGCAAAAATGTTTTAAGAAAGCTTATGAATTTGTGTTGGGCTGTATTTGAAGCCATCCTGGGCTGCCTGTGGCCCATGGATTGGAAAGCTTCATCTTAAAAGCAAAACTCTCTGAATGCTAAAGCTGAAAGAACAGCCTTTTCTGACCGCAAGTGCCAGGCGGGACTGCATGTTTCCCTGCCACCTGAGACAGATCATTCTCAACTCAAGCTGAGTCACCTAACACTACAACGTGGAAGAGCATCTTTGCTGACTCAGGAATGCACCACCAGGTGGCAGGTGGGTCCACGCTCCGGTGTTTGCCGGCTTCATAGACTTTCATGGGCACTTGTCTGGACCTTGGCCGACGGCTGTCCCTTATTTTTGCAGATAATGCAGCCAACTGTTTTTGTCACCAGCTACTGTCACCTGTTCAGTTGTAGCCTTGGCTGTGCACAGGCCGAGAAGACAGATTATCGAGTTGGCTTAAACGTGCGGGTGTAATAGAGGAGAGAGGCTGCTGTCAGGCAAGGGTGAGGCCCCCACTCTGGATTACGTTTGTGGAATTTACCACCCTGACACAGAGGCAGCGATGTCAGCTCACATCTGTTTCCAGAATGTGCAGCTCAGATGTTTCGCTGAAGGACGACGTTCACTGAAGCTGCAGCAGCCAAACCTCACTGTGTGGCGTCCATGGGGTTGTGATACTCACGAGCTTACAGGGCTTCAGCTGCCATCCCCAGCTTCTGTGTGGACCCGAGAGCACCCACTACCCCCTAATCCACCTGGGCCCATTTCACCCTCATCCAGTGGCCTACTGGATTCATTCAAAGAGTCATTTAGCAGAGAATCCCAAAAGAGATCCGGCTGGGACTGGGCTTCATCTGAACCTTAGAATACACCCTCCCTTTTGTTTCCCTTCACTCACCATCAGGTCCAGGTGGTCCAGGGAGCCCGGGGGGTCCTGGAGGCCCCGGTTTTCCGTCAAGTCCGGGTGGGCCCGGGTAGAGTGCGGGGATGCCGGGGTCTCCGATGAAGCCTTTGGGTCCCATCTCACCCGGCAGGCCTCTCCCCAGATCTGAAAGCAAACAACATTCACAGGCAGAGTGAGTCTCCCAGACTAAACCACGGCCTTTGCGTTCCTGTCCAGAGGGACCCACCAGCAGGACCCTGGGGCTCATGGTCCTGTCAAGAAGCCATTGCTACAGTTCATTATCATTTTCCAACTTTAAAAACACCCCTCTCCTTGCCCCTCAAATAATGGCTTGATAGTTGTGGTCAACACTGGGCAACAACACCTGATGATACTCCGTTCTCTTCCCAACCCGCTGGTGGAAGCATGCCAGCTACTCATCATGGCCTCATCTAACCAAGCTGGGGAGTTACTGTCCTATGTGCAGGGGTTCTGTGAAGATGTCCAAAGCATGTGTGTGGTGCTCCCCAGAACTGCTAAGACTAGTCAGTGGGGAAAAGTAACAACGACATAGCTGTGTCGTCAAGGAAGGCTCACTTGTGTGTGCTCAGACCTGAGGGCAGGTGCTTTGGGTCTCAGGTGTTGATATCACGAAGCCACATTACCTTCAGCTCCAATGGAGATGCCAGGTGGGCCTCGGGGGCCCGGGTCTCCTGGTTCACCCTGGCTTCCTGGCTCCCCTCGGGCCCCTGGAAATCCTGGGTCACCTCTGGCACCTGGAAGTGAAACAAGTCCCACAGTAAGAGCAAGACCGTGGTCTACGGATTGCAGCTGGCATTCGCTTTTGCACTGACTACATATTACCAGATGCTCCGCATGCTGCGGGAGGCCTGCTAGGGAGTTAAGATGGTTAATACATGGCGTGGCCTCTATTTTTAGGGGGCTCATTCTCCATCAAATGGGGTGACACAAGATTCCTACAAATATTAAATGATACAGAATGTCAAAAAGATACAGAGAGGCTTCAAAGGAGGGGAGGATTATTTTGGGGAAAACCTGATATCAAGGAACCACAGATAATAACATTAATAGAAGTGAAGATGTTTTGAGCCCTTACTGTGTGCAGAGGATCACTCAGTGTTAAGTGCTTTCTGGAGGCAGTGCTGAGGTGCAGGGGAACGGAATTAGTGGAAGTCAGGTGAGGAAGCAGGCGAGTCCAAAGCTCAAATAAAGAGGGAATTAACGTGGCTGCCAGTGTTGCTGGAGGCCTGGGGGCGAGGCAGCCTTACTTCCCTCGCCTCCCTCTGTCCCTGGACCCCAGCTTCAACCACATTAGGCTGTTTTTCTCATCCCTGGCTGCTGGATGAATAACAAAGTTCAGTTTTACAAACTTTCATCCATGAACAAACAAAGAGAGTGGTACGGCTATGATCCTCCGCTGTGGAAACAGCTTCGCTTTACTGTGGAACACATTTTTCTAGAATTTAACTGGGAAAGCTGGGAGGAAAGAGAAGAAAATAGGACTTTCTATCAGGTAGGCATTAGGAATTTCTAGGAACGCCCTCGCTCTGCATGTGATCTTACGAAATGCCTTAAAATAAGGAGAGGGCTTGCCCTCTTGACTCTGAAGTCACATGTGCAAGGGGCAGAGGGCATGACTCCCGTGCAGGGTGTCTCGTGCTCGGGCAGCTGCACGCTGCGCTCCGCAGACGGACAGAGGCCCCGGGCCTGAGTCTGGCTCCTCCACTTAAACGCAGCCTTGGCAGGAACTCAGCTGCCCTGCGCCTCCATCTCTCCCTCAGTAAAGGGGGCTAAGTCCGTCTCCACCTCTCAGCATCACTGGAGGGTGAAATGCCCTGAAAAGTACAACTGGGACAACTTTGAACGTCGCTTGGCACACACTGAGACCCACACACGTTAGCCACCGTTACAATTCAATAAAAAGACCAGAGAACATTTAAAGCCACAGACCTTCTCACTTGTTTGGAAGAACAGCAAGATTACTTTTATTTCTAGTTATCTTGGGATCATTGTTTTCTTTTTTTTTTCTTTTTTTTTTTGAGATCATTGTTTTCAATACAAACCCCTCTCTCCTTTTTGCCCTTTGACAAGTTCATGCAATGTTATGTTAAAAAAGTTACATTCACTGTCTCTTTTCCCTGAGGGAATCTGCTCAGTAGTCAACCTCTGACTCCAAGAAACCCTGGAATGCAAGTCAGTCACATTCCGGCTCACCAAGACCTCGGGAATATTGTCCGGCAGGAAAGGCGCAGGCAACCTCCGCATTTCTGAATCTGCTCATGGGAAAAAATGAATTTGGAAACCACCCGTCTTTGCAGCATGATTTCCAGGAACACAGTGCAGTGAGCAGGCAGGACCTGGGGAGAGCTGGGCTCTCAGTCGGCGACATTTTTAAAAAATGCAAAAGAAACACCGTCAGCATTGACTTAAAAAATCACGTTTCTAGCATCTCAAAGAGAATATTGCCGTTTTACCAAAATCACGAATAGGGAGTCAAGTCAAAGCGGGCTCATGGCCCTTTTTAGTGGGTCTTGGGTTTGGCAGCCAGGTGGGCACCATGGATGAGGCAGGAAATGCCAGCTTCACAGTTACGGGCATCACGGAAGAAAAGCATGAGTTTTAAAATATCCCCATTCATGGCTCCACACCTACCCAGACATTTCAGGGGCTCCCCAAGGCACTGCCCGTGGCCCTGATCTGTTCTGTATTTTCATCAGCCCTCATTGGATGAAGGCATTCAAAAGCCATTATCAAACTGACAGACGGCTTGCACCTAAGCAGGGAAGCAAATTCTCAACACCTCGGCTTAAGAGGACAGTGAGACCAGGTGACCTGCTGAGTTCACGAGGAAGACGCCAGAGCGTCAAAAACCCTGCCCCTCACAGTGCCTGTCTGATGTGTATGTTTCGGCACGCAGCTCACTCACACCGTCAGGCGTTTGCTGAGCACCCACCCTGCACCTGCCCCGTTCCAGACACTGGGAATACAGCAGTGAACCAGCCAGGCTGAACTGGGTGCAAGGCTCAGAGCTGAGTTCTCCAGCTGCAGGACTAGGATCCGATTTCCATACGATCTTGCCAATTTGCAAGGCTGAGCTTTAGTAACAAGATAAGCATTAGTGACGACACACACAAAGGCCTTCGTTTACACTCCACGGTCAACTGTGACAGTGGGGAGTGGTCGTTCGCGTGCAGACTATCTGGGGATTTAGTTGCCTTGAAGTCTGAAAGCATGGGCCTGTTCATGGTTATGGGTTATGACCAATTCCAGGCGTCGGGCTGACGAGCAGAGGTGCTTAAGAACATTGGCGCATTTGCAGAAAAACTCCAAAGGTGGCTGGGGCTGCAGCCACTGGATTTCTTTAGTGATAGTCCAGATGGCAGAACCGGAACTCTACAAGTTAAGCGGAAATGAGGGAATTCCTCGATGGAGGGGATTTCTCACTTGTAGGTGGTGAGGACTCCCGCAGGCACAGGCAACACGGAGGTCTCCCTGTGACACATTTGAGCAGGAGGAAAATTGTACATGAGATGGAGATCCTCCAGCAGTGAGGTTCTAAATTTCGGTTTTGTTTTGCTTAGAAAATCTGTCTTGAAAGTTCACGACTCTGTGTCCCTAGCAGGAGAGAATGTGTACGTGACGCTGAGCTATGCGGTTGAAATTGTTCACACACCTTTTGCTAGGGAAGGGTGAGGGGAGTAGGCAGGCAGGCCCGGGGGTCCTGGGTCTCCGGTTTCTCCCTAGAGAAAGAAAAGAGAACAGAAGGATGTGAGAATAGCCTTTCGGAGTTTTTCACAGGATGGGTATTTCCAAAGAAGAAGGCTGGGCATGGAGCATCCGGTTAGCAGAGCAGCCATTTCAACCCGTGCAACCACAGACAGTGCCTGGGGCAGCATCCCCATGCTGGGGTGGCAAAGCCTGGCATCCCAGCCACCAGCCACCAGCCACCAGGGCCCACAGAGAACAAGTCAGGCAGGGGCCCATCTCATTTTGAAATCCTTGTTGAATGCTAGGAGACTGTGCTTTCTGTAGCTGACTATGACATTTTGGGCAGTGACAGCTGAGCTGTCTGCTGAGGGTGGGCTGGGAGAGGCTGTGACTGCAGGACCCCAGTGGAGTGCCATCTGTGTCACAAGGCAGCGTCCACGTGCCACCTCACCTCTTTGAGCCTCACCCAGCTCAGAAGTCCTCTCCAGATGTGCCCCCATCCAGGTTCCCCACGGGTGAGTTCCCCTCTCAGCTGCACCAGCAGCACCTACCTGGTCCTCCACCTGATGGTCTCCCCTCCGTGCCAGCCCAGGAATTACTCACAGAAGCCACAGCCTCCCTTGGACACCAGGGCACCTCATCCTCTTGTTATATAAAGCCTGCCTCCCCCAGGCCTGCTGGTCCCCTCTGTACCCGAGTGCACCCCTGCGTGGCCCTGCATGGCAGGCGACACCCTCCTCCCCAGCTGGGAACACATGTGGCTCAGAGGTCATCATCCACCTCGGCCGCCCAGTGTTGGGTGCCACGTGTTTGGGGATCTCATGCTTTTTAGGACAGGGGATTCCCCCACAGGACACTGTCAAGGAGGAGAAAGGCCAGCCAGGGTGGGTGAGACCCCACAACAAGCAAGGACAGGAGAAATGGGCTCACCTTGGGGCCCCGGGGCCCATCAGAGCCTTGATAACCATCCAGGCCTCGGCTTCCCTGCAAGAAAGATGTTTGCTTTTAATTCTCGTCTCTAAAATTCCCCAAAGTGACCACAATAGCATTATTACAGCTCATAAAATTAACCACAGTTCATTACAATCATGTATTAACCCAGTCTGTGTTCAATTTCCCTTGACTTTGGTCTCAAAAGTGTCTTTTTAAGGTTGCTTTGCTTGAACCAGGAGCCAAAAAGTCTAAATACAACATTTGGCTGCTATGTCTCTCAATTCCCCCCACCCCACTTTTTTTTTGAGACAGAGTCTTGCTCTGTCACCAGGTGCCAGGTTGGAGTGCAGTGGCACGATCTCTGCTCGCTGCAAACTCCACCTCCCAGGTTCAAGCAGTTCTGCCTCAGCCTCCCGTCTCAATTCCCTTTTAATTCATAATAGTCCCTTCTTCCTATGTTGTTAGTATCATTTTGTGGTTGTTGAAGAAACTTGGTCATCTGTGCTGCAGATGCTCTGTGCGGTGGGCTGTGGTCGGTCTCACCCTCGTGGGGTGGTACGATCTGTTCTAACCCAGTGTTTCCTCCACGTGAGTCATGAGGGCTGGAGGCGCCCTAAGTGTGGGTTCCTTTTTTCCGCAGGGATTGTCTGCAGAGGACGCTGGTACCTCTCCTCCTACAGAACGTACGTGTGCCGGGTTGCTTTTATGATTGATCAGTGGGGTCAGGTGTTGACAACCCGAACCAACTGTTGAAACCCTCCCCCAGGGTGGGTTTTGAAAAATTTCATTTAATACCAAAATAGACGCATTAAAGTTTCTTAAGTTAAATTTTTTTTCTCTTCATTAAAAAAAATCTCTTTGGCCGGGCGCGGTGGCTCAAGCCTGTAATCCCAGCACTTCGGGAGGCCGAGGCGGGTGGATCACAAGGTCAAGAGATCGAGACCATCCTGGTCAATAAGGTGAAACTCCGTCTCTACTAAAAATACAAAAAAAAGTAGCTGGGCATGGTGGCACATGCCTGTAATCCGAGTTACTCAGGAGGCTGAGGCAGGAGAATTGCCTGAACCCAGGAGGCGGAGGTTGCGGTGAGCCAAGATCGCGCCATTGCACTCCAGCCTGGGTGACAAGGGCGAAACTCCGTCTCAAAACAAACAAACAAACAAACAAACAAAATCTCTGCGGGATGTAGTGGCTCATGCCTGTAATCCCAGCACTTTGGGAGGCCAAGGTGGGAGGATCGCTTGAGCCCAGGAATTTGAGACCAGCTTGGGAAACAAAGGGAAATTCTGTCTCTACAAAAAATATGTAGTGTAACCAGACATGGTGGCATGCACCTACAGCCCCAGCTACTTGGGAGGCTGAGGTGGGAGGATTGCTTGAACCCAGGAATTTGAGCTTGCAGGGGGCTAAGATAATGCCACTGCACACCAGACTGGGCAACAGAGCCAGACCCTGTCTCAAAACACACACACATAACACACACAAACACACAAAACAAAAAACAATTGTTAACACTAACATTTTTCTCATTCCCTTGAAAATTCATTGAAAGAAAAAATTTGCGGTTGAGTCCTATCACGAAGTATCTGGATAGAAGAGTAAAGCTCTCTAAAAATCTGCAATTGATTCCCTTTTAAAGGATAAGCATGGTTTGGCTCCCGAAATTCAGAATGTCAGACACCACAGGTATAAGAAAGGTCATTCTCTGATTACTTTCGTGCTTATCTTGCTATCCAGGAGCGGGTGCACTGAAAGTCATGCCATTCAGACTGAACTGAGATGGGCTTCACTTTGTGCGTTTTGATGTGGTCCTATGGTTTGGACCCAGACTTTCTCTCACGCTAGGTGGAGCTGAAGACTCAAAAGTAAAGGCAAACTTCCGTGATTTTAAAAATGAGATCATGTTTAGAGGCCACGTCGTGAGATAAGCTAGGAATCCTTGAGGACCTGCCATAATGGGAGCTGGCAGCTGGACACTCGGTGGGAGCCATGAACACAGCCACAGACCGGCCAGCTGACGGTGCCCCAGAATTGGTCAAATCTGAGCTTCACTCTGGGCCACAAGCATCACGCACCCATGCTGCGGCATCCTTAGCCAACAGAACAAGTGCCACAGACACCACGTGTCACCCTCTCTGCTGAAGAGTCCAAGACAGCGTGAGCACTTTGGAAATATGTCTGCAGCATTTGAAATGCACTGGGTATTACAGAATACCCACCCGGGAATGCGGACAACTTAAGGAGTACTCAGGATCCCTCTGAGGCAGCCGGAACTCCAAGAGCCAAAGCAGTGAGCTAAAAGTTTCCAGAGGAGTTCCCAGTGGCTGGTCAGCGGGCTAGGGGGAGGCTGAGGATTATGTATGACTTAGGGAGAAAATGCACCCTCAGGGTTCAGCTGAGACCACTGGCAGTGGAACCCAAATAGGCGGGAACCCTAAGTCAAAATGATGACGGAAACTTTTTCCACTCTGTTTCTCAGTGGCAAACACAGCAGGGTCAGGGAGGCGCAGGGGTGGCCGAGGAGGAATCATCCAGGGCGCTCCCAGGGTCAGGCTAGCAACCACCCCAGGAAGGACCCACTGGGGGCTCCACGGGGCTCCCCGAGACCCTGCTTCCAGGTAGGAAGTGCATCACAGAGCCCACCGTTACGGGAGCTGAGGTCAGGAGACTGACGTGCAAATGACTATTTGAGAAGGAATAATTGTGAAGGGCTTTGATACCGCACACTCTTTTCTCCCTGGCCCTCCCCGAAATCTAATAACACACCACTAATTTGAACTCAGTGAGGTCATACATATGATTCCTGGGAAGTTCTGAGTACGCAATCTTAGAAGTACAAGGTCGATTTTATGTTTTTCAAGGATGAAAATAACTGGAGTAAGGAAAAGCCTTAAGCGGAAGTCCTTAGGGACAAGCTGGGACAAACAGAGGAAAAGATTGTATGGTCAGACCCTTTTAGGGAAATGCATGCTTCTGAAGCCTAAAAGTAGTCTGCTGTCTCTCGTGGGGTGAACTGGCCACTGTCATCCTTCTGTTGTTCGTTTGCCTGTTGTACCCTTTTTGCTTCAGTGGCCGAGGGAGAGCACTTGTTAGGCTGAACAGAATGCATGTGCCTCATGAAAGAGGCGCCTCTGCAAAGAAACCTGCCGGCCTGCAAATGAGACGCAAGTTAGTGTACAACACTAAAGACCATGAGAGTTCCAGAAAACAACTCAATCTGAGGTCACGTCCGCCACTTCTAGCTTTGCCGAGGAAACCTACACACAACCACAGCGGGCTCCGAGGCTACATCTGGTGAGAGCCCAAGTGATCCACACTGCAGCCGGCACTAATGCAGCGTCCCTGAAGTCCTGGACAGTCCTGAGAGAGGACAGCGGTCCTATTGAGAGGGGCTCCCCACAACACGATGCACGCTGGCATGGTGTGTATTCTTCAAAGGAGACTAGGTCCCAGTGAAAATACAAAATAACACTGTGGACAGCATTTACTCAGTCCCTAAAGAAAGAGGAGGGGAAACCATGCCCACTTTCTCAGAAAATTGGACATAACTGAATTCATAAAAGCTACATCTCTATTCCTTTTTAGAAAAGGCTGGAACTAACAGAAGTTCTGATAATCTCAGTAGGGATGACAGGTGGCCGATTCTGTGTTTACGGAGAGGAGGGCAAGTTCCTTCCCAGGCCGTCTTGTCTTTTCTGGCTCCCCCCATGTTGATGCACTGTTTATGTTACTGTTTGCACTTGCTCCTTGTAAGTGCTTTTGGTGTCTGGGGGGGAGGTGTCGGGTAGGGACACCTGTCATGGAGTCGGCCACCTGGCCAGTGAGATGGCAGAGGGCGGACACAGCTTGGTGCAGATTGGTGCTCACAAGCAGGGCGGCTGCGTCATTGGTGTATGTCTGCCTGTTTCCCATTTTTCTGGTTGAATAAACTATAATCACTTAACTGGAAATATCTGCGTCCTCCCGAGTTGTTGCAACTGCAGAAAGTAAGCTGGGAAATGCAAGCCTGACGCCACACTGTCCTCATGTCTGGGCCCAGCCCTGGAGCTGCCAGGTGGCCCCTGTTTGTGAAACATCTTGTCTTTCATTAACTTCAGAGTTCCAGGAAGCAGCTGTGTGGAACTGCACTTTTTTTTTTTTTTTTTTTTTTTTTTTGAGACAGAGTCTTACTCTGCCTCCCAGGCTGGGGTGCGGTGGTGCAATCTCGGCTCACTGCAACCTCCGCCTCCCAGGTTCAAGCGATTCTCGTGCCTCAGCCTCCTGAGTAGCTTACAGGATTACAGCCATGTGCCACATCCAGCTAATTTTTTTTTGGTATTTTTAGTAGAGACAGGGTTTCGCCATGTTGGTCAGGTTGGTCTCGAACTCCTGACCTATATAATCCACCCATCTTGGCCTCCCAAACTGCTGGGATTACAGGTGCCTGGAAATGTGCTTTGAAATACTACAACTCTCTTGTGTTGAAGATGGAAAACCAAAGATGATTGTAATTTTACTAGCACATGGTAGGAAATTAACAGCAGCACTTTAATCACACGGGGAAGGTGCAAACAGGTCACTCTGGAACGACATCGTCTACTTTAGCCTCTGTCTCTTTGTAGCCTTTGCTTCCCCTAAGCCATGAGCTAGAATGTGGCCTTTGGGTGGGGTGCGCTTGGATAGCCGTCACTCCAGGTGTGCTACTTTGGGGGTGCTCCGATCACTAACTGCTGTTATGAGAGGCTGAGTGCAGTTACGGCAAAGCCTGGATTTGGCTCCCTGGGCTGAGTCAGCATCAAAGAACAGGAAAGGGAACAATAAGATATTTGAGGTTGCAGGAAGTCAGCAAGATCGGTGTTAATTCTGAATGGTTAAAACCAGAATTCTGGGTCAAAATGGCCTATTCCTAGAGCTAGAGGAGGTCAGAAAGGGGATCTGGGAGGCAGATCCCGGACCACATTTGTGGTCCCAGAGGAAGCATGGCAAACCCCCCACCCGGCCAGCTGAGCCTCTGCACCAGCTAACTGCCGCCCGTGGGCTCCAGACACCACACTATCTGCCGTGCAGCCCCGAGTAGGATTCACGGAGTCCTGATTCTGAGGCTGATGATTTTGATAAAACTATCTCTGTGGATGTACCTCCTAGGACTGAGCGATGTACATACTAGCCCGTGTGCAGGCAACCAAGCCCTGTGTACCACCGAGGGGACACCTGTTTGCTGGAAATATGAAAAACATCTGGCGGGGTGAGGAAATATGGCACATCCATTGACTGCCATTCTCTGCAGCCTGTCTAAAAAATGAGGCAGATGTGTAGCTGCGAGTGTGGACACTGCCCTGGGGCAGAGCAGCACAGACACAGCCATTTCTTTTGTTGTTGCATTCAATGTGTGTGAAGCTACACATCTTTGTGTGTATGTTGGCAGGAGTGTGAGGTGAGACCCTTGGGAGCTGCCGGGCCTGCCAGGGGAGGTGCGTGCTGCGCGCTGTGGGTGGGACCCGCAGGCACAGCAGACAGTGAAAAGGCATCTGCCACTGATCCAAAACGTCGTGTATGACCTAGGGTTCAGATGCTTCTAAATCTGACCCAGAGTCATAATACATTTCTTTTTAAAAAATTATTATTATTATTATTATTATTTAGAGAGGGATTTTCACTCTTGTTGCCCAGGCTGGAGTGCAATAGCATGACCTTGGCTCACTGCAGCCTCTGCCTTCCAGGTTCAAATGATTCTCCTGCCTCAGACTACCGAGTAGCTGAGATTACAGGTGCCCACTATCACGCCTGGCTAATTTTGTGTATTTTTAGTAGAGACGGTGTTTCACCATGTTGGCCAGGCGGGTCTCAAACTCCTGATCTCAAGTGATCCACCCTCCTTGGCCTCCCAAAGTGCTGAGATTAGAGGCGTGAGCCACTGTGCCTGGCCCATAATACATTTCTTACATAACATTTTTCTCCTAAAAAAATAGCCAAAAATCTGTCCACAGAACTCATGTTAAGAATAATTGGGTTGTCATTAAACATAAATGAAGTGTCACAATATGGGTCAACCTATAAAAACGTTTAGGTGGACCCACGACCGCATGGAGGAGGGGTATGAGGCTGGGCGACAGAGAAGCATGGCTGGTGGGGTCAGGGGATGAATGCTTTGAAGGGGAGGAACGAAAAGATGGTTTGCAAAAACGAGAGCCAAAGCCATGACCCGGGAGGCAGGGTGATCCACTGCAGATGCAAGAACCGTTTGCAATGTCTTTTCTGAAGATAAGTGTTCTCTCCTGGGGTGCCAAGGCCTTCTTGTTTAACCTCTGTGGGACTTCGTGGGCCAGAGCAGATTGTAGTTCACGCGCCCAACTTACCTTCTGTCCTGGCGATCCCTTTTCACCACTCAAGCCAGGGTAACCCTGGGTTCAACAAAAGACAGAGGGAAACAGCTCAGAATATGCAGCAAACATTTCCAGAGGGCTGGACTATGGCACCTGACTGTGATTACAGCAACATGCAGATGGACGGACAGAACAAGTCTCAGGTCCATATTTTGAAGAATAGGAACAAATCACCAAATTCAATACCAAGTATGAATACAATTCTTCTCCCTTGAAAAAGTTGTGGGGGCTGGGGGTGGGAAATAATGACTATGATAAGAAGTCTCAAAGAAAGCAGAATCAATCCTCATCTCAAAACTGCCTCACTCTGGAAGGCCTCAGAGCCGATTCCTGAAGGAATGAATCATTTTAGCAATCCTTTCATAAAAGGCATCATTTCTACCACTTAAATACACAGAAATCTACAGAAGATAGTACAATAAAAAGCTAAAAATATACAAAGGCTGGTACTCTAATGTTCTACTGTGTCTCTCTCTCTATTCTTATTTCTGGAGAATGTAAAATATGGTCTTCTGAGTGGTAGCATCTGCCAGAGAGTCACCAAAGCTCTGCTTTCTCTTCCTGGGCCCAGGGGTCCGACGACCTGTCCCAACCCGCAGCTAGGTGTAGCTGTGAGTGAGGTGGTGGGGTCAGTCTAGGCTGGGCTCTGAAGGATGAGGTCTGCCTCTCAGGTGGCTGAATTGCCGTGGGCGGGGACCTCTTCCCACCCCTTAGCAACTAGGACTCGTGGGGCAGCAGGAAATCAGTGTGTGTTTGAGATTCTCTACATTTCTGGTTACCACAGACTAACTGAGCTAAACACACAAGCAGGAAGGTTTTATGCCTTACTCGAGGCTCCCCCGCTGGGAGGACCGCGCCTGCGCACCTGCTGCTGGTGAAGAGGGGGTGTCAGGTGGTTGACAGATTGTAGCCAGTGCAGCTGCCAGGGCTAGATGTTCGTGGTGCGGTGTGTGTGTGTGTGCGTGTGTGTGTATGTGTGCGTGTGTGTGTGTGTGTGTAATCATGGAAATCTCTGTACTTTCTGCTCAATTTTGCTGTGAACCTGAAGCAGCTCTAAAAAGGAAAGTCTACATAAAAAACCAAACCAAACCAATAACTGCAGTTATAAAAGGCATGTTTACCCTTGGTCCAGGAAAGCCCATGATTCCTTCTTCTCCCTTCAAGGAAATGCCCTAGGAGAGAACAGAGAGGGCATAAGGAGCAGCCCAGGTGCGGCCCTCCCGCCGCGGGCCCACGCGTAATCCTCTGCTCCAGGACTGTGTTCTCAGCCTCGATGGTGTCCAGACCTCCTGGCAGTGCTAGACTCAGGCACAGTGCAGGGCGTGGTCCTAGGAGGCCTGCCAGCCTTCCGGGCTGTCACCCAGCCAGGACTTGCATGTGTCACGTCACGTGGTAAGTGACCACGGGGGAGAGCTGGAGCGCTGAGGACAGGGAGTGACAAAGGCGGCGGAGGGCAGACCCTGGTGGCACCCGAACAGAAGCCACGCTCCTCCCCCATCTTCACACTCCCTTCCCAAACCTCAGAGGATGGTTAGCCAGCGTTTAAGATGCCAAGAGAGAGAAATTCTAGAACTGGCTTCTGAAAACAAAGTGTACAAATGCTCATACTGTCCTGCTGTGGACAAGGGGCTGAGAGTCTGATGGCGAGCAGGCCCTGAGCCCACGAGCCACGGGGAAGGGGAGCATGCTCATCACCCGACTTACTTTTATTCCCGGTTCCCCCTCGACGCCTTTTTGACCCTGTGAAGAATACGAAAAATAAGACTGAGGATGGTAACAGGTCAAAATCAATCAGGGTTCATGACACGAGCTGGAAGTGCTGAATCAATCCCCAATCATTGTGAACTGGCTGCAACACACGACTCTTAAATTTTGCAGCTTCAAAATTCAAGGAAAAGATGTGTTATTTCTTCCAGATTTTCCCAAGGTGAAGTAATTCATGTATTCCTCTTGGTATAAGTGAAAGTCTGTCTTTCCTTCTGTGTTTTCCTTTACCCCACAATCCCCCACAGTTCCAGGCAGATGTTTACATTTTGTGGGAGAATGTGCCCAAGGAAAAGCCTTAAGGAAAATACTCTTTGGAAGAGAATATTCCTAGGATCCCCTCTGAGGAAAAGGTACACATGGAACATATTAAAACCTGAAGCAAAAGCAGCTGTCAAAAGCCATGTCAATATCATAGACGAAAATCACAATGTGCGTTTTTCCCACTTCTCTTTGTCCAAAATGGTGAAAGAAACAGCAACTGTTGGGTCTCTGTCCCCGTCATTCCTGGAGGGTACCCTGGATTCCCGTAGCTCAAGACTGCCCCTGCAGGCTGGCCCTGCCCCAGCCCTGATCCCACCCTCGCTGGGGTTGTAGAAAAGGTGGGAAACCTGCCTTGGAAGCTGGAACACCTCTGCGTGGATCACACCTGCCCTGGGCTCCCGCCCTGAAGCTGGACAGAGGCCCTCCCTGCCGCCTCCCAGGACACTTTTGTCAACGGTCACTTGTAACTCAGGCCACAGCCACCTGGGTTGCTTTCCCCACCAAGGCAGTTGTCCCGCTTGCTAAATCCCCCCTCGGTCCCAGGACCCAGGACCCAGGACCCAGGACCCAAGCCCCAGGCCCCATGCTGACAGATGCTCAAGTGCTGGGAATCAGATTCTACTTGGAAAGGTAAGTCTCCACCTTTGGGGTTTCTATTTTAGTTCCCAGCTGTTCTGTGTGCCCAACATGGTACCGAGTGTTTCACACACAGTCGCCTGCAACCTCCTCGCCAGCTCCAGGAGGTCAGCGTCACTATCCCCGTTTGACAGGGGGAGTAGGAAGCCCTAGAAAGGCTGTGGGACCTCCCTGAGCAAGTGGGCGGTGCAGCAGCATTCAAAGCCAGGCAGGATGGATGGTAATTCCTATTTCAGACTCAGAGTATGATTTCAGTCAAACAAAATGTTAATGGAATGATTCAGAAACTCAAAAACTGACTTTGATCCCCCAAAAGGTGCTTCCTGTCAGCAAAGAAGGAGGTTTTATTTTGCTGAACACATTTTGCTAGATAGTTTCACGATTCTGGCTTTGAATTACGGTATGACCATTAGCCTCCATCTACACTGAACGTAGGGATAGATGTGAGGTTTTTTAAAAAATGAATTCTCACGTTGCTTCGGGTTCATCGCCATTGTTTGAGATGCTGGATGGATGAAGTGATGGCACTGTGAATCCAGTAACTGCCTGGAAGCACGGAACACATTCTGGGAGGACCAGAGCATGATTTCATGCAAAATTTACCAAGTTGGTGGTGAGATTTTTTCTCCTTGGAATGTGGTTGAATAAAACTGAATACATTTACCTTTTTTTTTTTTTAACTATCCTTTTTTTAGTTCAACTGGGGAAATAGTCCGTTTTGCTTTTACCTTGTACTGTTCTCGGTCGTAGGTGGCTCCTGTGGGCGCGACGATGGGGTGGGTTTCTGATGGAATCCCGTTGGGTCCTGGCTGCCCTACGTCACCCTGCATATTGTGTGGCAAAAGCAGCCATCTTTAAACAGAAAGGAAACTACAAAACTCAAATACAGATATAACCTGAGCACAATACTGCCATTTTAATTCTTGCATATTACTTACCATATGTGTACCTGTCTGTAGTACAATAATCCCAAAACAGAGCCATCCTGTTTTGTGTATCCTCCTTTCACTAGCAATCATTTAAAATTTACGCACACAAGCCACGTAGGTCATTCACAGTTCGGGACTGCATTCGTTTCTGTAGGGTTATTTCCTTACAATGAATTTATATATGTGCAGATTAGGAGGTATGAGGGCTGAGTGTCTCTGTGGTTTTTGACAGGTATGACTCTACTGCATGCCAAGATGGGCACCAACACAAAAGAAACGCTGAGGAACTGAAAGACCACTTCCCCAGCTAAAGGCGTTTTTATATAATGAAAAGCCATCTTGAAAAAATATAAACCCCAAGGCTGCTTTACTTTGCATTTGCATCATTAGCAGAAAACACTTTGTGACGTGGTGCACAGATGGTGAAACCGATCTATCCGAAACACGACTGGACAGCTGTCCTTGCATAATATTCTGGCTTTACCTCCCAGAAACTAATTGACACAAAAAGAACAGTGTTGTCTTTTCTTTTCTTTCCACATTAAACTATATAATACAAGCTTGAGTCCAGATATCATATAACATGGACAGCAGTAAATAGAGATGCTGGGTCAGCTGCAGACAGTGATACTTCACAGTGTACGTGGAGTGTCCACTAAGAGAGTATCTTAAAATACCCAAACCGTCTGTCCTCCCTTGTACCTGCTGAGCCCCTGATGTTTTTTACTAACTATTTGAATAAGTCCTTTGTAGATTACAGACTTTATTTCCATTATATCTAGTGGGACTATTCTCCTCTCCCACCAATGATTTCTTCCCAGATTTTTCTTCTTTTTATTTTTATTATTTTATATATTCCATCGTATGGGGCTTTACATTTTTATGTGTTTGGACCTTCAATGTTTTTCTTTCCTTTTTTTCCCAGAAGCCCGCTGCTTGCTGATTTTTCTTTTTTGACTTCTCCTATGGCATTAATGTAAAGAAGGAAGTGTTTCCTTCTCCCACATGAGCAGGACTGGATTCAACTTACTGTGCTGTTCAGTCAAAAAGCAGAACGGAAAACAGAATACAAGGGTTCCAGTAATGAGGCCAAGGGCCAGGTCTGTTTTACGGTGGGCACATGGCTTTTGCGGTGAACGCAGTGGGACTCTGTTGGTAAGGTTTTGCTTGTGGGGTGTGGGCGCTGCATTAAGCCTGTCGTGCCCGTGATCACAAACGTTCCTCTCAAAGGCCATGAGGCCTTTGAATCTTAGCACTGTAAGGGAGGAGAAAAGCCACAGGCTTCTCATGGCTGCCTTTGTGCCCTACCAGGGTTGGTCCCTGAGATCCTCTGGTCCCTCAGATGGCTTCATGTGAGTCTCTGGCTCTAGTCTCAGTCCCCTATTCACCTGTGGGCTCCACACATGAGAAGATGCCCTCACTTCCACCTGCGGAAGACGAGCTGAGGTTGGGTCTCTGTGTCAGAGTCCCCGCCAGCCTAGATGGTCCATGTTTACTATCTTACTGATCCACAGTTATCACTGGCCTTTGCTGACAACCTAGCACTTCGCAATGATTATTTCCCTGTGCAAATGGTTTGTCTGCAGATCCACTCAAGGTAAAGTTTTACAGCATAGAACTTAGTAATCACATTGATTTATTTCCCGACTGAGAAAGGCTGCATGTCTCTGCTGAAATCGACCACGTTTCCTTTACCTTTTCACCCTTAACTCCGTAGAAGCCAAGTCCTCTGTTGCCCTGAAAGATAAATAATTTTTCTAAGTTTTAAAAAGCCAATAATCAGAGAGAAATAACATTATTTTTCTTAGGAAAAGAAACTCAAGGCCTATTTATATGCAACTTTACTGAACAACTATATTTGCATACTCTTCTTGCTTTGCCTTCTAGAAACGAATTGACAGTTGGTTATATGGGTTGACCAAGGCCTCAGAGCGAATGAGTGGGAGCTGAGATTGGGCCCCAGGTGGCGCCGACCTCCGATCTTGAGTTTCGGGTCGCTGCAGACGGTAGTCTAAGAGCGTGTGCCTGGGTTCTGGCCCCTAGCGGAGGAAGCAGCCCCATTTCGCTCCCCGGGCTCTGCATTTGAACATCATGATTCCTCTCTCCTTCTGGCTCAGTCTTTTCTCATTTTGGCAAAATCATCCTCATTTCATATAAACATTACTTATCTTTACAACGATCTTTGGAAATTTAAAATCAATCAAAATGTAATGATCTTAGGTAATTCTCTGGGTTTTAGTCACCCCTTTTGTTTTCAGTTTTGCTTAAGAAGCTGGGCCCAGAGTCATAGTAAGGATTCAGTGATTTCACAAACGCAGTAGCCACGTGCAGGAGGACTGACAACGCCGGCGTCTAAGATTCACGCACAGAGAAAGCAAGACGCCACGTCTGTACACATCACAGGCAGAGTCCTGGTCTCCCCCCAACAGCTTTGCTCCTTTCCCAGGGTTTCAGTGCTCCCACAGTGACAGCAGGGTCACACAGGCCCTATCTGACCTCCCCCTCTCTGCAGTCTACCGTCCGCCCCCTCCAACGTCCAGATATTTTCTGAAAATAAAAACAAAGCTTTCAATTAATTTTTGCCTTTTGCTTCTTCCCCACCTAGCGGGGAGCTGAAATCAAAGTGTAGAAATGTGGCCAGGCTAGATCAGAATGCAATTTGTGTACGTCCCCCACGGTCCCTTCTCTGCCTCCTGAGCTGGTCGCCAGAATCACCAGGAAGTGACTTGCTCAGGGGTGAGGAGGGCTGTTTATGTTTGCCGCAGCAAGGGGAGATCTGAGGCTCACGCCTGGGCTCAGGGCTTGGCTGCTGCCTCCTTAGCACGGCCGCCCAGCCCTATTTCCGCTGCTCTTGGCCTGGGGCCCGTCTCATCCCGCTCCAGGCTGCCAGGCGGTGGGGCATCCAGCAGCCTGTGCAAGCTCCCAAGCTGACCGGAAGCTGTGTCAGAGGGAACGGGAGGCTGGGGGTAGGGGCAGGGGCAGCTGCGGTCACTGGGGCTCACAGCAATGGGCGGGCATGGGAATGTGTGGGCTTGGCACGTCCTCTTTTGGGACACAGGGCAAGGGCAAGGTTCCTAGATGCTTCCCGTTGGCAGCCCAGCATTTCTGAATGATGCTGCATTTGATCAAATACTTCCCTCATCAACTGCACTCATCTGTCTTGGACGCTTATCCAGCTTTCCCAGATAATAAGGAACCCTCGTTCTGTTCTCTGAGTTTCTAACAAACCACCTACTTTGCTGTGTTCCAACCAATTTAACAATCTCTCTGGGATGAAAACAGTGTGTAGCTTTGGGCTCTAGCCTAACTTGACTATTACCGAATATATTCCTAGAGGCTGACATCAGACTCCTGTAGAAGCTAATTCCAGCCAGGTAAGAAGAAGGACATCAGCCTCCCTACAACACATAGAGCTACATTTTGTCCATTCTCCTAAATCAATGCACCTGAATAAATGTGAGCTCTCCCTAAAGTGTTCTCATCTGCATTTTCAATCAAACTTTCCTCCGTTGGGTTTTCATACAGCAGCAGGTAACTGATCAGCAACAGCAACTCATTCCACATAACCACTTTTTTAATGTCCAGAGGCACCACGATCTATCCTTCAAGTTTCACCCACCAAACCGTTTTCATCATAATATAAACAATAAATAGTTGTCAACCAAGAAGTTTTATGGTAGAAAAGCTCAACAAACACCTAAGTATCCCCTTCCCTTGTTGTTACCCCCCAAAACCAACTTACTTGCTGTCCTTTTGGTCCAGGGGGTCCAGGTGGTCCCTGCAGAAACACAAAGCAATGTGTCAAGTGTTTTCTTTACCCAGGACCCAGATGACATCTGCTGGAAAGCTCTGGGAAAGCCATTTACTGTATATTTAGGACACCGTGTAGGATGCACGGAGGTTTCTGATGCATTTGGCTTGGCAGGGATGACATGCTGGGGGAGAGGGACTGGGGTCAGCTCTAGTTCTCAGAATCTGCTGGCTGTCTACGGACAGCTGTTTTTGCTTTGCTTTTGTGTGTTTAGGCTTTCAACTTCACCCATGTCCTCTCTGTGTTTGTTCTGATTCCTCTAAAAAGTCCCAGGCCCTGTGACTGCAGAGACAGCTTCCCTGACTTCCTCCGGGAGTCCCCATGAGACCCCATGTGGCACTTCTTCCTGGTGGCTCAGTCAACGTTCATGGACAGAATGAATCTACAGGCCAGCACCGTAGAGTGGAATGTCCATCTGCAATATCACGGTGTATCTTTCTGCAAAGCATTCAGTGTCAACACCGTGCTTAGGATTAAAGCATCTCAGATGCGGGGGAAGAGTGTTTAAGTACAAATAAGTGGATGCAAAGGAGTAGACAGGGAGGCTTGTGGATGACTGCATGGCTCATGTGAAGAACCGAAAGCTGTCAGAACAGCTAGGGACCCAGCAAGTACAGTCTGCAGTGCCGGACTTCTCTGAGCTGTGCATTTAAACTAGAAAACATGTCTGTAATCCCAGAACTTTGGGAGGCCGAGGTGGGCGGATCACAAGGCCAGGAGATCAAGACCATCCCGGCTAACATGGTGAAACCTCATCTCTACTAAAAATACAAAAAAATTAGCCAGGCTTGGTGGAATGCGCCTGTAGTCCCAACTACTCGGGCGTCTGAGGCAGGAGAATCGCTTGAACATGGGAGGCAGAGGTTGCAGTGAGCCAAGATTGCACCACTGCACTCCATCCTGGCGACAGAGCAAGACTCCATCTCAAAAAAATAAAAAAGTATAAAACCCAACCACGTGGCATGTGTGCTATGAATAAGCTGACAACCACGTGGAGTGAAATGGCAAGAGCATCTCATGAGCCTTATTTCAGCCACCTTGGCCAGGTCTTTCACAGACAAAGCTACTTGCAAAAATGACTTTCACAGCACGAGGGACATTCATTTTGTCGAAACAAAATCTATTATTATTATTGTTATTTATTATAATCTGAAGAAAATTATGAGTACCCTCCACCTGTTAGTATGATTGAATCTCCCAAACATATGTGACTTATTTTTTCTCAAGATCCATCAAGGAACTGGTGTTGGTGGCCCCTGATAGCTTGCCTTGTTCTTGAGCAATGCATTTCTGTGAGAAGGTCTCTCTTACCTGCAGCTCAAATCTCTCGCTGTTTAAGTTAAGGCTTATTTATCTTCCTTCCAGGTCACTGTGCAGTGGTGGGAGTGGCCAGAGGGCTGCAGAAGCCTTAGCAAGTGCCTTTCTCTGCTCTTCCTTACTTGCAATAAACCCTCTGGGGCCATTTGATTCACGATGGCCAACATCTCACCTGCTATAATGGGCATGGCCCAGGTGTGATGTGCCTGCTAGCACTGGCATGGCTCTGGCATGCTATGTCTGCTATGCCCCATTTCCTTCTTATGAACCTGTGGGACTTTGGTTTGCCTTGCCCAGGGATGATGGGCTCTTCGTCACTGGGAAAGCATAAGGCATGGGTGGAAGGGCACCCTGCCAGGACCAAGTCAAAACTTAACACAACTGGCAGGGAGCTGGTGACCCTAATTTTAAGTCCTTATTCTTCAACCTTAACGGCAGCAGAATGCATGCAGGGAACAGCCTGTTTTGTCTTGGTGTTCTCTGCTGTGCCTATAAGCATCATAGTTGTCCTTAAACTCTCATCTGCATTCAACCATTAAAGCAGTGGCATCTGGAAGGGATGACCTGATGACAGTCCCAGGGTGGGCACCTGTGTCCAGGTACTTACTGGTCTCCCTGGAGCTCCGACTGGACCCATCTGTCCCACAGGCCCAGGGCGGCCGGGAGGTCCCTGTGGGTAGGCAGGGAGAGAATGTTTTTAAGAGAGGCAAACTGTTACTTGAATTTCTACAGCTCTGAAACTCTGCTTTGGAATATTGTCTAATACAAATATACTTACCTGGAAACCAACCAACCCAGGCTCTCCAGGTTCACCCTAAAGGAGAAGAAATCATTTTAAGAGTGATAGCTTTTAACCATTTTTAGATCTAGTTACCTTGTATTGCAGAGTTGGAAATAAGCATATCAAACAGATCGGCCCTATCAGGACTTAGTAATGCTGATTTACTATTAATTTTTACTAATGTTACTTTTTAGTACTATTTTAGTAATATTAATATTTACTAATATTAACTACAAATACCAATTTGCCTTGGAGTATTGTGATAAGGGAAGGAGATAAACACACAATTAAGATCGAAACATCCTGACAGGAAATAAGGTGACTTTTAAATTCCCGGTGACTTGGGTTATGCTGCTAGTCTATGCATGCCTTCAGTACATTCATTCTTACATGCAACGTTCACTTGGCAATTAACTCTGTTAGTTGAGAATTGGCACTGGGTCCCTCCATTCCCTCTCCCGTCTCTTGCAAACGTACCCGGTATCTGTCGCGCTCCTCTTTAGGCAGTGCGTAGGGCTCACCTTTCTGCCCTTTGGGTCCTTGGGGCCCCTAATTAGCAGATACATTGTAAAAAGAAAAAACAAAAACAAACAAGTCCATTAACATTCGGCGCAACTATTGGTAATCTGGACGACTGAACGTTGACTTCTGGAGGTAAGGGCTACTTGTTCTTACGGTTGATGGGTTTACTCTGAACACCAACCCCATCCTTAGCAGCAAGGGTGAGACCTTTAATTTCCTACTGACCCAATCGTATTGCTCCTCAGAGTTAAAATGGAAATACTTTACGGTTTAAATTATTTTCAAAACCTAAATGAATGCTCTGTCAACCAACCCTCTAGCATGCCAATGTTATTTTTATTTCTGATAATACTATTATGGGCTTTCTTTGGCATTAGTACACTAAACATAGTAACACGAACACCCATTTGCAGGATAGATATTGGATCAACCTTTAAAATTGGAATTATGCCAGATATTCACAGTAGGTATATACCTATGTGCATGTGCAAATATCTTTCAATATCTACTATAAGAATCAATTAAAGTAATATATATGTTTCTTGATAATGAAATTGATGATAGAGAAGATGATATAGTTTATTGAAAAATTGAACCACATAAAACAGAAACAGCCGAGGAGAGGGAACTGGCAGGTGGAGGAGGAGCTGAGCAGGAGCAATCCATTTGCTTCACGTGGAAACAAGTGACTGCTCTTCCCTACTCACTTTAAAGTTTTCCTTTTTTAAATAAAAAGTCTCACCAAACAAAATTTTAGTATAACCCTGAATTTGCAAGATTTTCCTGGAAATAAGGTAGCAACAAACTACTGAAAACGTGTTTTAGGATGTTTTACCAAGACCTTAAAACATAAATGAGGCCGGGCGCGGTGGCTCAAGCCTGTAATCCCAGCACTTTGGGAGGCCGAGGCGGGTGGATCACGAGGTCGAGAGATCGAGACCATCCTGGTCAACACGGTGAAACCCCGTCTCTACTAAAAATACAAAAAATTAGCTGGGCATGGTGGTGCGTGCCTGTAATCCCAGCTACTCAGGAGGCTGAGGCAGGAGAATTGCCTGAACCCAGAAGGCGGAGGTTGCGGTGAGCCGAGATCGCGCCATTGCACTCCAGCCTGGGTAACAAGAGCGAAACTGTCTCAAAAAAAAAAAAAAAAAAAAAAAAAAACAACCATAAATGAGGCCACAAAACAATTTAAAAGTTCTTCCACTGAAAAGCAAAGGCCTGCATGGTCTATGCCGGAGAGTAACTGCACTCCCACGTCGCAAAGCATTTCATAATCGGATAAAGGTGTTCACAAACAGAATTTTGTCAAGGTTTCTGTTTTTTAATTTTCGTTTTACAATTCCACTATTACTCATGAGAATTTGGGAGAAAATGAAGTGACCCTGGGGAGCCTGTGAGAGTGAACAACATCAACCACAATGATTATTTTCTACTTAACATTTGAAGAATATGAAAGGTGAAGTTACTTGAATCCAGAAACGTCACATCTTGGGTGTCAACAGGGAGTTATGCTTTCACCCTGGCCATAAGGAGCGGGAGGCCCCCCCAGGTTATAAAGGCGGGGCTTAGCAGGGGTCTGCCTGTGCCTGGAGCACACGCGCTGTGGGGATACTCACGGGAGGCCCGGTGAACCCCTCAGAGCCGGGGGGCCCCTGTGGACCTGAGTCTCCCTGGGTTCCGTTGCAGCCATCGTAGCCGGGCCTTCCCCTGGGTCCACCTTGCCCTGGGTGTCCCTGGGAAAGAGAGCGGTGAGTGAATCAGCCAGCCAGCAGGTTTCTAGTTGTCACGTAACTGCGCGATAAAACAGTCTTAAATATTCTTATCAGCAATGTCCCCGGCGTGAATCCAAGGAAAAGACACCTCGAAAGTGAACAAATAAATGAGTGAAAGATTAAATAAGTGAAGGCATAAGGTCCAGTTCTAAGCAGGGGAAAGGCTTCCAAAGCAAAGTTCTGCTTCACGTCGGCTTGGGTAAGAAGTACACCGTCTTGGGGTTTGTTCTGTCTTACTTCACTGAGTGACTGTTAGCAGGGACACGTAAAAGTACATTGAAAAAACTCTAGGGAAGATTTTAGAAGCAGTACCTCCTTCTCAGGGATAACAGGGAAGTCCTCATCACTAGATGGTGAGTTTCACAGACCCACATGCTAAACAGAGCAGACACACCAACACAGTGATTTCATCATGGCCTTGCCATATTTAAAAGAACTGATTGCCTCTTGTTTGCTTTCTTGGGAAACAGGACCTTTTAGATCTTAAACATAAATGTAAAGCATGTCAGGTTTTCTGAAGGGTCTGGGGGTGGGGAAAGGCAACCCCTCCAAGTGTCTGCAATGATTAGAGGGACTCAGGCTAAATTTGTGGGCATCTCCATTGCGTTAATCTGGTTCCAGGAGACACACAGGGGCTGGGTTAATAATCTATAATTTATGCGCTACATGGCCACAGCTGGTTTTGCTATTTCTTTAAACAATATTTAGATATATGCTTTGGTATTGTGTAGTTACTTCTAAACTTTAGTTTTCTTGATAATAAACCAAACATACATTCCGGAGTGATTTTTGAGGCCACTGGGATGTCTTTTACATTTATTCTGAGAAATTTGGAAAATTTCAAGATAAAGAAACAAATCCAGGCAGGCAGAGTGGCTCATACCTGTAATCTCAGCACTGTGGGAAGCTGGGCAGGCAGATCACTTGAAGTCACAAGTTTGAGACCAGCCTAGCCAACATGGTGAAACCCTGTCTCTATTAAAAATACAGAAATTAGCCGGGCGTGGTGGTGCATGCCTGTAAACCCAGCTATTCAGGAGGCTGAGCCATGAGAATTGCCTGAGCACAGGAGGCAGAAGTTGCAGTGAGCCGAGATCGAATCACTACACTCCAGCCTGGGCGTCAGAATAAATCACTACACTCCAGCTTGGGCGACAGAATGAGACTGTCTCAAAAAGGAAAAAGTCACCAAAAAATCACCACACAACAAATCCTACATACAGTGCTCTGTAACCTGAATGATTATTAAGAAATATTTAAAAAATGGAACTTTTTTACAGCTCTTTGCTTCAGATGTTCACAGCCATTGGTTGGAACTGGTGCGGTCAGATAAGAGATCCGACAGACTTCAGTGAAAGTCTCTGGAGAGCCAGAGGACTCCCCGTTGCAGGCAGTTTCTCAGTCTGTTTGCAGAGCTGGCTCTCTGGTGGCTTTGAAATAAAGACATCAGGGGCCCTTGCACGTCAGCTCGAGAAAACAGCTCTCCACACGTTCTGCTCCAGATTTCTAGTATTCTGTGATGTTCTTCCTTAAAATAAACTGTCCTTTAAAAATTCTTCTCTATTATTTCTGTCTGCTGTCGGTCTTTCTTACTTGCTTAGAACTGATCTAAGTTATTTGAAATGCATGTCAATCTAATCTTAGTTTGAAATTGTGCTTCAAAGAAAAATTTTAATTCTATTGAGCTAAATATCTATTTCTGCTCAGCATCAAATTAGATACATTGCTATCTGAGACCACTCTAAGATTTTACTGCGTATCATTTTTATATATAACTTCTAATCGGCTAAAATGATCCAGGTCCCTCAAACGCTACATTCATTAACGGATTACTTATGAGGGGTGACATTTATGTTAACTTACAGTATCAGAGTTCTGCATTTAAAAGAGACTGGATCCTTCAAGCAGCACCAAGCTTCCATAGAAAATAGAAAATGGTCCTCACAGCCAGGTGTAGTGGGTCACACCTGTAATCCTAGAACTTTGGGAGGCCGAAGTGGGCGGATCACGAGGTCAGGAGTTCGAGACCAGCTTGACCAACATGGTGAAACCCTGTTTCTATTAAAAATATAAAAATTGCCAAGCATGGTGGTGCGTGCCTGTAATCCAAGCTATTCAGGAGGCTGAGGCAGGAGAATCGCTTGAACCTGGGAGGTGGAGGTTGCAGTGAGCCGAGATATCATGTCATTGCACTCCAGCCTGGGCTTTACTCCAGCTCAAAAAAAAAAAAAAAAAAAAAAAAAAAAAAAAAGAAAGAAAGAAAATGGTCCTCACTTGCTCACCATAATCATTCCTCCAAATTATGGTTACTTCCTCCCTAGTTTGTGAGACACTTGCCTCTGATACTGAGTGAGCATAAAGTGGAAACATGAAGGCCACCCGGTACAGATGAGTTGCAATTACTTTCCATAATGCCACTCCATTTTAACTGAGATTCCAGCCAGAGACAAAACTGAAAGACACTCCAAAGAGTCCAAAAGAGTAGTTTTAAAATGGGTGAATAGATTCAGGCCATCAGTATGAAAATACTTTGCTAATCTGTTTAATCTTTGGAATGTGCAGATTCTTCATCTCTGTCCACTTCTCAAGATTCTGGCTGATGTGAATGTGATTTCCTCACTTGTTCAGGGCTGTGTGGTGAGCCCAAGTGTCTGTCTGAGCCCACCATTCAGGTGACCCTGAGATCACTGGCTTGCAGCGCTTGTCTTGGCAAACGTGACTTGCTTTCTTTTGCCCTGACTGTCTCCTTCTGCTCTGCAGACGTCTCCTTGGCTGTGGGAATGAAGATCTGTTGGAAACGCATGTCTCCGGGACTACCCAGCCCACGCTCACTCCCTCGCTGTCTTCTGCAAGGCATGGCCTTACTCTTGCAGCCCGGGATCGGGGTCTGTCTCTCTGTGCGTGTACGTGTGTGGTGATGCCAAATCTGCCACTGCAGGGCACGGGCACACACATCTGTGTATATGTGTGAGGCTTGTGAAGCAGATGTCTCAGAACCCATCAGCAGCAGCCGGATGGGAGGCGGGTCAGAACGTGTGATAAACACATTGATCCCTGAGGTCAGGTCTGGCCAGGAAGCCAACCCTGGGAAATCTGCTCATGGGTCCCTGTGAAGAAGGCTATGAGTCAGGCTGTTTCGTTTATTTTTTTATGCCACAAGAAGTAAAGTAAACTAGGTTACAAAAACACGTTTTATTGCATTTTGAGATTTTTCTCAGGAACAAACCATGCCTTTTCTTTTTCTTGTTTTATGTGTGGTTACTACAAAGACCTTAAGAAGCTTCCCAAATGCTCAATAGGGCTTCACGCTGCCCATGCTCTTGGCTGATGGACTCCATACACGGGCTGCTCTATGGTTCAAATGAGATAGCCAGACTGGCTCTTCGGGGCGTGTATCTGGACAGCACTCTTTTTATTACCAAACAACGTGCAGTTTAGCCCAGTAGCCTCAGTTCCGAAGCCAAGTCTATACGGACGTTTACAAAGCCAACAATTTGTTTAATGTCTGACTGAATTCTGTGGGGAGAATACGCACATATAGCCCCCACGTGTTTCATGTCATAAACAAAAAAGGAGGTCTCATTCAAAATGTTTCTTTAAGTCACAAATGTATTGCCTACAATGCACGCAATGTTTTAGAATTCTAATCTTCCATAAAACTTACAGGAATTCCATCGGCACCAGGGAATCCAGAAACGCCTCTTGCTCCCTGTGAAGAAGGCAAAAGAAATTAACCAAGGCTGAGATACCCGCCACCCTCCTGAGGCCCGGGGAACACCACGGTGGTGCGTACCACGTCTCCCTTGGGTCCTGTTATTCCGGGGGCTCCTCTTTCACCCTTGTCTCCTTTGCGGCCCTGCAGTCCCGGGAATCCTTGTAGTCCTGGTGGCCCGGTGTACCCCTGGGGGCCCACTGGCCCAGGCTGACCCTGTGGGAACAGCATAGGTTCAATTTCCTCAATTAATCACAATCAACACTCATGATTGGTTATGGTTACTTTCAAAATGACATTTTTTGTTTTTAAAGAGCTATGATCTGCAGGGAACATTACATGTAAACCACCATCTACTGCCACGATAGCTAAAGAAAGAAGTCATAGGGTTTAAGAAGAAAAAATACAAAATGTTAGAAAAAAATGATCCTAAATTACTATCTCACTGTGAAATGATAATACCGTGTTGGGATGAAAGAATGAACTTACTTGGCTTCTTTTAAGGTCTTTTTGTATAAAAAAATTTCCAAATGAATTTCTACAATTTTATCTCTATTTTCCTCAATATAAGGCATAAAGTAGGTGTGGAAATGTATATTGCATTCAGATATCAAAATGACCCTCAGATGTTTAAGCAGTTAATCTTTCCTTTTGTTTACACAGAGAGAGAGAAAAAAAGAGTTTCTGAAACATATAAAAATGTTTGCCCATATGAATTAGAATGGTTATTATTTTTTTAAAAAACAAATGACCAGTGTTGGTGAGGATGTGAAGAAACCAGAACCTCTGTGTGCTGCTGGTGGGAACGTGAAATGGTGCCGCTGCTTCGGAAAACACTCGGGCGGCTCCTTAACACATGAAAAAGCAGAATCACGATGGGATCCCTCGAGTCCACTTCTGGGTATACAGAAGGCAGGGGCTGCGCTGGTGCACTCACACGCACACGGCAGCATGAGTCACGACAGCGGTGGAAACCACATGAGTGTTCCACAATGGATGGAAACCCACACAATGGAATCGTACTCAGCCTTTAAAGAGGAAGGAAGGGGTCACCCAGGTGTGACACGGACAAACCTTGAGGACTCTGTGCTGAGTGAAAGAAGCCAGTCACAAAAGGACAAATCCTGTGAGTTCCCTTCTATGCGGTCCCTAGAATAGGCAAATCCATGGACACAGTGGCAGAATGAGGCTGCCAGGGGCTGGGTGGGGAAGGGCAGGGGGAATCGAAGTTTCATGAGCACAGAGCTTCGTTGTGGGAAGATGAGAAAGTTCTGGAGATGAATGACGGTGAAGTATTATCCAACAACGTGAAAGAACTTAACGCCACCATGGAAGCGAACACGGCACTGTGACCCAAATGGTAACTTTGATGTTCTGCGTTTATTTGACTTTATTAGTGCCCTGGAACTTAATACAATAAAGTAACCCATCACCTAGGTGTTAAGCGCAGCATGTATCGGCTATTTGTCCTGATGCTCTCCGTCCCCTGCCACCTCCCACAGGCCCAGGATACGTGTTCCCCTCCCTGTGTCTGTGTGTTCACATGGCTCAGCTTCCACTTATAAGTGAGAACACATGCATACTTTTACTATCACAAGCATTTTAAAATTTTACATTAGAAAAATTAAAAATAAATTTGCCACAATAAAAATGTTTTAAAAATGAGAAAGAACAGGAGTTGGAGTTCCGTCTCTCCTACGATGGAACTAACGACAGTATTATAGTTATATTTTAATATTTCACAGGTTAGCCCAAACTTAAAAATATGTATGTCGATTCCTCTTGAGACGAATGAGTCTGCCGTTGATTCATCACACAGCACCTTTATCTGCCAAGCCTCATTTGCTGTGAAATGTCAAATTCCTGCCTCACCTTGAGATTGAGGGGGGCTTGGGCCATTTTTCTAGTTTTCTCTTCTCTCGCCTCTAGGTAACTTTTCCTACGTAACTGTTCAGCTGGGAAGTGTGTCTGTCTTCATAGGGTGTCCCTAATGCTGTTCTCGGCAATCCACACAGTTGACGTGAAATGAGGAACTTAAAAACACAGCCAGGGGCGGTGTTAATGCCATCAAGGCATTAGCATGGAGAGGTGTGGGGAGATCTCACCTCCAAATTCATTACTCTTCCTGTCCGGCAATGCCTTGAGATGTTAGACCCCAGACATCCGGGGAATAAGTTAAGACGATTCTTTGGGGTGGAAGCTATCTATGCAGATTAAGGCTGCAGATGGAAGACGGTGTACCCCGAAGCTTGGGACCCCTGTCCCCTCAAACCAAGGGAAGCTGGGAGAGCTCCCTCAGGACTCGTTGATCTGGACTGAAGTCAGAGTTTCAGAGATGGTGGGTTCTCCTTTGCCCTCCACAAGCCCCAGAGGGGTCCTGTCAATGCCACCTCAGTACTCACTCGGGCAGCCTGATCTCAGGTCTCCTAATTCGTGGTGAAGCCCGTGCACTCAACGTCTTTGGAGAACATTATCCAGTGGAGGCTACTGCACCGTGTTTCTGCCTCGGCGAGGAGGCTCGTGGAAGGTGGATGGTCCTGGCCCTGGCCACACGACGTCCCAGGCTCATTCCATCTTCGATGCTTAGTGGTTCATTATGTGACATTTGTTGTAAGTTTGGGAACAAAACATGTTATGATTCTAATTTTTGTGGCCCTTTCCCAGCGGTGTTCAGTTTTGTTTAGTTTTCGGCTATGCTAGACTATAAGATTATGTACCATGTAATCCTAAGCTCCCCTCACCATGCCGAGGCCTGCGGTCTGTGAGTGTCTACAGACTGTCTTCTAGGGGATAAAATGCTTCTTATCAGGACTGTCACTTTTATTGCCCACAAACTACATATCCAGTGGGATTATTATTATTTTTTAGCCAAGGAGACAAGCAGCAGTGACCAGTGGGATTACTTCATAGAGCCAGCTCAAAGGGAACATCTGCTACTAACCAGAATGGAAATACCCACGTCTAAATGATAAAAAACCACACTCTTATCTTTGTTCATTAACCCGTCCTCAATTCCCTTTGATGGGGAAAGTGGCTAACCACATCATGTACTCATTTTCCTTTCATTGTCAGTAAACTCCTTTCTCATCTTTATTTCTTGGTTGGGGAGGCTGACTTTGGAAGAATAAACTCTAGTCTTCCCTCTTCTGGAGTAAGCTGTAATCTTTTTATTGAAGTATAACTCACGTAACATAAAGCTAACATTTGAAAGGACACAACTCAGTGGCAGTTAGTACATTCACCATGTTGGGCATCCACCACCTCTGTCTAGTTCCAAAGTATGTTCCTCACCCCAAAAGGAAGTCCCAGACCCAGTCAGCAGTCACTCCCCATTCTCTTTCTTCCCAGCGCCTGGTGAGATGATCTGCTTTCTGCCTCTATGGATTTATTGATAAATGGAATCATACGATGCGTGGCCTTTTGTGTCTGGCCTCTTTCAGTGATCATGTTTTTGGGGTTCATCCACACTGTAGCATGCATCGTTACCTCATTCACTGATGGCTAAATAATATTCCCCTGTATGGATAGACCACAGTGGGTTCATTCATTTGTTCTGGACATCTGGGGTGTCTCTACCTTTGGTACTGTGGATAGCGCTGCTGTGAATATGTGTGTCTGATTGACTACTTGAGTCTCCATTCTGAATTCTTTTGGGTGTGTTCCTAGGAGCAAAATTGCTACATAGTGCTGCTATAAATATGTGTGCAGGAGTATCACATGTTTGAGGCATTGCTAAATCTCTTTTTCCACATCGCCGGCATCCTTTTACATGCCCACCAGCAATGCACAAAGGTTCCAATTCCTCTGTACCCTCACCAGTACTTGTGATTTCCCATTTTTTTGGGTTATAGCCATTCTCCTGGGTGTCAAGATGGCATCACTTCTAAACAGCCCATCCTGAGCTTCTGATGAGATGGCACATTTCATAGAATTCCATCCAGCTTCCCCGCTGAGGGAGAGCCAGGAAGAACACGAGCAGAATGTGAGTTCGACCTTCGTCCTTCCAGATGGAGCCCTCGTCTCTGTGCACAGTGTAAGTCCTGCATTGCTGGGACTAAATGCACATCTACCTCAGGGCCTGAGGAGGCCACACTTTGGTCATCAGGATGGAGATTTTCCCCAGGATTTCCTGCCCACTAAGGTAAGTGTGGTGCATCTATAAAGAGCAGCTGGGAGGACCAGGTACATGCCAAGGGTTTTCCTTCGTGCTAATCATCATCCTTATCAACTTCCATCCTCAGTCAAAAAGTCCCGATGGGAAAAGTTATTTTCATCTCTCTTTCCTTTTGTGATAAGTGACATTAAAAATAAAAATTACCCTCAGAAAGTGAAAAGAGTCCAGTTTAAATGTCTTTGTATCAATCTTAAAAGCTTCTAAATTTCTAAAGCTCCTAATATTCTTCCAACATCCTTGAGAAATCCACAGAGTACTTCTAAGAAACCACTCCTGTGGACAGGAGTTGGTAACGTCACATCCCCTGTCCCCTGCCCGGCTCTCACCACCAGACCATCCAGCGAGTATAGAGGTACTACCTAGGAATCAGGACAATTAACAGTATTGATCAATTGTTTGTATCTTTTGAGATGATGTGTTGTTACAAGTTTCAAACATGGTTTCTCTCATTTTGTCCCCACAGCAACTTCATGCAGTGACATGAACTCCTGTGGAGAGGAGAGAGACCCGGGGCTCAGATGGGACAAATGTGAGGGCTGCTCGTGGTGCCCTCAGCTGTGGGGGCCTGGCTGATGCCACCAGGCTCTTGCTGCTCCAAGGGAGGTGTGTGCCAGCATCGCCCAGAAGCTTGCTATGAATGCAGAGTTTCAGGCCTGGCCCCAGAACTCCCAAGTCTGCTGTTGAACTGATGCCCAGGAGACTCCTTGGTATATTAAAGTTTGAGAACCAGTGTGTGAGACCACCCTAGCCCCCATCCTGGCATTCTTAAGGGAAGAGATAAGTGACTTTCAATAAGAAAAACCTCTTAAACATGGGTTTGGAGCTCAGGAGGAAGGTCTGGCTTACTGAGTCATGCAGAGAAACATGGGGGATTGATGTTGGTTAAACATTATTTCTGATTAAACCAGTCTTGGCTTTATACTCCAGTGATATCTGTAAGACAGAATACATTCTGACTGTCGTGAGGATGTGGGGGTTGCACATTGCTCTACCCTGTCTGAAGTCATGGCTGGAGCATGCATGGGGCATCCGGGTCAGTTTT